TTGTCAACAGCTTGAGCTTGCGCGGGGCGTTCTCGGTCTGCTTTTTTGGAGGGACCTGCGCTGCGTGCTGTCTTCTAATGGCTCAAGAGCAAGAAACCTGCAGGCTTCCAAGGCCCAGGCCAGGCGAAGCGCAAACCCTCGCGGCTTCTCCGTGGGGTGGCAGTGTGGTGTGAAGGCCACAACGTTCCCGGCAGCATCAAGCTGCCCGTGGCGCGGCATGGCCACCTGCCAAGACGTGGCAAGGATCCCAGGACAAAAGCCAAGCCTGTCAAGAAAGCAGCCATCCAGCCTGGTTGCCTGGAAGGTTGAGCTGCTTGGTCATAGCTCGCCGACACTGTGTTTGCGTCCCAGTCACGGCCAAATGCTATCGAGCGCCAACATGCAGAAGCGCGCACTCTGTCACGTGCGTCAATGCAACTCAGCTCTGGTTCTGAGCCGCGGGCATCAGCAGCGGATGTGCCAACACAAAGACCTGGGCCCAGATGCAGGTGGGCAGCGGCACGCTTTGCTTTGCTGCCCAGCCCACCGTCGACAACCGGCGCCTCTTATACACGGGCTACGGAAGCAGCGCTGAGGCCGGCTCGTGCGGTGGGGTTTTTGGGACTAGGCGCGATCCGGGCGCGATCCGGGCGCGATCCGGGCGCGATCCGGAGAGGCCAGCATGTGGACAAGGCAGCGCGCGCAAGCTCCGAGTGCATAGCCGGGACCAACAGAGCCTGACACGTGAAACATTGTCTGCAGCAACGCTGCTTTCACGCCAGATCGTTGCTGGGCACCTGGCCCTCTGAAGGCCACGCCTGCCGGCTGGTTGGTGTGGACACCTGGCGAGGCATTGTTCTCATGAGCTTGCCAGGTCAAAAGAACCTGTCTTCCCGCCCCACATGCGCATGAAGTCCACAAGAACCTGTCTTCCCGCCCCACGTGCGCATAGATCTTGGGCGACGGCCCAAACTGCAAATGTGACGGGCATCGGCCCGCTACAGCGATGCGGGAGGGGGCTCAGCGATTACATGAACAACTGGCAAAATATTGCCCCTAAGAGAATGACTTCTCATTTGGGAAAATCACGTGGGAGGTCAGTCAGCCCAGCTGATGCGAGGAGTTTCTGCAAATCGGGCTCTTAATTATCCCCAACAAACTCTTGACCTGTCGCATTCCTTGGGTTCCTTCCCAAAGACTTGATACAGGATGTGCACTTGGCTGCGCTTTCAGTCGCTGATATTGGGAAGTGCAAGCCAACACTCTGCTCCCATGACAACCAGGTGCCGAACTCCGCGCCGAGCTCCCCATCGTCGGCCCGAGAAGCACCTGCAGTCCGGCGCGCGCGCACAGAAATAGAGACACGCGCGCACACACATACCAAAATAAGCAAGACTTTGAAGCATACCACATTTCCAAACAAGTACAGTCGCAGGCACACGCAAAGACAGACACACACACAAACAAAACACACACGTAGACGTAGACAGGCACAGACACACAAAGACAGACACACAAACATAAAGACAGACACGCAGAGAGACGCACAGACACATAACATACATACACAGACACACACACACACATATATATAGCTGAACAGCGAGAGAGAGAGAGAGAGAGAGAGAGAGAGAGAGAGAGAGAGAGAGAGAGAGAGAGTGAGAGAGAGGGAAAGAGAGAGAGAGAGAGAGAACAAACAAACATAGAGAGAGAGAGAGAGAAAGACACGCACACACACACACACAAACGTGCTCCAGGGCCCAAATCCTGTTGTTGTTGTCGTTGTCGTTGTTGTTGTAAAGATTTGAAGACACGGTGCCATTTTGCTGTGAGCCAAATGGGCGAGGGAGTAGAAAAAAACACTTGCAAACTGAATCCGGGTTTCCTTTTTGGGTTAAACCAGCTGATACAGGCAGTACCCCGGGCCGGAAAATCAGCTGCGGTATATGACTGAAACGCAGCTGGCTCATCCCGTATTAAGCGCCTTAGTTCAATCATGTTTCAGCACCTTCTTTGAACCGCTTTGTTCTGTTTTTTGGAAAGGGCGAAATCATGTCTGCCGTGGAAGCTCCAGCCTTGATGAAGGGCGTGGGCCTCCTGGCATTCCGCGAGCCTGGGCGACTTGCTGATTCGCTGATGCTGGATGCGAGGAAACTTGGGAACACAAGCAGAAAGTGCTTTTGTCAAAGGTGGGTTCTCGGGGTCGCTTCAAAGGGCGCCCCCCCCCCAAATCAAATATGACACATCTTCACGCAATCCCGGCTTGCTACGGTGCCAGGAGCAACATGTTGGATCTGGTCAGACAACAGTTCGCCAATCTGAGATCTGAAGCGAAAACATCCGGGTGGCCCAGACCCCTTTTCTCAAGCGGCACTTGGCCAAATTGCGCACAAAAGTGACTCTGAGGCTGGGGCATGATGGGCATGGTCTTCGCTGCCACCCAGCGGCCTCTCCACTGCCTGCGCCGTGCTCGCTTGTTAAAGCGTCCTTGTGCAGCTGGTGGCAACCATCCGCCTTGTAGACGCCTGTGTTCCAAGGGTAGCCGCCCCACCTTCTGGCCTGAGTCAAAGGAGCAAGGCTGCATGTTTACAGCTGTTTATCCGGCAGAGCTGCCGTGCCCTTGACCTCTTGCTTGGCCCCCAAAAATCACTTTCAGGGGGCTTAAGCGCGGCTGCACTTCTGGGCGCGCTGCCTTGGACGCTGGACTCCGGACTCTGAACCTGAGAAGTTCTCTGTCAAGTGGCTTAGTCGTGTGCAAAAACAGGCTGGTTGGTTTGGAATTGTACATTTTCAAAACAACATGCCACGCTGTTGGATCCGAACAAAAGTTGTCTGAACCTGGGTGCGCCGGCTCCTGGGCTGTGGCATCAGGCCGGGCTGTACTCTCTGACGGACTCTATAGCGGTCACAGCACACTTCTTCTATTCTGCCCACCTAATTCGCTGGACCAGACTTAGCCCCGCAGTAAAAGAAGCTTACCTGTTGCTGGTTGGAAAGGAAATGCAGGAACACACACAAAATGCAAATGCTTAGTCTTGCCTATCAATCCTGAAGGAAGGACGTGCATTTTTTGGCCGGGGGGGTATTGCCTACCCTGCTGACCACTGCTTGCAATTCAGGCTGCAGTCAGGGCGGCTTCGAAAAGGGGAACGCTGTGTTTTTGTCCAAGAACCAAACTTAAAATCAGTCCACATAAGGGTCTCATTTTGAGTCTTGAACGGTGGTGGTTACGGTCAGTGTCTCACCACCTCTCAACCGCCCCCTTCATCACTTGTGAACACAAAACTGCCCCAGCGACACGCTGCGAACCTTAAACCGGTTGTCATACCACGGGGATTGCCTTTTCAGTCCGTTGGCTAAAGGTGTGGAAGGCCGGTTTGGGGGACAATTGAATTATGAGGGCAACATCAGGAAGAGAGGAGCAAACATCAGGAAGACGAGCAAAATGGAACACCCGAACAGCCCGCCGTGGGAACTTAGGCTGCCCTAACACAGCGCTCGTGGCCCAGCCTGGGCAGAGAAATGCTTCCGGATCGCGTCCGGATCGTGCCCGGGTTTGTCTCGGCCTGGCGAAATTTGCGGGGCGTGGGCGCGATCCGGGTGCGATCCAAAGCTGGCCACTGGCCAACCTATAGGTGATGCCTGGCTGAGCTTCCGGAACTTGATCGCGATCCGAGCGCGATCCTTGGGCAAGCAAGCAAGCGGCGGGAAGAACATGGTGGCTTGTTGAGGTGACACATCAGCTGCCCCCTCCCTGTGGGGCCGAATGTGGGTCAACCAACGCACGACTTCTTGGCGCCGGGCCATGGTGTCCGTGTTTTGCAAGGCAAAAGCCCAAGACGAGCCCTGGACGCCCTGTTGCGGGGTGCTTCCCCAAGGGGCTTGCTATTTGGAGACAAGTCAACAAACCCTTTCGCGCGCTGATTCAATCCTCCAACTTTTTCTGTTAGTTGGATTCCGTGGCTCTTGGGAAGGCGACTCAAAAAGGCATAGCTGCGACGCAAGTTGGTTACGGTGAGTTGTGATTACAAGTAGATGGAAAGCTGCCCCAGCGACACGCAGCGAGTCTTAAAACGGCTGTCATACCACAGGGATTGCCTTTTCAGCCCGTTAACTACAGGTGTGGAGGCCGGTTTGGGGGACAGTTGAATCAGAGGGCAACATCAGCAAGACGAGCAAAATGGAACACCCAAACAGCCCGTTGTGGGAACCCCTAACAAATCACTGACGGCACCAGTGGCCGAGCCTGGGCAGAGAAATGCATCCGGATCGCGTTCGGATTGCCCGGCCTGGCGGGATTTGTGGGATGTGGGCGCGATCTGCGTTTGATCCACTGGCCGGTGCCCTGAACTGACAAACAGCTGCCCCCCCCCTTTGCAGGTTGTCTACACACTTTGGGGCCGCGTGTGGGTCAACGCCAGCTGGTGCGACACACAACACAGCACGGCCTTCTTGGCGCCTGGGCCATGGCATGGTGTCCGTGTCCTGCGAAGCAACAACCAAAGACGAGCCCTGTGTGGCCTGTTGTTAGTGGTTTTTTTGTCGAGGACGCCCTTTTGTGGTGCGCTTCCAATCGGACTTTGAAGGGGGGCTGCAGCACATTTGGACACAAACCTAGAAAAATAAAGGTGGACCAGCTGCCCGATGCGCAAAGGGAAGTCACAACAGACCCAATTCTGGAAATGACCGCACCCGTGCCTCCAGGCATCGCCAAAGGGAACTTCAGCCTGGGCCACGGGCAAAATTCTTCAAGGTGCGCATGCCCTGCAATGCTGATAAGTTGTTTGCAACACTGGGCAATCTGGAGGGGGCTCACTTTTGTCCTCCTGCAAAGCAAAGTGCATCAAAGGCGCAATGCGATTCAATCAGCCGTGCATCTGGACACTGGACTCTGGACTCAGAACAAGGGACTGTTGGAGAGGTTCATATGTGAATGACATGCTTAAGTAAGCAATACTTTGTACCGAAAAGAGCCCAGCTGCCCGCTACTCGGCTGGACCTGCTGCTGCAGGAAAAAGCCCTTACCATTGGCCCCAGCTACCCTGGCCACCGGCATCCTGATCCCAGGCACCACCTTGGCCCTGGCCGTCTTGGTTGCCGGCTTCGGGCTGGCCGGCTTCGGACTGGCCGGCCTGGTCCTGGCCACCACGGCGCCCAATGAAGTCGCGAATGTCAAACCACTCGGCCACCGTGGTGAAGTGCCAAGTGTTGTCGGCCTCATGCACCTCCTCGTACTGCTCTGTCTCCTCGGACCAGTGCCAGGAGGCGCCATCCTGGGACCACTGCTTGAACGTGAACACGGTGTCCGAATCCTTGGGCACGTGGTAGTAGGTGACAGCACCATTGTATGGCTCCTGCCACACCCATCCGCCCATGCACACCCGCTTTGGCCGCGGGCCCTGGACGACCCATCCTCCCCTGGATCTGCGTTGCTCAAAGCCCTGTCCGGCGGGGCCCCTGTTCACCACACTGTTCAACATTTCCGGGGTCACCTGCGAGGCCGCAAAGAGGTGCAAATAATTGGGTTCTCGTCCACGCACGTGCTCTCGGTTGACCAACTCCAGCCACAAAGCCGCCTTCGCTGATGTAGACGCCCCTGAAATACTGGAACTTTCCGAAGCCGTTCAAGTCCGGCGCCTCCGCAGGACAGACCGCCAACACCCCAAACTCGGTGTCACGGCCTGGAACATCCGCGCGCCTCACCCAATCAAGGGAGAGCTGGCCGCCACTGCCGCGCCGCGTCCTGATGGCATGGCATGTGTCACAAACAGAAACAAGGCCCGTCAGAACTGAACCACTTGTGACTCAGGGCAGCCCAAGGGACAAAAAGCTTGCTTCAAATCCGAGCGGCAAGCAGTAAGCCCAGTGCACCTTCCCCTGCAAGTACCAAGAGCGGTTGGGCGCGTTGTCGAAAAACAGCGAGTCACCTCCCGCCGGCGGAGCACCTTCGAGCAACTGGTAGCGGGCGTGAGCCTTCACCTCTGGACTCAGGACTCGGAGCAGGATGCCCTCTGGCAGCTTCGGCAGGCCCTGCTTGTCGGGGAAAAGCGTGTTGAGCAAGCAGTCGTTGAGGTCTGTGGCTGACTGTGAGGGAAGCGCCATAGTCCTTGGAATGCGCAGCGCTGGTGCCCGCCAAAGACCCGTCTGCATCATGAGCTCCCTCACCCCCTCCGTAATGTCTTTGGCGTGCGCGAAGAACGGGTACCTCGTCACAAAAGGAAGGCTGCTACTGGCACTGGGGATGTGGTCCTGCTTACACTCACCTAGCTATACTTTGAGGGAAAAAGCAAGGCGAGACGGAACCACCAACAAAAAGGCCGGCTGCCAAGGTACTGCGCGTAAGCCAAGCCAGGCACCCTCGCCATCAAAAATGGCGGCTGATCCTCGGACCAGAGGTGGTAGTACAGCTCGTGCTTCATCATGCGAGCATGACCAAGCAAAGGCCCGTGAGGGACTACCCCACTCATCATGTGCCGCGTCCATGTTGCCACAACCTTCATGTCGAAGTTGGACTGCTCGGACAAGCCGTTGAAATCTCCGTGCCGAGACATGAGGGCCAACTGCTCGGACAGCTGCTGGACCAGCCTGCGTGTCTCGGCATCAGGCTCGGTTGCAGGCCAAAGGGTCTCAGCATGGTAGGCCATTGTGCGCGCGCTGAAGAAGAGCTTCAAGTAACCCAATTCACGTTGAGGGTTTCCATGCCCGGACCACCCGGGGATCTCAGCACCTTGCATCAAGCGCCGTTCAATTTCGTTGACCGGCATTGTTGTGAGGTCAATGTCACACTCCGCAGCATCCAGCGTCGGTCCACCCAGCGCCAGCTTCTCGTTGCCCATGGCCTGGGCCCGCCGCACCTGCAACGTGTTTTCGACGTGGCCGCCTGGAGGAGGCCTGGCGGCGTCTTGCGCGCTGTCCTGCGCGCTGGCCTGCGCGCTGTCCTGCGCGCTGTCCTGCACGCTGCCCGTGGAGTCAGCAGGCCTTCCTGCCAAACGCAGAAACGGGCGCTGGCTCGGCGGGGCAGTTCCGGATTCGCCTGCCGCGCCCATCTGCTCGGTGCTTGAGGAGGGCGAAGACCTTGACTCGTCCGGCTTGCATGGCTGGAGCTGAAACACCAAGCCTCCCGGGAAGGTCAGCTCAAGCTTACCCTTGGCCAACTCTTCCACGGACTCACAGTGGGCCAAGACCTCTGAGTCCAAGCTGCAGGCCGCCCAGGCCAAGGGGCCTTACAGGGCATTAAAGGTCCTGTGGTCTGATTAGCTTTTCAAACAAAAATTAAGTGACACAGTTTAAAAAAGAGGTTTTGCTGTCAGACAAGTTGCCAGTGGGCAGCGCGACCACACTGGGGCGGCACTCCTCTTGGTTGATGATGGAGAGCATGACCCATTGGGTGTCCCCGGAGCCCGCTGCCTTCGCCGCCAAGGCGAGCTCCTTGCAGCCGAAAGCCTCCATGGGTGTGCCCTCCTTCTTGACGACCAGCATTCTGCTTGTCTGGTTGCCCATGACTGGAAAAGAATGCGAACTCGGGACTCTGGACTCTGAGGACTCAGTCTGAGCTCGAGCTAGCACGTGCCAGCGGACCAGTCTTGACACCACCACAGGGCGCTCAACGAATCGGAAACCAAACAGACGTGGCAAGTCAAACAAACGCTATGGCTGAAGAAACGTCATGGCAAGCAGTCAAACTAAGATGGCGCGACAGCTGCAGGTGGCCAAGCGCCCGGCTGAAACTCTGGACACTCAGGACTCTGAACTCCAGGCGCTGAATCGGGTCGAAGCAGAATGGCCTGGGCAGTAAGGCGGATAGCCATAACAAAACACATGTTCTTTGCTTGAAGCCGGGACAATAGTTCCAGGGAAGCAAGACATATTGGGAAAGACAGAGCTTCTAAAAGGAGGACAAAGTGAAAACACGCGCAAGAAATGCCACAACGTCCACAGCCAGCCCTAGACAGAATGCTGAGTTTGTCACAGCGAGTCCTGGCCATGAACCTGTCGCGGAGCCCGAGGGACTGTGAGAAGGAACATGTGTTTCAACAATACCGAGCCTTCTGATCAATGGTGTTGAGGCCAGAGCCGAAACATGATGGGGCTGCGAGCGCTCAACTGACTGCACAACTGCTCGTATCCCTGCTTCCGCGGTATCCCTGCTAGTTTGCTTCTCTGAATATGGCTGTGGGCCAAAAACAGGTGCCCAAAAAGAACCCCTGATAAATGGAAACATGGACTCCTTCCTTCATTTTTCCGGTGTCTTAATTTTGACCCATACCCATATCAAGAACGGTGAAAACAACGCCCTTTTGGAGAAGTACATGGCACTGGCACTGAAACGACTGGCACCCAAAATTGAACCCGGCGGAGCTTCTCTCCTGAGGCAGCCTTGGACGATCTTATCCTGGCTGACCGGATGGCGTGAGCTGCGTGGTGGAGTCGCTGTATATTTTCCCAAAGCCCTACCCTTTGAGCATAGATACTCGGCTGCTTTCTGCTCCCCTGCTAAAAGTTTAACTTTTAGTGGTTTGATGGAAAACCCATCAGATGGCAAGAAGCTAAAGTCCTAACATCCAAACAAGATGCAACAAAGGATAGGACGTAGGTACCCTAAGTTGAAACTGGAAGACCCTTTTGGATGGTTTGAAACGGGGTGTTGAGGGAAATACGCGAATCGCCCTTCGCAAGCAGAAAATGAGGCCCCGTTGTTGTGGAGAATCGGGGAGGCACACCAGGTTTTCGATAGGATACCTGCAACCAAAACACTTTCGACATGGAACAAGAAAAGCCACGCCATGAAAAGGCAAGCAGTCAACCCAGCAGCCCAACAACCCGAGAGCAACGCAACAACACAACAGCCCAGCAGCAACAGCCCAGCCAGCAGCCCAACAGCTCAACACCCCATACCAGGAGGGATCATCAGAAATTACCGAGGGATGCTGCCGCCCCGGAGAGCAGCCTTGGGGCTATTCCGACCCTCATCCCTCGCAGGCCCTCAGAACCCCTGCTGCAAGTTTAATTTGTGGGTTAAATGGCTATGAATTTTAATAAGGGGCCCGTTGGTGGACATCACTTATGTGAAAATTCATGTCCACCAATCACTTTTGAGGTGGTCCCTATAGACGGTTGTCTGAAATTCCTTGTTCCGAAAACCGCCATCTTCGTGAAAAAACTTCGCGGACCCCATCGCGGAACTTTCGCGGGGCTGTTTTCAGAACGTGCATCGCAAAAGTAGCACACGAAGCACACTCTCGCAGCTCGAACGCCGCAGCTTTTTTAATAAGAAAGTAGTACGAAAAGTAAGCTTCCGCAACTTGGCTTGAATGTCGCAATTTTCAATACGAAAGAATAGTACACGAACTAAACTTCCGCAGCCTCGAAAGCCATTTTTTCAGTACAAACGTAGTACACAAAGATAGCTTCCGCAGGCCCAGCTTGAAAGTCGCAACTTTTAGAGACGACAGTAGTACGCAAACTAAACTTCCGCAGCCTCGAGGGTCAAAACTTGCCAATACGAAAGTAGCACACGAAGTAAATTTCAATAGCCCCAGCTCGAAAGTCGCAGCCTTTCAGTTCCAAAGTAGCACGCGAAGCGCGCTTCCGCAGCTCACAAGCCGTGCGGCAGCACACGAGAGGACTCGTTGGCCTCATGTCCGGAAACTGGCGGGGAGGTCCGCCGACTTTAGCGAAACTTTCGCGAAAATCCGGCCAGCTGGAAAGTTGCACTTAACTTGACCCGAAAGCTTCAAACCTCCCACAAGCTGGTTTCTGCTGGCCCGGGGCTGCTTTTGCAGCATTCTTGCGGCGACCCTCAGGCCACGCATTCCCCGACCAACTTTAGTCGACGAACATCCTGCGGGCTGCCGGCAAATACACATGGTTCATCACTCCAGGTTCCTTTTAGCAAGCCACCCTTACACAAAACTTTCGCGAACCAAAAAATAGCTGAGGTCAACACTAATATGAAAGGTCTTCCCCTTCATAACTCAATGCAAGGACCTTTCAAACGACCCTCACTGTCTGTCCCTCATGTGAAATGCGCCGAGCAAGTGGGAAATTTCGTGCGTTCCCGAATCCACTGGCACGCTGCCGTCAAAAGATCATTTTTTCAGCCCCCAACTATCGTCTGTCAAGCATTTGCCATGTTCAAGACCGCACGTTGCCTGGGAACCGCGTGATGAAGTCTCTTTTCAAAAACCGACGGTGGGGAGGGGCGGGAGGGGGTCTTGCAAAAGTTAATTGCTCAAATCCGGCTCGGTTTTTCGGCTGCAGGCGACACACATGCTCTTGAGGAGTCAGCGTCGTCTGTGAAGCATGTTGCCATGTTCAAGACCGCATGTTGCCTGGGAACCGCATGGTGAATGCTCTTTCCAACAACCGACGGGGGGGAGGGGTCCTTAACCTGTCTGTCAGCATCGAAAAAGGTGGCCAAACAAATGCAGCTGAGGCACAAAGACATGCAACATGACTTGTTCAAATAGTGGCAAAAGCATAGGGTTGCCACAAAGGGAAGGGGAGTGCAGGCAGTGCATGAGCCGCGGACATTTGGTGAGTTCGGTGAGTTCCCTCCTCATTTCAAAGCGGCGAACTCGAAGGGTTGATTCAGCATTCCCCCCACTACCCCGCTTCTTTTAGGGTATCCTGTCCACCTTCTCCTAACAAAAAGAGGTATGTACCATGGAAAACAGGATATTTCAATAAAACACCATAAAGGAGGCCATATAGGTAATAGGTGCTAGATAAAACAGGGTCCAAGTGAGATGCCAGTTGTTTTTCCTTTAAACACACAAACAAACTACTGGTTTGAGGGATTCAAACCCCAAGAGTTTGTTTAGAAAACCCATCAGATGTGGGTGTTGTTTTCAATTGAAACAAACAAAATGGGGAATCCTCAACTTCAGACACCCCCAATCACCCCCATGTTCACCTTTAATGGACTCTCAAATCAGCGGCGTTCCGATCCGCGTTCCGATCGAGAGAGGTGCCCCGTCTCGCGCCTTGCACACCTTGCAGCCGGACCGGCTGGACTTGGCGATTTCCACGCCTGAGATTCGCGGATGTCCAGACGGTCCGCCCTTCAACTCAGCCCGATGGGAAACCCCTGGAAAAGCAGGATGTTCTTTGCTGACCTAGCACCATCGGACCCTCGACATACTTCCATTCGGTTAAGCTTAAGCCCCCTGGAAAAAAAAAGCAATATTTCCAGTAGTGATCGATTCCTTTTAAAACCACGGTGGTGGAAAGGAGGGGAGTCACGCTCTTTCAGCAGACGCAGGGGAGGGGGAGGCAGGGGGAGGGGGAACCAAAAACTATTCTTAAACAAATGGAAGCATGTGGGTTCGGATCCGCATCAGAAGGGTTTGGACAAAAGCGGCCCGGCCTGGCCCCATCCAAACAAAATCTGACTCAGAAGCCCGGGGGGGTCCCTACTGTGGATCCTGCACATCCCATGGTTCACCCCATATAAATCCGCCCCCCGTTTATAAATACTAACAAATTTATGGTTTCCCATGGATTCAAAGTTGAGGATTTTGTCCATCCACGGTGTTGGACAACACCTAACTCTCAGTTGTATGCCTCAATTGGTTCTTTGGTTTGGTGGTTTGGTTTGATTAAGAACCCCGGGTTCTTGCCGCATCGGAAGCCAGCCCGAAGCTTCAAACAAGCAGTTGGGGGGTTAAGGTACAAATGGCTGCGGGTGTCAAGAAATAGGGGCTAACCCCAAAATGGCTTGCTCTGGTGAGTGGAACCAAGGACTAAAACCTGCGGTCTGGTGCTTAATTTTGACCCATACCCAAATAAGTCTCGGAGGTGAGCCTGGAGTCTCTTTCTGACCTCTTCTTTGGGTGACACGACCCCCGCTTTCTTTTGCCATCACCCCTGTCCTTTTGGGTGACTCCAGTTTTCAAAGGAAATTTCCAGGAACCTTGATACCGAGGTCTCCCATCGGGTGTTTTTTTTGTTTTTTTCTGTGGGATTTGGAACCCCAAGCTCCTGACTGGAATGGAAGCCAAGCACAAGGCGTAGCGAGCCAAACGGGGCGAGCAGGACACCCGTGTTTCTTCAGTCTTCTCATTCTCGGTTGGGTTGGGGTGTTTTGCCTACTTAGATTACGTCCCCTAGCTAGGTGCCCGCTCTTTTTTTCACCCCTTTTTTATGGGGAGGGTTCCCAAAAACTAAAATAGACGACAGGAAAAAGTTGGTATCCTTATTCAAACCTCTCCACTGGAGAACCTGGCAGAAGGAAAGGGAACTCTAAAGGGTGCTAAAACAAGAAATAAACAGATCTTCTGATTTCCTGGGTTCCCCCCCCTCCCTCAATTTTTTCGCCCGGATGTTCCACAGAAAAACCCCTCCCTCCCGAAAGCGGTCAATCCATTGAGCCCCAAAGGACTCCATGGCATTGGCCTTCCCTTTCCCGTCATCTACCCGAATCGAATTTGAGCAAGTAGCTCACCTGGCAAGAGCTTTACACACTCCCAGTTCATCCCAGTGCAAGGCCCAGTAGTAACCCTTCGATCCATTTGGATATCGGGTGGCAAGCCCTTGGTTACCCACAAGCCTTTTCCTGGCACCTGTGCGCACGTCTCGGCCCGTCTCCCCACAAGCGGGGCCTCGACCACTGAAACCCATGCACTGACTCATTGAATCAATAACCTAGGTCCTCCAGTAGTAGAGAGGCTAGAAGAAGGGTACCCGTTTTTGCTGTGGTCTATTTTAGTAGGGCCCTCCCCCCCAAAAAAAGGCAAAAGGGACTACTGGGGGACCTAGTACTTGAATCAACAAGAGTATTTTGGCTAAACTTAGACCCCCTGCGGCTTGTTCCCGCATCGTTATGGTGCAGATACGAGCATCTAAACGAGAAGAACAGGGAAACTAGCAGAAGCGTACAAAAGCCGCAAGGGCCTTCGCAGTTGCAAGGGTTGCCTGTACTGGCCCAGACTTAAACCCCTCGCACAAAGTTAAGGGTTTTGGTGGTTGAAAAATGAACAAACACTACCCTTTGTATTCCAAGGACCCGCCAAAAAAGGGTCCTTCTTGATTTTGCTCTTGGTTTCAAATGGAAAATAGCATCAAAAGACCTGAACAAGTGCGAGTAGAAGGGTACATTGGCACAAAGTCGAGAAGTTTGGCAATGACTTGCCGGTGCTAGGGAATGAGGGAATGAGGGAATGAACCCAGGCTTTGGTCCCCTTCAAGGAAACCAAGGGGCGTTGTGTGTGTGTGTGTGTGTTTTTTTTCCCCCCGAATCAATTCCCTTATTCCCTGCCTATCGCACCAGCAAGTTAGTCACGCAACCAATATGTGTATTTGTGGTGTGGTTGGTCGGTTCGTATTGTTAGGAATGGGCATCGGGGCCCTGAAACAGCGGCAACCCCCGCGACCCTCCCGACCATGGCGCAGAAGTCGCCGTCTTCGTAATAGATCTCCCCCTCCGCTGGCTTCAGGTCCTCACTGGCGCCAGAAAAAGTCTGAGCTGCCGATCCCCCCCTTGGCGTTTCGAGTTCTCCGTTGATTTGGTGGTTTCCCATGTCTTTGTACCAGAAAGGCTTGAAGTCCAAATCCAAACCGGGCTCCAAATCACAACACCTGAAACCATGTCCCTAACCAGAACTCCGATCGGCTCGGATCGAAAGGCCCCCTTTTTGCAGTCGGCGAAAAATCTCGGGAACCCCCTTTCTGGAGTCCCTTTTAGTAGGGGGTCTCCAAACCATAGGTTCATTGAAGTTTTAGTGGCTAGGTCCTCCAGATTTGAGAGGTTAGAATAAGAGTACCCTTTTTTTGTGGTCTATTTTAGCAGGGGAACCCTCTCTCCCAAAAATAAATGGAAAAAGAGCGGGCACGACTCGCTGGGGGACCTAGAAAACCTTCCCTTCTAAAATCGGCAGCCTTTAGGGTGCAGCTTTTAGGGTGTCCTTGCCCAAAACAAAGCAAATGTCGGTTTTCTTTCCTTTTTTCCCCACTAGACACAAAACAAAAACTGCAAAGGAAAACCGGATGGCTGGGAGCCACCAAGAAGCCACCGTGCAAGGGAAAATCATAAAATAAAAACATCTTCTTAAAGTGTCTCATTGATATTGGTTGACGTTGAAGGGGAGCAAACATTTACATTTTAGCAGCTAAGTGGTTGGGTTTCAACCACTAAACCACAATAAGATCAAACATGTAAAAAACGTTTCCCAACAACAACCATGAAATGGTTGCTTATAAAAAAGAAAAACCTGTTGCTAGCACATCCTGACAGAACTCTGATCTCCGCAAGGCTCCCTCTTTCAGGGCAAATGAGTCAAACAAAAACAATGTTTCCCCACGACCACCATGAAAAAGTCCCAACCCTTCAGTCAACCCGATTAAAAAAAAACCGGCAGCGGCCGTCACACGGGCAAGCGGAGCCATTCGTCGGTTGGGCTCCCTCCTCCAAGGCCGGGCCCTCGGTGGCGTCCTGAGCCGCATTGGACTGCGCCTGCACGGCCGCCACGCGAACGGAGGGACACCGAAGGAAGATAGATGGATGGATGGATGGATGGACGGACGGATGGATGGATGGATGGATAGACAGATAGATAGATTAGGTATATACAGTATGTTCATATAGACCTATATATATATATATATGCATACCTGCATGTATGTATATATATATATATGCACACTTACAATCCCTTCTTAAGTTCCTCTAGGTAATCAGTTGTTTCTTTTCAAAGGATGCCATGCTGCTTGGTGTCAAAAGGGAAGCAACTGGAAAATCGCAATTCTGGGCTGCCCGTGTCCTGATCTCCTGCTAAAAGTGGTTGACTTGTGGGTTAAATGGAAACTACCACTAAACCTTAAACACTTAAAAACCTAGTTGGAACCGGATGGCTGGGAACAGCCAAGAACTTGTCGAGGTCCCCCCAACTTGACCCCCGTGCAAGCCGTTTCTTGGAACCGCCCTTAGGGTCCCCAGCCGCTTCTGTTAACATCCGAAGCTCGTGCGGCTTCCACCGGATGTGCGGAAAACCGAAACGAGGATCTACGACTGGTGTTGGTTTTGCCAAGTTGGGGTTAAACGTAAGAACTCCAGTTATCAGCGTCAGCATGTTATGATTCCCAAGACCTTCATGAAGAAAGCAGTTGTTTGTATGTGTTTATATCGAATACGACAAACCACTTCCTGGTGTTCGCGGCGTTGTTCGCCCTGGAGCGAGCAACGAAAAAACGCTCGAAGGGCGCGTGGGGTCTCCCTTCGGCATAAGCGTTTTTTTTTTTTGTTGTGGATAAGACTTGGCCAGACTCAGACCCAAGCCCGTCTTAACTTGTTGGTGGCTGAAGGGCAAAATGATGGAAACCCAAAGGGGAAACAGTCAAAAAGGCAAGCTAAGTCTGGCAATGAAAAGGGCGGCAAGCCCGTTTTGGCTGTTTGAGTTTGAAGGGACGGGAAACCAACAGCTCTCCATTGAATATTGGGCAACTAAGTCAAAGATAGCAGGCAGGGTATCAGAGTCCGCCTGAACCGGTTGTTTCATCCAATTTGCGTCTCCAAATGGATGTCTTCTTTTTGCGATTGAAAGGAAGCACCTTCAAAAAGGATTCCCCACAAACACACCTAAAAAGGACAAAGGAAGCGACCCACTGCGCAGCTAAGGGCAATACTTTGCGGCCGGCGGAGCAGTCTCGACATCTGTGAGATGACTTGTGAGCCCGTAATAAGGCTACTTTGGGGGTGGATAACAGGTGATGGCCCCTCTCCCCCATAGGCCCGCTTGAAGGGTTCACAAAAACAACACGCTGTCGTGTGAAGACTCAATTGCAACATGGGGCACCCCTGTTGCCTCTTAAACTTACCCCTTAAAACTCCAAGCCCTGGGGAAGTTAATCTTTTCCAGACATATAGCCCACAAAAAGTTGAAAAGTTGTGTTTTTAAGAGGTAAGTAAATGCCCCCCTCCTCCAGCCCGCCTTGCCCTTGGCTTTCGCCTTGGCCTCCTTCTTTGGCGACTCCTAGGAACCACAGCAGAAGCAAGAAACCCATCTGTAACGCGTGCCAACATGAGTACTCCGATGCCCAGTGGCCATGGGAAAAAATGGATCGGCACCTTTTGTTGGTTGGTTGAGTTTAAGGAAATCGGAACCCTGAACCAACAAAAGTTGAAAAAAAAGGCACCAGCCCACTGGGCCACAGAGAGTATGACAAGTTTACAGGTCTTTGACTCAGATCCCGAGACCTGAAGGAATCCCCCATGACCTGGTTGAAGGAATCCTCCAGGGTTTTCAGCTCGCCGCCGGACACGTGATCAATCATGAGGAGCACCAAATACTGACTCTGCTGGGTCCTCCACTAGAGAGGTTAAAATAAGGGTACCCTTTTTCCTCTGGTCTAATTTCGTGGGGGAACCCTCCCTCAAAAGAGGGTAAAAGGGCACTACTGGGGGACCTAGCTGACTCTTCCAAATGCCCCAAACCTCAGCTTCCCAGGCGGGTTGGATTCTCGGTTGCTTTCTGCTCCCCTGCTAAAAGTTTAACTTTTAGTGGTTTGGTGGAAAACCCTTTAGTTGGCAAAAAGTTAAAGTCCCAAGCAGCCAAGCAAAATGCACCAAAGGATTGGTGGTTTCGTGGTTGGTTTACCTTTGTTTCGCCTTGTTTGGCCACAACCATCCCTCGAGTCACCAAGCATCCCCCAAAGAATCAGAACCGCACAGCCGGGAAGCGGCTTCCTCCCCTCTGGGGAGGCGGAAAACAAAGGAGTGGATCGGTCACTACTCCTTCTGTGAACATTTCAGGAAGTTTAGTGATGAAAAAGCAACATGAACCTCACACCCATGGTCTACCATGTTGTTGCAGAACTCCCGGTTGCTCCTTAGCCCCCTCCTTGAAGGCTAATGTGGATGACCCTACTTCCTTCCCGCCACGAGCTAGTTGTACTCATTTAGGCCCTCACAGTAGATGGTGTAACGGGGGGTGATCAATATTCCCTTCGGCTTCCAGTTGACCATGGGTAACTTGTCCCGTGTGGGACATATCTTACTTTTAGTGGTTTCCCCCAATCCTCATCCTGTGTTGTGTCTGACCATTTGATCAACCCTGATATCTCACTTCCTGAGTGGAGCCAAACAAAGTCTGAGCTGTTGATTTACCATCACCATGCTCTTCCCGAAAAAAAACTCGATATACAGTCCAGCTCAGGAAGTGGGGATACAATGGCTGAAATATGGGAATCCATCATTGACTAGGTCCTCCAGTAGAGAGCTTAGAAGAAGTTGGTACCCTAACTCTTTTTCCTGTAGTCTATGTTAGTAGGGTTCGGAACCCCCCCAAAATTCGGGTGAGAAATCAAGAGAGGGAATCCATCCTTCGACGCCTCCCCGACCCCAAAAAAGGGGCACTACAAAGGGCACTGGGGGACCAAGGGAATCCGCCGATGCACGCCGTCCAAAATCCTTCGCCTTAAAAAAGGCGTTTTTTTTCCCCCCCCTCTGGCCAAAACCCAGCCAAGCAAATCCCCGGAATGCTCAATAACATATGAGTCGCAATCAAAACCCAGTTTAAAAATGGTCGACCCAGAACTATGTAAAGAACTGAAAGAAGGCGGTCGCAGCTATTTACGGCTGGGATAAATCCTTACAAACGGTCACTTACCCAGGTTTTGATTGTGGCTCATATGGGCGTCCTGTTTACAACACCCCCTACAACAAGACACACTCATATTCTGGTGGCTCTGCTCAACTTTCCTTTCGGCATCTTGGCTACGTCCCGCAAGCGCCTTGTCCGCCCAGGTGTCCAAAAGTGGACAAAGGGGCACTGGCAAATCAAAAAGAGCCAAACTGAAACCAGCGCAATCTTGCTACCATGTCCTGGTAGCTCCCAAAGGCTCCTCGCGAACGGTTCCCTTGCCACCACTATGTTCAAATTAGCCAACGAAAGCTGATCTCAACCTTCCACTTGCTTGAGCCCCCGGAAAAAAAATAACCATATTTCCAGTAGTGATCGATTCCTTCCAACACCAACAAAGGAAAATTAAAACCAATTCTTAAACAAATGGAAGCAACGGGAACCGGTCTGCGCTAGAAGCGCGCTCCGTCCGTCCTTCTCCTTGGCACGGCCCTTTGCCTTTGCCTTTGCTTTTGCCTTTGGACTGGGCGCCTCTTCTTCTTCTTCTTCCTCCTCCTCCTCCTCCTGGCATGGAGCCATTTGCCACCAGCAGACGGGCGAAAGGGGTTTGGGATTGACCATTCTTCCCGAGAAACCTACCAAAGAACAGGGAGAAAGCTGGAATCTACTGAACTTGCGGCATACCTCCGCTGGTGTGGTCCCTCAAACAGTTCAATAGACGTCTCGCTTGCCAAGAAAAACACAATATGCCACTCGTAGTTCCTTCATCGGTCACACGAAGTCTTGGCCCAACCCCAACTTACAACAAGGAACCATGTTTTGAACCATGTTTTTTTTGAGGTACCCCCTTTTTGGCTGCTTTAAAGGGAACCACAGGGAAATCCAGCATTTTGGGGGCATCCCCCCACAAACACGCACACCCATGCCTGGCTTACTTTTCATTGCGCAACCCCCAAAATCCTTAATCGCTGAGGAGACCCCAGCAAAGGCCAGTCCCTTCCAAAAGTTGGCTCACTGAGTTCGATGATGGGTTCCACTACCCCCCCAAACCAAAGCTACCCGCGGGGAAAGTTGGGGTATACGGTAGCCATATCCCAGGAAACCTCTGGGGGTAGCTTCGGTTTGGGGGTGGCAACCATCTTGTAGATGACAAGATGAGCAGATCCAATACTTGGAGCCTGTCATGCTTGGTCCGCGAAGAAGGGTTTGGGGCATTGGCCCCTCAAATGTTGCGCCCCGAAAATTGTTGTTGTTTTGTGTTTTTTTTTTGGGGGGGGTTTGGGCGCATGACCAAGTGGTTGAACCCTTCGAGTGCGAATTTTCGTGGGGATTTAGGTCCAACAACCATTTGGGTGTGTCTTTCTTTAGGGGATCCCCAACCATTGTGGAGTTGCTCGTGTTTTACCTTTTTAACCACCGAAAAAGCGGTACCCTCAAAAAAAGACACGTTTACTTGGAAGGATATCATCTCCATCAAAATTCACAACCATGTCAGCTCTGTGCGCTGTGTGCACCATACCAGGGAATTTGCCAAATGACTATCCGACATGTGAGAAGCGAAATCGTTGCTCCCAACAAAGAACAGAGTGGCAATGGGCCTGTCTCAACATTAGGAAACCCCTTTCGGATGGCTTTACATAAGTGGACCTGCACCCCCCCTCAAAAAAAAAAGCGTACACAAATCGCCACTGTTCCCCCAGGGCGGCACAGTGGCATGGGAGATGGTGAGTAACAACCCTAGGCCGACCCAAAACGGGAGTGGGTTCGATCTCACGACATCCAAAAGAGTGGTCCATGTTACATGGGCTTGTCGCCAAACAGTGGGAATCTTGAACAAATGGGCGGCACCCAAGAAAACAGCAAAAGCCCGTTTTCGACACGTCGACCCGTTTAAAACGGGTGGAACACACCCAGAGACCCAGCCTCCACCTTGGGCTTGCCGCGGGTCTTGGCTTTGGCTTTGGCCTTGCCCTTGGGCCCCGGCTCCTGCTGAGAGCGATTTGGGTGCCAGGCTGAACATGTTTCCTCTTTCCAACATCATGGAAGTGCACCGGGGGGAGGGGGGTCAAATTCCTCTTGTCAGGTTCTATTGTTTTTGGAGGGAGGTAAGTGACTAAACCAATACATTTGATAAATAATGAAGTACACTAGCCTCTTCCAAGCATTTGGGGCCGCGTGGTATCTCCCTGGCAAATCAAAATGGTTTACCCAAAGCAGTTGACTTGTTGGATTCCATGTCAATCGGAATGGGGCAGCGTCTTCTCACTTCCTGAGCTCTGGCCAAGCAAGTACCTAAACTTTGTTGTTTGCCACGAACACGGGCTACTCAAAACTCAGATGCCCAGTGGCCATAGGAAGCAAAGGCATCCTTTTTTAGCTGGTTGAGTTAAAGGAATACCCAAAAAGAAGAAGAAACAAAACACCGCTGGGCAACAGAGAAAAGGTTTAGAGTCCATGAACTCAGGGAGCGAGTCTTCCAGCTTGCTTAAGCCCCCGGGAAAAAATACAAATATTTTTAGCAGTGATAGATTCCCCTTAAAACCAACAAGGGAAAAAAGTATTAAGCTCAAATGGAAGCCAGTGTCCAGGACCCGCCATTCCATGCGAGTCCTTGGCAACTGTGCCGGCTTCGGTCTTCCCTGCCGCAAGCGCTGCCCGAACATCGCTGAAGCTTGAGTCTGTCTCAAAATAGGTCCCAACAAACCTGGGCTGCCCTCAGATCCCCTGCTAAAAGTTTAACTTTTAGTGGGCTAAATGGAAACTACCACAAGACACCAAAAGGCTGAAAAGCTAAGGGGATGGCTGGGAGCCACCAAGACACTTGTGCGATTTCTTTGTGGTAAAAAAACCTTGAAGTCACCAGCGACCCTGTTGAACTTGTCTGAATCTAGTCTTCCCCACAAAAGGGACAATGGGACCACGAACGCAGTTCCACGCTCAGTGACAGTTCAGCTTTAAAAGTCGTGGTGGGGATTTCGATGGCGACATGCCAAAGCAAAACACAACGCGCGACGTCGCAACAGCTTCGACGAGCAGCAAACGTGAACAACGCGGTTGATTGGCATGACTACTTTTCACATGTACAGGGGATGGCTCACTTCCCAAGTGGATTGGCCAAACCATGTCTAAGAAAACACGTCGTTTGCCACGATAATGGTCCAAACGCAAACACGGACTAAATTCATCGAACCAGGTGGTGTCACAGAAATTCGCCCTGAAACCCAATTTGCCATCACACTTGCCTAAAGAAGCCAGAACTCAAAGGTCACAGGCTGTTAAAAAAACCTGGGGGCGAAAGCTGTGTCACACGTGCTTCCCCTAACTTTTCTGCAGTTTGTCACCTCTGGCACTTGCTTGGCAGTGAACGGAGGTTTTATGAGCATAGTTGCAGCTCAATTCCTCGCAAATCTAAATCAACAAACTGCAGCATACGCACGACAGAAATCCTTTCCAATGGGAAGCTGATACCTCCAAACAAAGCTATGCATGTAGCGGAAAAAAAAAACACATACTAGAGTGAAGCTGAATTGGTACATTCCCCGACCCTCTCCCCCCCGCCCTGCAACTGCAACTCCACATCACAGCCTGAAGCAGCAAACAGCAAGAAAGCACCAAAGGTACCAGGTTTTTTACCAGCTTGTTCCCAACTAAAAGGGTAACCATTTTGGGGCCATGACTAAAAATGGACCAAAAAGGGAAAACAAAAAGGGAAAACAAAAACGTCAAACATCCCCAAAACAGCGAGCCTCGCTTTGCCGCCGGCTCCGCCGCTGCTTTTGGCGCAGGTCGCTTTGGCGCGGGCGCGACGCTCTTGATGCGGTCGATTAGGTCCTGCAGCTCGGTGCTCGACAGAGAGGTAACGAGGCATGACATTGTTTTGAGGCTTGGAAACCTTGAAAGGGAAACCAACAGCTGTTGTTTTGAATTCATTGTTTTCTGCAGCGTGTCCCTACCCAACTGCAGCACTGTTCCGCCCTGAGTGAGTTTCATGATTTCTCCCCCACCAACTTTATGAAAAGCTGTTCTTGCTGGTGTTTTCAGTTCCCCTCCTAAAGTATGAAACTGTTATTGGGTTAAATGGAAACCCAACCACCTTTCACAAACTAAAAGCAACTAAAAACCTAAGTTCGCCCGGCTGGCTGGGAATCGTCGCAAAACTGCCTCGCAGTTGCGAAGCGCTTGCTTCACATTGCTGATCCCTGGAGTCTCCTGCGGACCCTTACCTTACCTCTTAAAAACACGAAACTTTTCTCGACTTTTTGGGTAACATGGGCGAAAAGTGTCTGTAAAAGATGATAACTTCCCCAGGGCTTGGAGTTTTAAGGGGCAAGTTGCCAATGGGGTCATCTACCAAAAAGTCGTCACAGAAGAAAAAAAAGGACCCCGGAGGAAGAAACCCCTTTCTTATGTTTGTTTTTTGGGGGGTGCTTCTCCCTGGGGACTCAGTGGGGATGTATCACTTTTGGAGGGGAACACGCCCATATGAATAAACGAAGTAACAAGGTCCGCCAGCTAGGTGCCCGCTCTTTCACCCCTTTTTTGGTTGGGAGGGTTCCCCTACTAAAATAGACTACAGAAAAAGTTGGTGCCCTCATTCTAACTTCTTTATTGGATGACCTAGGTAAGTACCCTTAAAGGACCCGAAAGAACTACCCATACACAAAGGGAAAACTCGCCGCCCATATGATTTTGTCAGGGTTGCAACAACCCATTTTTTGGTTGGTATTTGAGGGTCCAGGTAGGTTATAACCATGGTACGGGGACTAGATCACCCCATCTACAGAAGTTATAACCATGGTGAAGCGACCTACTTAGCTGATGTTGGTTGATCCATCCCCTTTCGATCCCCTGGCGCCGGGGTTCCGGGGATCGATCCGGATGCATCCTGAACACATTGCACCCTCGTAAAAATGGTGTGTCCTTTTAGACCAGAGGTGTCCCTTTAGAGGGGAAAAAAAGGACCTGGTACATTGCAACTTGCTCTCTGGTGTTCTTTCCAACTTTGTTTTGGTCTTGAAAATTGAAAAAGCAACATGTTTCAAAGATGGGCAAGCAACAATTGGAGATTGTTTTTAGGGAGCCCTGCCTGAGTGACCTGAAAACACCTTGGTTGCTGTTGACCCTGCAACAAGTGGACCACTTGTTGGGGGGTTACTGGAAAACCCAACTTAATTTCCCAAACATGACTTACTTCCCTGGCGCCTGTAAAAAACCAACAGGGGGGAAACATATTGAACAAAATAACACATTTTCTTAGCCAAATGGAAGGTTGGGTTTGTAAGTACACCTAGAACTGGGGGGACCTTGTGACTTAGGCCGTGCGGGTGTTGCCCGATCCCCGATCCTGCTTGCTGCCGCTGGTCACCAGGCTCAGCTCCTTGGCCTTGACCTTCAGCTGCGCCACCGTCATCCCCTCCACCGCCTGCGCGCGGTCAAGCGCGCTGGTCAAGCGCAAGCGAGACACCCGGCGGAAGGCAAAAAAAGCGCGGGCGCCCTCGGATTTCGTTTTTTGGGGGGGCGGTCCGAAAAGGGAATGTCCAAAATAATGGGACGGGTTTATTAATCCCGGGTCAACATTAAACCCTGCAAAAAAAAGAAGAAGAAGAAGAGGGCGTCCCCTTCCCTTCCGGGGGGTTTGATGGGGTGTACAACCACCCAACGCCAAAGGCAGCTGGAACTGGATGCCTCACACTGACTGGCGCATGGTCCTTTTCAAGCGGACCTGCCAGTTCCATGTTGATTGGTCAGGGGGTCAATGGACACCCAACCACCTTTCACCCCAAAAGCCTAAGGAACCGGATGGAGGCCGCAAGGCCTTCCATTACAACGGGCACCCAAACAAGTTGCCTCCATGCATTCTACGAGTTTGGGGTTTCGGGTGGATGCCTTGCATATATGTCAAGAAGAGTGACATCCCAACAATTGTAGATGAAAGGCGGTCTCATTGATGCTTGCCATACTTATACAAAGGGAAGTCCACCGTTCTAGGAGCTGATTCCTGCCCGGCGCTCTATGAGACCAACAAATAAATTTACACCTACAGAGTCAGCAATCACCTAGCTGATTCCCCCGAACCGATCCGGTCCGTTTCCATCCGGTGTCCGTTTCCATCCGGTGACCTCATGGAAGGAGCTCCCGGAAATGGGGAAGTTAAGCCGAGAGGCGCCCATGTGTCGGCGCATCAAAAGACTTGAATAGAACTCACCCCAGTTCATCTAGCAGCAGTGTGACCATTTAGATACCCATATGTACTAAGATGGCAAGCAGGATTTGGGCTACTCAGGCATAGTCACCAGACATGAGAAAGCACCTAACAAGCAACCTAAATCAAACCTATCGCATGATGGTGCTATTTGGAAAAGAACGGAAGTGTTGCATGCGCTCGGCTGATCTCACTTTTAATAGAATGTCTTGCACACATCCCACTTAAAGGGTCTCAACTGGAACGATAGAACAGTCCTTTAGGGGGCCCATCACAGTACCAAACCAGGGCCGAACTTGAGCAGGGATTCTTACATGAAAAACACCTGAACATTGCAACTTGTAAATGGTGGTGTCCGTGGAAAAAGCCATGTTTCAAATGGTTGCAAAATGTATCTTTTAAGGAGCCCTGTTGAGACAATGTTTCCCTTTCCATCCCCTTCCACATCGGCAAAGCGCACCTTTGTTTGCGACCAGCAGCAAAACAAAAGCAGAACCCCCCAAAAAACAAATCCACTGAAGCAAACCCGTGACTATACAACAGTTAAGCAACAGTTTTTGCAGAACACCCATCGCCGAGCACGTGAGACATCAAAGGTGGAAACAAAAGATTCACCTTTTGGGACCACCAAACATGGGCAAAGCAAAAACCAAAAGGTCAAATCCAGTAAACTTGCCTTGTGAGAAGCTGCCCCGCCTCTCATGGTTGCAGCCCACTCAAGTAGGTTTTAGCAAGCTTCACACCTCCTAAAATACTTTTTGCTGGTGGATATCCACCACACACCACACCATGGTCAATTGCGGTAGGTTAGGGGCGTTCTGAATGTTCCCTTCTGGGGCTCTCCTAAAATAGGGCATCCCCACACAATTCTGACAAACAGGGTCATGTGAATCACAATCAAAAGATGGTATTGAACTGGTCTACCCAGAACCAGTTAGAAGAATTAACATGGCGGCGAAGGCACCCATCTATTGGGAACATCCCTTACTTACCTTCATCTACGCGGGTTTGATTGTCAGTAGAGACGTTAGAATAGGGGTGCCCTCTTTTCTATAGTCTATTTTAGTAGGGAAACCTCCCCAAACAAAAGGGTAAAAGGGCACTACTGGGGGACCCATTTGCTCAAGCCCGTGGAGAACAAAAATAAATCCAGTAGTGATCGATTCCTTTTAAAACCAACAGGGGAAAATAACAAATATTCTTAAACAAATGGAAGTCATCGAATTGTTTCCCGGGTTTGATTGTGGCTCATGTAAACTCCAGGTGTCCAAAAACTTCGCCGTCGCCGGCCTCTTCCTTCGCAGGAGCTCTCTTTGGCGCCATGGCGACGTGGCGCGATTCGGCACGCGGGGCGCTGGGACGTCACCCCGGCTAGGGATTTCTGCGCGGCAGGCCTGAGATGAATGATAAATGGAATCCCAGGCTTCAAAAATGGAGGGGTTCGTGTAAAAACATAGAAACACGAATGGGTGCGGCTCAAACATAGGAACCCACAATGGAACCCTATGAAAATGTAGACAAAAACCTGCGGGCCCCTGGCTCTTAAATTTTGAGCCACATCCGAATTGTCGGGGGTGACAAGTTCCATCTTGGAAAACTTGCACCTCGGAAACGTGCCATGCTCCAGGCTCCAAGGCACGAGTTTCCATAGAGCACGTGGGATTCTTTTCGGTACTGTCTGTCTTTTATTTGACACAAAGCTGCGGCGTATCAAGACTCAAGCACCTTGTGAGCACCAGAAGGAGTCAGCGCATAGCTGCGATGGGTTTTTAGCGTTACCGCGTCGAGTCATGTCGCGGTTGCAATGCTGAGTCGCGTAGCCGAAGGCCACCGAACAAGGGGGTACCAACTCCAAAACACGACACGTGGCTCATCATTTTGCCACTTTGCAAATGCCGCAGTACAAACAAAGAATTATTTCGCATGATCATGGTCTAAACTGGTGAGAAAAAGGTACCACCCCGTTCCAATCTGGGCTGTCCGTTTTCAGATCTCGTGCTAAAAGTTTAATTTGTGGGTTCAATGGAAATCCCCACTAAACACTGAAAAGCTAAAGCTATATAAGGGGATGGCTGGGAGCCACCAAGCTACAGAGATTGATTCGTCCGATTAAATTTCTGAACATAAGGGATCTTCATCATGGGTGAGCTCGTGTTGCCCCCAAGTAAGCTCGCTATGATTTGCCCAGTAACCTTGAAATGAGCCTTGGACCATCCCGTGAATCAGTGCAGAATGGATGTGCCGAAACCAACCTCCGACCCCAAGGCCGCCTTGAGGGGTCCCAGATGACAACCCAAATGGTCGTTCCAAAAGATGGAAACCAAAATGGCACCTTGCTAAACCCGGCCGTCCGTTTTCAGCTCCCCCGCTCAAAGCTTAACTTGTGGCTTGAATGGACATCCAACCACTAAACACTAAAAAGCTAAAAAGCTAAGGGGATGGCTGGAAGCCACCAAGCAAATGGAACCAAGGACTCAAACCTGCGGTATGCCCTGGCTCTTTGATTTTCAGCCACGCCCGGATCTAGCAAGACCCTGAGCTTGACTCTTGGTGGTTTGGGGCTTCCAATCAGGGGCATCCTTCCGCCCGGGTCAAACCCAGGGCGAGTGGCTGGCGTCGCGGCGCCCTCAGATCCCCTGCCAAAAGCTTAGCTTTTAGATCCCCTGCCAAGAGCTTGAATGGAAAACCCTTCACTGACCCCTAAAAAGCCAAACAGCTAAGGGGCTGGGAGCCACCAAGTAAACGAGTCGGGTGAGGACAGGGGATCAACCCTTACCGGGTCTGCCGGGGGAATTGGGCTGGATGGTGCAAATTCAGCCTGTCCAACCCTTGTCATGCTCACTGGCTGAGTGGATGGCCCAAAAAAAGTAACCGAACTTTATAATTTATATATGCCACTAAATTGGTCTTCCCAAAAAGTTTAAAGTTCATGAACTCAGGCAGAGAGCATGTTCTCTTCCCAAACACACATTTGTTCTCTTTGCAGCCCGCAAAGAGAACAGAACCTCTTTCAGCCAAACAACCGGTTAACAAACACAATGCAAATGCAAAGCAACTGTGACCTCTTGAACTTTCCACTTCTCTGCTTCTGAACTGCGCCTGTTCGTGGCTGCCCCAGAGCTTTTAGCTCCTGAGCTCTATTTTTTTGAATGCAGATTTGGATACTCCGGGCTCCTTGGCTCTCTTCCCCCCACCAGCCAGTGGGACCCACTGGCCAAAAAATGATTCCAGGTGATGCTCCCTACCTGTGCCTGCCGCATCAGCACAAGGCCTATCCCTCAACCCACTCCTTGCTTCGGAGGTCGGGCTGCACGGCAACAGCACCCACCGCTGAATGTTTTGCCTTTAAGGGCACCCTCAAAAGCGTCGTTTTCTTCTTGGCGTTCGTTTGAAACCACAAGAAAGGGAGAGGAGAGGGGTGCCAACACAAAAAAACGCGCCACCTGTTGGTGTGTGCCCACCCCGACGGCCTTCTTTTTCCTTCGCCAAATTGTTCAAATGGAATTTGTCCCGGAGTCCGATCGCAGAGGAACCGACGATCGAAAGTTGCGGGCGTTATTTCAAAAAATGAAATCCGGGCCACGGGCTAGGCCACAGAGTAGCACCCAGCGCGGCCGGCGCGGCGCCCGATGGAAACGAATGCCCTCAATGCTTGTCCTTTCTCCTGGTGAAAAATCGGCCGCTTCTCACGTTCTCTTCCGCAACCTGACCCGGCAATCAGGGAGGCGCAACCGTGCATGAAAAAAATGCTACAACCCCCGTAGAGCCAGGTAGTAGAGCCCGGTAAAGATGGCCATCCCTACTCCCTTTGCTCATACCTGAAAGCAAGCTAGTTGTTGTAAATAACTGGACATGAAGCCTCCCCACATATAACACCCCTTGCGAGCCTGCCATGATACAAGTTGGATTGGAATTCCTGGTGCATGGTTCTTTCAGACTTCCGTGATGTTCTTCTGTGCTGATCGTGTGTGTGAAGCCCATCAACTCATCTGATTCAGAGCCATAGCTTAGCCCGCCCCGCCCCGCCCCGCGCCCCCGCCCCGCGTCGCGTCGCGCCCCGCGCCCCGCGCCCCCGCGCCCCCGTGTGGGCCCCTTTTTGCTTGAGGAATGACGCCGATCTCTTGGGTGTGTGCTTGCATTACTTGTCAGTTCCTAGGCACGGCGTCGGATTGGCCCGAATCATTGAGATATGCAAGCAGTGGTCAAGCAGGAATCCGCCCCCCGCATTCAGAAGCTTCTGCCCGAGCCAAAGGCACGGGTCGTCTTCAGTAAGCAAGTTGGACAGTGCAATTCTACAGCTGGCAGCGGGGCTGGCAGGATTCGGTCCGGGCGCTTCGGGTGGTGCTCCCAGCTTTCGCAGGGTTTAAAGTCATCCGTTGCCCGCGGTTTCCACAGCGGGCAACCCAGTTTTGGCGCTTGCTTCCGCGCTTTTCGTCATCCATAGCACTGCTGGCTATGGCAGCCTCATGCTTGCGTTTACTACGCGCGTTCGCCTTTGCCAAACGCTTTTCGTCTCTTTCGACGAGCTTATCAAAAGTCAGGAAACGCTTGGCTTGCAACGACCCACGGAATGCTGCCAATTGCGCTTTGTGCTTTCGTTTTTTTGCCGTCGTTCAGCTTCGTTCTAACGGCTTCAGACCATAATAAATATCCCTTGTTCCGACCCTTTTGGTGATGCGTGCAAGGGACCACCAAAATTCCAAGTCCGAGCGCGCTGCTCCTGTGTGAAGTCACCACCCCGCGCAGGCTTGCCAGGCTTAGCTTGTGGTGGTGCGTGCTGAAGGACTGCTTTCAGCTCTTTGTCCGCAAGCGCCGCCCGAAGGTGGATCGTCCCCTTTTCGGCCGTCGGTTGCTTAGCTCAAGCAACACTTGACATAGCTGTCAACAAGGGCGACTCTGGACCCCGAACCCCTTAGGTGGCAGGCATGCAAGGGAAACAGAGCAGATTCAAAACAATCACAATGTTTGCCTGACATGCATCCTGAGTCTATCCTGGCAATGGATGTGGCCCACGGATCAAAACGAGGTTGTCTCATGCGGAAACACCCATCTGAGATTTCCCTAAGCCATCCAACAAGGGCCCTCAAACAGCACACAGCACTCGCAGAAGTTGATCCAGAGTCAAGACAGGGGTGGAATCCTAATGATTCCCAGATCTGAATCGGAAAGGAATCATGGGATCCAGGATGAATTCGTCGATGTGGAAACCCGAGACAAGAAGCTTTTCTGGGCCTGGGGCATGAGCTGCGGAAACATAAGTTATACTTGTGAGAGGAATCTTCCTTAATTACGTCCCAAAGCAACCCATTTGTGAGCTACTATTTGATTTGCGCGGAAATCACATGTCAAAAGTGTGGGTCCCCAAAAAAAGGATGCAGCTCCGCCCTATTGGGTGCAGAGCAAAACCTTACGAATGCTTCAAGCCCCTCATGCTGGATGACCCTGAAAAAGGGAACTCCTCCTTCGCATGAATTGGTCTCAATAACGATGACATGACATGAAAAGCTCAATTGGGACTAACCCCGGTAAAGAGGGAGAAAGGGCGGAAGAGGTGAAAAAATTGAGTTGCCCCACCTCCTCCCCAAACTAACACAATAGGCTGACAATAGGAGTTCCCCTTTGGCGCAGAAAAGGGTAGCCTCAAAAACCAGAGATGCCAACACCTGGAATTCCAAGCCCCCTTCTCTCTTTGCACCCTCCACTTTGTCCTGCAATCACAAGATCCCGAACGTCTTTCAGTTGAGGGCACCCCTTTTGTCGTGTGATTTCTCCCCCAGCGAACGACATGCAACCACAAATTGGAGGATTCTCGCATTCCAGGGGTCACGGGACTTTCAACCGAACCCATTTCCAAATTTCCAAACCAACCAAAACGTCTCAAGACCTACATTTTACAACTCGGAAACCAACCCAAACGTCTTAGGAGCCGCATGAGCACGAACCCTCAGCCCTCCGAATCCGCGCGCCTCTTTCAGCTCTTGGCACTTGAGCCAGGCCTGCGGGGTGTCGAATGGGTGTCGATTCGAGGCGGGTGGACCGAGCTTGGGGCGAGTGTTTGGACCCCAGAAAAAACGAGATAAATCTTATACCAGCTAATATGGAAGTGCACAGACCCCTGTAGAAAGACTACCTCTTGGCAAAGGCCTTTGTGCACTTCCATGTTAGTTGGTGGGAGGGTATGTGTTTTAAAGCCTGGTTTGTTTCGAAAACCAAGGAACCCCCCAAAAAACTAAATGAAAAGGGAAACAAAACTCTGGGGAAGTCACTGGGGGCCTTGTTTCTCTTGTGTTTCTTTGGCCCTGCAAACTGCACAAAATGTAAACAAAAGACACCGAGCTTTGCTGGGTGTGTGATGCCCAAAAAGGCGTTGGCTTCTTTTGTGGTTCTTGGCTGCAAGATAGACACATGTGTCTATGGCGCCCCGTTGCCATTCGTAGTCCTGAAGAGAATCAGAATCGGTTTCTGCTCCCCTGCTAAAAGCTTATAACTTTGAGTGGTTTAGTACGGAAAACCCATTAGTTGGCAAAAAGTTAAAAAGTCCCACCATCCCTTGGCAAAATGCACCGACAGAACGTGGGTTGCCAAGAACGGAGATCTCCATGGCTATGGGAGGGCTATCACTTCTGAAGCCCTGAAGCAGGGCTTGTCCTTGGCTTATCCGGCAGCCCAAAGGCGCTTATCACCCCCTTATCGGACCACCTCGCGGCGGGGGGGGGGAGGGGGGGGTCCCTCTAATTACCTGAGTTTTGACGGTGACTCAAACGATCTTAATCATTAGCCCCTGGGTACCCCTTCTTCAAGTAGAAAGTCGAACTCAAAACACCTCACCCGGTCTGTGTCAACAAAAGCCCCGTGGGTGAGCTCAGCGCTCGGCAGTCAAACCAGTATTGATCAACCCGGATGTATCGGGAGTGTTCCCCAAAATGGAACTCCGCCAAGGGTCCTTGCTTCTCTCTGGCTAAAGTATCCTTCTGACCCGAATCAAACATGGGTTGCCATGAGCCCTTTCTTTTTGCTCCATTGCACTTGTTGGAACCTCCAAAAGTGGCGATGGTTTCAATGAAAACCACCGGTAGATTGATCAACATTCGATTTGAGGAAATCCAGCGACCCAGGCTCAGTCTTGAAGGGTCATGGATCCCCTGCTAAAAAGCTCTCAACTTGCAAGATAAATTTGGAAGCCCCCACCATTTCTCAACCAAAAAACACTAAACAAGGAACCGCCTGCCTGGGATTGCCACCAAGTTGGGGGTCACGGTCCAATTGTCGAGTTTCCGAACAAAAATCCGCGCCCGACCTTTCCCATGAGGACCACTTTGTCCACGAAGGGCACGTATGCCCGCCGGCCTGGGCAAAAACAAAATGGCGGAGTGACCGGGAAAAAGGTGTCCTTCGCTGGACAAGTTGAAGTTTTAGTGGCTAGGTCCTCCAGATTTGAGAGGTTAGAACAAGGGTACCCTTTTTGTCTGTAGTCTACTTTAGTAGGGGAACCCTCCCCAAAAAAAGGGTAAAAGGGCACTACTGGGGGAGCTAGAAGTTTTAGTGGGTTAAATGGAAACTGGCTGGGAACGGCCAAGTTTGAAACCATATGGCGTGTGCTACCATGTCCCTAACCAGAACTCCGATCGGTAGCTCCTCGACGGCTCCCTCTTGTTGGCAGATTGGATAGCAGGGAATGCTCCCTAACGGCTCCCTTCCAACCACCAATTAGCTGGTGTGTCCTTGAGTTTAAACAAAGGGAATCCCAATGTGGTGCCTTGCGTTTTCCTTGACAATTGGAATCCACCAGTTTTCCCTTCGAACCACCACAGCGATGTTCATGGCGTAAATGAGGCGGTGTTTGAACAGCCACAAGGCACAGCGTCGAACTCCCAATCCTTATGAAACGACCACGAGACGGTGTCCCAACCATGCTCAAAAAATCCTGACATCCTCACCGAATCTCAGTTGTTCAGTGACCCTCGGAAAGAAAAAAAGAAAAGAAGAGCAACCCTTTTTGGGGCTTGGACCATGCTTAGTGGGGCAGCCACCCAAAAAAAAGGGAAAACCAATCGGTACCACTGGACAGCTGAGGAATGGAACTCTCGACCCTATACCAAATCCAAACGTTGCCACTTTCTAGGGGTTCCCTTTATGGAATCCCCGAGGGTAGGAGGTGGGTCTCGGGCTCCTAAGAATTCCTGAGATCCCCGCATTGTTTTTCTTAGGTTGCTTAGGGAGCCATAGGGACCCCCCCTTCGACTCCCTCCCTCGCCTTGACAACTCCGTACTTATATGTTTTGGCCATAGGTTTACTTTTAGGGCAAATAGATGGCCCTGGTAGATGATTAAACACAAGGTAAACCAGGGCCATCTATGTTTCCACCAAAACAACAAAAAAGGACAGCTATGGTGTTGGCCCTAAACCTCCCTTTCCCACAGGCATGCCGAGAGTTTTTGCTCATTTGCCATCGTCTTGGTTGAAAATCAAGGTCTTCGGGACCCACAAGTGGGACAAAGATGCGAGCTGAGGCTAAAATCCTTACGCGCCAAACTGGAACATACCCAAATCCTTCGATTTGAAGGGGCGCCAAACCGTTCTTGAGGGCGTTTTGTTCACATGGGAATCCTTCGTTTTAAAAAGTCACGTTCGGTTTCTGGGAGCCTATATAGTCCACTCCACCAAACGAAAAGCATGGATGAACATAAGCTTCATCACGGTTGAGGGTCAAAAGTGCACCCTTCTTTCCGAGGTTGAGATGTCAGTTGCCCTGTGTTTGTATCGTGAAGCTGTGTTGAGAGTCTGGCTATGGAAACACTGCGCGGCTTCTCAAGTGAGCTGAAAAAACAACATGTATAAAACCCACCATCCCACTATCATTCCTTTTTGAAGCGGCCATTTTAAGACCCCCAAGCGACGGGCTAAGACTTCGACGGGTCCAACACAAATTGGGACCAACCTTGACGTAGCTGACCCTTCAAAAAAAGGACTCAATACCAAAATAACATGGTCATGGCCCTATTTTTCAAGGGTCAGAAGGAGACTAGTAGACACTTACAACTACCCCCTACTCCTGATACCTGTTTTTTTCAGGGTATTTTTGGGGTACATCCAACTTGTTGTTCCAATGTCCGCATAAGGCTGCCAAAGCTCGATCACATTGGCTGAGGGCCGGGCGGAGATTGTCGTATTTGTTCTTCCGTATGCGAGTCAAAATGTCGCCTGGCGCGAGGAGTCTGAATGCCCATTCCAAACTGGGCTGCCCTCAGATCCCCCGCTAAAAGTGGGTCAAATGGAAACTACCACTAAACACTAACAGGCTAAAAGGCTAAGGGGATGGCTGGGAGCCTCTAAGCAAAATGGCCGCTTTCTTTTGATTAATGACGCCAGTTTGAAAGGGTCAGGGAGACTCTGCCATGTCCTTACAAAACTCCTGCTTCCTGGTAGCTCCTTAGCTCCCTCTAAGGCAAAGGTGGATCCCCAACCGCTGGCTGAACCTGCACCTGATTTCTGGCCTGCTCCGCATCATTCACTCCCTGTTCGTTGAGGGATCCGGTCCAGGGGTGGCTTCTGACCTACCGAAGACCCCAGAACCACAGGTCTGGGTTTGCTGAGGGCACCCAAATGCAAGCGGATGGCTTACAGGGACACCAAACGGAAGCCAATTGAAAGCCGTCCCCGAGAAGGTCTCGGTCTTGGACTCGGAAACTGCTCCAGGGACATTCACAGACCAGCAAAAGGGATGTTATCTAGGTCCTTCAGTAGCAAGCTTAGAATAAGTTGGTACCAACTTTTTTTCGTCTGTAGTCTATTTTAGTAGGGGAACCCTCCCCCCATAAAAGGGTAAAAGGGCACTACTGGGGGACCTAGTTATGCTCGCTTGCCGAAGAAACGAAACTCGAATTCAACCACCTGCAACATCATGCGATGCCTTTGATCGCAGACCGATTCACAAATTTCCCGCTCTATGTTTTGCTTTATCTCGAGCACAAAATGAATTGACCCGCGGCCCACACATCATGCTACTGCCGCGGCTTGAAAGGAAATTTAATGGAAACGGAGACAACACCAGTCTCCTGCAAAGTGCTCACAAGACACAACCGCACATGTATGGCATATTATCAAAGGAAGTTTAGAAGGAAACTTCCGAGTTACGGAAACTAATTGAAAGGTAGCTCTGCGCAAGGATGAGATGAAGAAAGAATGAATGCGAGAAAACGTGCGTATACGTGTGGCGGGGGAATAGAAATCTGCAAAAAGTGCAACCCTCTGCGGGTTTTGGCTCCTCCGGCTGGCTGAAAGCTACCCCGGTCGCGGCGTCTGACGGAGACGGGCTCGGGACGGTCTCGGGACGGGCTCGGGACGGGCTCGCGCCGGGACCATTGGCACGGACGCGCACACTTTCGCAAATTTCAAATTTCGTGGCAGGCGCAGCTTTTTGGCAAGGTCGGGTACAGATTTCGTGGCAGGTGCATCACTTTCGCAAGGTCAAGTGCAGATTTCGTGACAGGCGCGGCATTTTCTTACTTCTGGCACGGACGCATCGCAAATCCCATTGGCGCGGACGCGCAAGGCGGCGCATGCAGATTTCGTGGCAGGGGCAGCATTTTCGCGAGGTCAGGAACAGATTTCGTGGCAGGGGCGTCATTGTCGCAGGGTCATGTACATATTTCGTGGCAGGGGCAGCAATTCCGCAGGGTCACGCGCATATTTCGTGGCAGGCGCAGCACTTTCACAAGGTCATGCACATATTTCGTGGCAGGTGCAGCACTTTCGCAAGGTCAAGTGGAATTCGTGGCAGGCGCAGCACTCTTGCAAGGTCAACTTTCGCAGCCGGGGCTCGAAAATCGCAACTCTTAAGTGCAAAAGTAAAAAGCGAAGCCAACTTTCGCAGCTGGGGCTTGAAAATCGCAACTTTTAAGTACGAAAGTAGTACGCGAAGTCAAGATAGAAAGAGATAGAGAAAGAGATAGATAGATAGATAGATAGATAGATAGATAGATAGATAGATAGATAGATAGAGAGAGAGAGCAAGATAGATACATAAACAGACAGAGAGAGAGAGAGAGAGATAAAGAGATAGAGAGATAGAGAGATAGATAGATAGATAGATAGATAGATAGATAGATAGATAGACAGATAAAGAGAGAGAGAGAGAGAGATAGATAGATAGATAGAGAGAGAGAGAGAGATAGAGAGAGAGATAGATAGATATATATATATATATATAAATAGAAAGAAAAAGAGATAGATAGATAGCTAGCTAGATGGATAGATAGATAGATAGAGAGATAAATAAACAAATAGATAAACGATAAACAGACAGATAGATAGATAGACAGATAGATAGATAGATAGATAGAGAGATAGATAAATAGATAGAAACAGAGATAGAGAGAGATACATAGATAGGTAGATAGATAGAGAAACAAATAGATGGATAGATAGATAGATAGATAAATAGATAGAGAGGTAGATAGATAGATAGATAGATAGGTAGAGAGAGAGGTAGATAGAGAGATGGATAGATAGGTATATCTATAGATAATTAGAAATACACACGTGAGATACTGAGATAGAGAGATAGATAGATAGATAGATACATAGATAGAGAGATAGACAGATAGAGAGAGAGAGAGAGATGGATAGATAGGTAGACAGAGAGATAGAGATAGATAGATAGATAGATAGATAGATAGATAGAGAGATAGACAGATAGATAGATAGATAGATAGATAGATAGATAGATAGATAGATAGATAGATAGATAGATAGATAGATAGATTAGATAGATAGATAGATAGATAGATAGATAGATAGATAGATAGATAGATATATAGATAGATACGCGGGAGATAGATGGATAGATAGATAGATAGATAGATAGAAAGAGATAGAGAAAGAGATAGAGAGATAAATAGATAGAAAGAAAGAGAGATAGAGAGATAGAAACATAGAAAGAAAGAGGGATAGAGAGACAGATAGAGAAAGAGAGAGACACAGATAGAGGGATATAGAGAGATGGATAGATAGAGAGATAGAGAGATAGGTAGATATATAGATAGAGAGATAGAGAGATAGATAGAGAAGATAGATAGAGAGATGGATAGATAGATAGATAAGCAGATAGATAGATAACACGAGAGATAGATAGACAGGTAGTTAGGTATAGATAGGTAGAGAAAGATAGATAGACAAGCAAACGAAAGAAAGAAAGAAAAGACAGATAGAAAGAAGGAAAGAAGGGAGGAAGGAAGGAAAGAAAGGAAGAAAGGAAGAATGACGGAGAAAAAGAGTCAAGAAAAGAAAGAGAAAGAGAACTATAGTTGTTTTTTTATATTTTTGAAACTTCCGCCACCCGGCTTGCCGGCTTTACTGGTACAGTATACATTATTAACACAACTCAATCTGTTGACCAGGTAGCGTTTTCCCTACTAGAAGACAACCAAGCGGTGCTTTTCTCTACATCTAACATGATGGCTTTCCGGGAAGGTCAGGGGTTCGTCTGCATGCGAGAAGGTGGTTCTGATACCTAAAACATGCACCTTTGGAATTTGATATCCGACCCAAACCCAGCTGCTGGCACAGGCAAAGTTGCGCCGGTGTGGCCGTAGACATAGAGAGCCGCCTGAAGGTGCCGACACGTTCCCCTTTTGAGCACTGATTGATTGATTTAAGTGTCACTCAAACTGCAACTGGAGGTACGTCGTTTTAGAACGAACATCCACCCATCCCCTGGCTGTCACGAACAAAAGAGCAGAAACACAGTGTGCCACTCATTCATATTCATGCGGGCCGTGAGTCAAACTGACATGTTTCCCCGCAGCGGACGTGGGAAAGATTAGAATGGGGTAGACCATGTTAAATTAAACAAAAACTAGGTCCTCCAGTAGAGAGGTTAGAATAAGGGTACCCTTTTTTCTGTAGTCTATCTTAGTAGGGGAACCCTCCCCAAAAAAAGGGGAAAAGGGCACTGCTGGGGGACCTAGCCAAGGCAGGACGAACTAAAGCATGCGCTTGCTTGATGAGTGGCCGCGGTGGGAAAAAAATGATTGCTTTTTTGTGGGGGAACTTCTGGGCAACTGGGAAATATGAAATTTGAATATGGGTGTGGGTCAAAAATAGGTACCCAAAATGGAACCCTGGTAAATGGAAACAAAGACTAAAACCTGCGGTCCCCTGGTGGTTTAATTTTGACCCATACCCATATGAAGAACCCCGGTTTGATTTAGAGAGGAGTTGCCACCGATTAAGGGGCCAACCACCAGGTTCTTGGCAAATTGTTCGATTCCCCGCACGGTTCCCCTAACGTCTTTCCTACCAACGAATTCCTTGTCTAGGTCCTCCAGATTTGAGAGGTCAGAATAAGGCTGAATAAGGCTACCAACTTTTTCTCTTCTGCAGTCTATTTCAGTAGGGGAACCGAACCCTGCCAACCAAAAACGGGGTAAAAGAGAAAGGGCACCGTTCGCTGGGGGACCTAGTTGTCCCGGGTTCTACTTTGGGCGAAGGGGGTGCCTCTCGGCACCCAAGGAGCAAACAGGCACCTCACATTTCTTGGCTGGAAAAATCGGACCCCAGCAGAAAAAAGAGAGAGAGATCTTTTTGGAAAACCAAGGGGCCCCAGCAAAAAACAAAAAAACAAAAAAAAAAAAAAGAAAGGGGGGGGGAACTCATTGTGGTTGGAAGACATCGCTGCTCACTGAAACGGGCCATCCATCCATCCTGCGTCGCGTCCCAATTCAATCCCATGCCTTCCGGACAGGCCGGCGCAAAGCGGACAGGCCGGCGCAGGGAAGCACGGCAAAAAGACAGAACCTCTTCAAAGATGAGGAAACCCCAGTTACCTCCTTGGGAGTTTTAGCCTCCGTACTAGGTTGGATAGGCGGCTGCAGTAGTGTTCTATCTCCTAGTACTGTTCTAACCTCCTTCTCCAACTTGCCTGAGCAGCATGCATGGCAGGCATTCAGCACGTTTGAAAAGAAAATGGTCGTTCCAAAAAAAATGGTCATACGAGCAAAAAATGGTCGCTCCGTACCGCAACCAAAAACGGCAGTCGTTTGAGGCCCCAGGTCCTTACTAGGTTGGTTGAGCATCCAAGGTAGCAGGCTAGACCATGCCGTGGTTTTTTGCTTTGGTTTGCGGGTACCCTTTAAAGCTTGGTTTGATGGGCAGCCAGCAGTCATTTTTCTTTGTTTTAGGGGGGGGGGGGTATTTCTACACATCCAGATGTCTGTACACATGGGGAACTCTCCTCCTTTTGGCTTGCCTTTAAAACAACTCCACAAGGATGTCATTCCGTGGGTTTGGCAAAACATGTGCTTAACCACCTGCCCCTGGCTTTAAAGGGATGCCCAAAGGTAACCAGTTGGGTGGCATAGCCATGGGCTAAGCAGGGTTGAACCGCACCCTGGTGATCCCTGCTCCTATCAATAAATATCACCCTAGTAGAAACTTCATGCCGTTCTTGTACTCTTCTGGGGCTTGCTTTTAAGTGCTAAGCTTCTTGCTGGTTCACATGACACATTTCAGGAAACCCTCCCCAAGCAAACAGGTCCAACGGTGCGCTTTGGGCCACTTCAGCTATTCTTACGAGAGAAACGGAGGACTTCCCCTTCCACGCCTTTCCCCAGCTCTTTTCCCCTTGCACGTGGATCCGGCCGCGTTCCCCTCCCGCGGATCCGCGGATCCGCGGATCCGCGGATCGTTCCGAGGCTGTGGCCATGACGCCCAGGCGGTTGATCTCCGAGAGCCCCACGATGCCTTCCCTCGCCTTCTGGTACTCCCTGGCGATTTCGAGTTTGATTTTGCGCGAAGCGAGTTGGCTCGTGGGTCAGTAGCATAAGCTATGGCTCCAGTTTGGGGTAGGTGCACCACCCATGTTAGAGCCTATTTTAGTGGGGATTGGGATGCTCACTGGTGGTACCAGGAGTTTGGACCAGCCAATTGAATTTCGCGACCGAAACCGAGGAGCGAAAGTTCGGGTTTTGGCGCTGCGGAAGGAATAGAAGCCGATCCAGGACCCAGTGGATAGGCCGAAGAAAAGACGCCATGGATGGTGGTTTCATGGAAGTCATCTCACTTCCTGAGTGGATGGGCCAAAGAAAAAGAAGTCCACACTACTTGTTTACCACACAAATTTGTCTTCCCAAGAAGTTTGAAGTGCAGGAACTCAGGAAGTGAGTAGAAACACACATATGGAGGGCGTGCTGTTTTTTGGAGGTCCTCTCCTTTGGCTTGAAAGGGAAACGGAAAATAAACCCACCATTTGGCAGGATGCCCTATTTGTTTTACACGCTGGCTTCCTAAATAGCCTTGTACATCAAAAAACAAGAGAAAGGAGGTTCTGGCAAATATCCTAGCAAATAACCTGGTGTTTGGACACTGTGTTTTAGATTTCGGGTTCTTGCGGATTAATTACGGTGTCTGTACAGGTTAATCAAGGTGTGTGTTTTTAACTGGTTCTCAAAGTCAAAACCAGGCTGTTGGAAACAAACCCCGGTGTTGAACGCTATGTGAACGGAAACCTGGTTTTTGGAAGACGGATGCTCCTTTTGTGGTGAGCTGTTGATTCAGAAAGGGAGGATTAAAAAAAATGGGGCTGGAACAAGATCAAGAAGATGGTACTGGAAACATGTGACATTCACAAACCTGACAAAGCTGGAAAGCCCCAAAGGAACCTTCACAGACCTTTTCTAATTCCAGAGCTCGCACAGTTTGCATCAAGATGCCCTGCTCTGTCCACTTTAATGTTCAACCATTGTTCAACCCACGGAGTAAGTTGGTTCGAACCATGGTCGCTGGAGTTGATCCATATCCATGGCTGTAACCTACTTGCTAGGTTTGGTGCGCCCAAGTGTGGAAGGCAGTTGTTCAGCTCTTGAATGCTTTTTCCGCCCTCCCTGTAAACCCAAATGAGCCATAATCCAAACCTGGTATTGAACTGGTCGACCCAGAACCATGCTTCAAGCATTAAGAAGGCGAATATCCGCAGCTGTTCGTGTCCTTTTAGGGCAAATAGATGGCCCTGGTAGATGATTCAACCACCAGGTAAACCAGGATTTGCCATCTATTTTTCTACCAAAACAACCAAAAAGGACACCTATGTTACCCAGGTTTTGAGCACGCTCAAATGCCTCTCTAGGCATGTGCTCACGCTCCCAAGCCCAAGGAACGTCTTTTTTAAAATAAAGGAAAACCCGAAGAGCGGGCTCCTTAAAAAGGGATGTAATAAAAAAAAAAAAAAAAAAAAAACTGTCAGTGAAGTAGGTTATAACCATGGTGAGGGGACGATCTCTGACGTTGCTTGGACATCTAAGTAGCCTTGAACATCCCATCTCGGAACCTCCAAAAGTGGCGATCATTTCCATGGACATCAGTACATCGCAACCTTTGAAGGGGTTGTCCTCGTGACCCCTGCTAGGCGGTTTGGATTGGTAGCTTGAAAACTTGAGCCTTTCCTGAAGTACACGGGGCACTCGATCCCACTCCGCTTTTGGCTCTCCCGAGTTCATGGGCCCCACACTTTCGGTTTACCACTCAACTGGTCCAGCCCCAAAAAGTTTTTTCAAGCCCAGGAGCTCGGGGAGTGAGGCAATTCAGCGCATGGGATGGGATTCGACTCCCGGGGCCCCCGGCTCTTCACAGCGCGCCATCTCGAACTCCTCGGCAGAGCAGTCGGTGGCCGCTTGAAGCTTTGGCGTTGGGCGGCTTTGGGCTTCGTTTTTCTGGGTTTGGTTTTCCTTCAAACAAAATAAAATGGTCCTCCAGTCGAGAGGATAGAATAAGTTGGTACCAACTTTTGTCAGTAGTCGATTTCCTTACCCCTTAAAGCTCCCTGCGCCCTGGGGAAGCTCTCATCTTTTACATGCAGACACTTTTCGCCCATGGTACAACCAAAAAGTTGAGAGAAGTGGTGCTTTTAAGAGGTAAGAATCTGGATGAAAAAGTCCTGAAGGGAAGTCGAACAAAGCGGCAGCACCTCCCATGACGTACACACACACATGCATACATGTATGCATGTACAAGCAGGGTCCATACATACATACACACCTACATACATGCAAACATAGCCGAAAATGCTAACAACAACAAAAAGCCAAGAAGCCAAAAAAACAAAAAGCCAAGAAGCCAATATAACAAAAAGCCAAGAAGCCAAAAGCGAGAAATATGAAAAAACATGCCCTCCTTTCTATTGGCAAGCGTATCGGATACCCCGGAATGCTCCTTGTGACGGCGAGCCCTTCCAACCACTACCTAGCGCCTCATATGGGTATGTCTCAAAATAAGGGAGCCCTACAAGATCTGTGTTTTCCGAACTGTTTTCCTTTTGGCTTCCCTTGAAACCTATCCCAAAAGAGGGGGGGGGGGTGGGGCGAGCGGATCCACCCACCCATATCATTAAAAAAGAAATAAAAGTTACTCGACCCGACCCATACCCATCCACCCTTTCGACCCGACCCCGACACGCCGCCCGAAAAAAAAGAAAAAGACGAGAAACATCTGGGGCAGCCATGGAGTCCTTCTACGCAAAACAAAACACATATATATATATATAAACTAGCAGGTTCTCCAGTAGAGAGGTTAGAATAAGGGTGCCCTTCTTTCGGTAGTCTATTTTAGTAGCGGGTTCACCCTCCCAACCAAAAAAAAGGTAAAATTAAGAAAGGGCACCAATTGCTGGGGGACCTAAAGACCCATCTGGGGCCGCGCACCATGAAGTCCTTCCATCTCTGCTCGTGGACCAACAGCCCCGGGGTGTTACAGGCCTCCAGAACCTGCCGCCGTCTCGGCGTCTCGGCGTCTCGGCGGGCTGTGGGCGGCAAGCTGTTTCTCCAAATCGGATGGACGGACCGGGTTTCTTTGGGCTCAGGATTCCCCCAATGAAGCTGGAAGCTTTTTCTCCAGATCGGACGGATGGAAGGGGTTTCTTTGAAGGGGTCATTCCATTTTTTTCGGTTGTTTGCTGAGCACCGGCAAGCTGTTTTTCGGCGGCCGGCGGAAAAGGCGAGGGGAGGGAAGAACAAAACATCAACGAGCCAAGTGATGTGGCCATGGGGCAAAATCCCGTACCCCCAGTGAACATCCCAAACCCCACTAACATAGACTAAAATGGGTGGTGCACCTATCCCAAAATGGTACCATTGGTTTTGACCCACAGCCACATGGCAAGGAAATGGCCCCAGGAAGATGGTCCAGAACCCCAATCTATGGCAGCGCGGCTTTGTTTTGTTGGAGGTATGAAATCCACATCTGGAACCGTGATTTTATCCACCCAAAGTGATCCCCTTGACAAGCTAAAGGGAAACACCCCCAGCTGACTTTCACCCCCAATGGTCAAAAATGACCCCGGCACATTGCCCCGAAAGGCAACAACTTGTTCAAAAATGAGTCAAAAGGACTCGCAGCCGAGGCTTTTGGCAACCGAGTCTTTTGGCAACCGAGAGCTGGATTTGGACATTGAGCGCCTCATCCTCTGTGATCCCGAAGCGATTCAGATCCTGCGGAGCCAGAACGGGCCGAATCCTGGCCCCGTGGGTTCTTTGTACCCTTTGCAGATAGATTTTAGAGGACGGGAATCGGACCGGTTGGGACTCCTTTTTTTTAGAAACACCGGGGTCAGGGAAGCTTTCAAGCAACCTCCACCCACGTGAGCCTCGCGGGTGTCCTTCGGTAAAATAGATGGCCCTGGTGAGTGGAAGAAAGCCAATGCAACCAGTGCCATTTAGTTCTAATCGATGCTCTTCCCCGTCCAAATCTCCCAAGCTGACCATCTGAAAATCGGGAAACCCTGAAAGGCAACTTTGGCCACGCGAGTGTGACGTTTTCCGCCATAGGCTTTGCGGGCTGCCTATACTGGACCTGAGAGGATTGGCCAGAAACGTGCTAAGTCCAACTGAAGAACCGAAAGTGAACAGTTGGAGGGGTCTCAAAATCCCCCACCATTTAGCTCTTGTGGACTTGATGTTTCTTTACTGGACCGAGTGCCATGAGATCTTCAGGATGAGTGGGAGCTATCCCGGTAAGCCTTTTTTATCTTCTGGATGGGATGAAACACTGCAACCTTGCTGGTTCAAACCCCCTGCTCAAGATCAAATGTTTGGTAGATGGCACGTATCGAGCATCGACCAATCAGCAAAAAAAACAATCGAGGGTATGGCTGGGAACCGCCGGAAACGTTTCCCGGCAGAGTCTCGCGTTTCGCGTCCCCCGGTCGGGCTGACAGACAAGACAAAGAGAGACAGAGAGACAAAGGCCAACAGAGACAAACAAATTGACAAACAAAGAGGCTGCCCCACTAGAGGTCTGGGGGGGGGGCAAGAAATGAAGCAGTCGCGCCGGTCCTCTATCGGCACGTAGATGCGCCCGCGCTGGGCGTCCTTTCGGCAAAAGAACTGTGCCCCTGCCAATGTCCCTGCCCATGTCCCTTTGACACCGTCAGCCATGGACAAAATAGGGAATGGTGCCTCCATGCCCCACAACTAGACCGCCAGTGGCCAGCAACTGTCATCCTGCCGCCCGGCTGGAAAATTCAAATCCCACCGCTTTCACACCCACACGCACCCGGCAGCCCCCCCCACGAAGCCAACCCTAAACCAACATCCTACCCTGAACAAACCTGACCACCCCTAAACCAACCCTAAATACACATCCTAAACCAACCCTGAACCAACCCTAAGCCAACCCTAAACCACCCTAAACCCACCGTAAACCAACCCTAAGCCAACCCTAAACCAACCTTTGTCTTGCTCCAAAGACGCTAACACCAACATTCTGTTTAGCTGCCGGTTAGGCGAGCCCCTCGGTGAGGTTTGAAACCGCAAATTTTGGCGAACAGATTCCGAAGGAATCTTTTGCTGCCTGCGCGCGACTGCCCCATATAACTCCGTTACCCGTCCTACTTGACACACCGGCGTGGTGCGAAATGGTTTTCGCAACCATCCACGTATAACCCAGGGTTTTGCAGGGAAACGGATTTCGTCCGTATGAAAGGTGAGGCGTGTGCCCCCCCCCGCCCCACGCCGCAGGTTTCACTTGGCTCACCCGAGCGACAAATGGGAAGCCATGGCCCGTCTGGGTAAGCCCCATGTTTTTGTTTTTTTTTCCCCGGGTGCGAAGGAGGTTCCCAGCCCAAGAACTTGGGAAGGAGACTGCAGCCAAAGGACTTGGGAACCAGAGCTTTCGTTTGCCAGTGGGTCAACTTGTGGGCTGTGGGTCCTGATGATAGGGAGGCCTTTCCAAAGCGCCCAAACACCCCTCGCAGGCGTGCCGTGAGTCACGGGAGACGGAGGCCTCTTTGGCTCGGAGAAAATTGCAACATGGTTTGCCCCCCCTCGGGGTCATGACCGTCTGACCCCTCCAACTCCAATGGAGAACCCCGACCGACCCCTCAAGGGCCCTCAACAACAACCCATTTGGAGGGCCCAATACCAGTCGGGACCCTCTGGCAGGGCCATGGTCTGACTGTTATTCAAGAATAGGCTTACCCCAAAATGAGACCCTGGCAAATGGAAAAGCAGACTAAAACCTGCAGGTCCCGGGTGACTTACTTTTGACCCATACCCATATACACGATGCCTGCTGGCAGCAAAACGTTGATGACCATGACAATGCCAAAGATGGCATCTAAAAACTCCCATCAAACAAACTCAGCGGAACAGCCAGTTCTGATCCACATTGGAACTGGCGGGGGCTGTTTCAAAAAGGTGCAGAACCCGTGCAAATTGCCGGCAATGCCCATTCGCATTGCGTGAGATTCTTAACATTTTCTCGGAACTTCCCTTTTGCTCAACCTCATTGCATCAAGACAAGAATCGGAAACAATAATTCTTATCATGACCTGCTGATCATACATAAATCAAAGGGTATGACCGATCGCCACACGCGTCTAAGGCAAAAGTACATCCCCCGTTTTCACTGAGCCAAGCAACAATGGAAGCATATATCTAAGTGTCAAAATTGGGGAACCGAAATTGGTGGGTTTCCTTTTGCTCTCCTTTAACAAAGCCCCCCAAAAAAAGGTCCCCCCCCCAAACAAAAACACATTTGGGCCGGATGATTCCATTCGAAGCTTTCCCGAATCCGCAGCTTGACTCGTCCGGGATATGAGCCAATCCATGCGGTCCTCCCCGATGTCGCGGAGGATGTTCCTGCAGGCGTGTGGTGAAAAGGTGACTGCTTCAAGTACGTGAGAGCAATGGAGATAGGCATGCAATTCCAAGGGCAAAAACCATGCTTTTGCCCGAAAGGCTACATTTTTTTGCATGGAGCCCATTTTGAGACACGCGACATACTTGCGGGGCAATCAAGCAAACATCACATGTCTGCCAACTTCTGAGATCCACCGCGCCCAAGCCTTCCCCTCTGTTCAAAAATGGGCGACCAATCCAAGACAGCAAAGGTCCGAGCTTGGCTGGAAAAATCGGACCCCAGCATATATATATATATATATCTTTTTTGCCTGTTGAGTGGAAAACAATGGGAAACCCCAAAAAATATATCAAAAAAGCTAATTCTGGGAGCTAATTCTGGTTGGAAGAAAGAACAGCCATGGACCAAAACCGCCGAAACCATGCACCTCCGGCCCTCCAGGTGCATTTTCTGTGAGTTGGGACCTCATTTTCTGTGAAACATGCCGGGACCATCTCTGTCTTGGTTCCATTGGCCAAAGAACAAGACCACGGGAAATTGGAAAGTTCGAGATCTAACTACAAGTACCAGGGTGAGCTCAACAAAACACATGCATCAGGGTTGCTTGGGCGGCTCCTCAGGTCCTTGGGGAGCTCAACAAAACACATACCTGCATGGAAGGATTTGGACATCCCCAAAACCGGCCGCGAACTCTCCTCCCCCTTCATCATCACCCCGCTAGATAGTGGCCTTCTGATCTAATATGATCTAATAACCAACACCATCCTTCCCAGGGACATACGGGCTTGTCTGAAATACAGTAAACCCAAAACTGCCTAGTTTCCGCCTGCTGTCCTTTTAAGCCAACAAAGAAGTACCCTCAAAGACTCACCAACTAGAGCCCAAATCTCAGGAAGCGCCCTACTTGGGGGGTTGACCCAGTTTAGAAAACCATCCACACAGCGGAACGGCGCTCTTGTGTGGCCCTGTTACGCCTCGAAGGACCCCAAACACGGCCAAGTCTGAGAGATACATGATTGGACCTAGGCCCAGTCATGGAATGTATGTTCTACTGTTTGCTTCCCTTTGAGTCACGGGTAAGATGTAAAAGTTGTATCCTAAGTCTACCCCAGTCCTCTGCAAATCAAGATTCTGCCCCAAGAAAGTGTGTGCCGTGCCCTCAATTCAGAGGCACACGACGAGGCCCCCTGGCAAGCGCTCGCATGTTTAGCCCGGGGGGGGGGGGCAATTCCTGCAAAAACAACACAAAAAACACCCCCCGAAATGTGGCATCCTGGGGTGGGGGCTCTGAGACAGAATTCCATTTCCCCATAAAATGGTTTAGCTTTGAAAAAAAATCATGGGGCCAGTGTGTGTGTGTGTGTGTGTGTGTGTTTTGCTGCTTCATTTTCATTGGGGACGGGGGGGGGGGGTGCCACGTTTCATGTGTGAGTTTTGTATTGCTGTTTTACTTTGTTTTTGTTGGGGGCCACGTTTCAGGTTGGCATTGAACAGGGAAACCAAAAGCACAACTTGGGTGGAAGCCCAGCTCGAGACCCTCCGACGACCGGGGACCCCTGCGTGAGCTGGAAGGCAACTCCCAGCGACATGGCCGCGGCGATCGTCTGCTCCTTCGCGGAAACCCGTCTCTCGAAATGGGCGGCTGACAAAAAAACACAAAAGGACATGGGCTTTGGGGACAAACTGTTTCATTTCTTAACTCGCTTCCTGAGTGGATTGGCCAACGCAAGTGTTTGTATTTGCCAAAAAAGTATACAGTCCAGGAACTCAGGCAGTGAGTGTTTCATTTCTTCGAATGACCGCGATCAGGGAGGAAACGACTAGTGTGTCCAGAAAACATGGTTGTCCTTTTGGTGTCCCTTCAAAACCACAAAAAAGGGCACCCTCAAACAACACGCAACCAAATGGGAAAAAACATAATTTTCAAAGGTTCAAGATCCAACCCTAACCGAGCAGGGAATATGAAAAAAACTAACAAACAATTACCCATCCTTTCTTAGTGTCTCTTTTTGTGGAACGTTCGTGGGCCATTTGGTTTGTCTCAAAATAGGGGACCCACAAGACTGACCGCTTCCTTTGGGTGTCCACTTCCACCAACCCCCGAACAAGCCACCCTCAAAACAAAACACCCACATTGTGTCTAAATTCAGGGGGCCCAAAAAAAACCGAGGCGGTTCCCTTTGTTCCTTTAAACCCCCCTTCTCAAGGAAAAAAAACACGCGGATCGCCCAGTGGCTCCCTATCGACTCCGCATTTCACTCGCAGCGCGACTGGTCGAGAGCGGCGCCTGCAGCTCTTCTGTGAAGTTCTGCATGGGGTCGAAGCCGAGCACCGGCAGCGTCATGATGCCCACCGTGCCCGCCACGCGGTAGCAGTAGACCTGTCGAAGGCTTTTCTCGGTTGCTTTCTGCTCCCCTGCCAAAACAAAAAAAAACTTTTAGTGGTTTCATGGCAAACTCATTAGTTGGCAAAAAGTTAGTCCTAACATCCAAGCAAAATGCACCAAAGTTTTTCGGATGGAGGCGCTGCTCGTCCTGCCAATAAAGTTTGAGGATCGGTACCCTGTTTTGGGTTGGCTCAAAAAAGGAACACCAAAAGGAAAAGCACACTATTTGGGGGTCCCCGATATTGGCACATACCCAAACAGAGCACGAGTTGGGAAAGAAACTCACATGCCCTCGGGCCACGGGAAAAACGTGGAGCCCTTCAATTGAATCTGTGAAGCCAGCCATAAAACCCCCACCTCCTGCGCAACCAAGGGGAGACGTGCAGAAATTCTGCCCAAATAGGCTCCCGGGTGGTTCTGGAGGGTTCTCGGGGGTTTAGGGCTGTTGGGGATACCACCTGGGCTTGCGAGCGGTATCTCTCTTGAAACCAAAGGCCCCATACTCAGTTGCCCTTTAGGGACCCAGAACAAAATACATTTTTGCGGCCATGACTGAAACTAGATCAAACAAACGGGGGAAACCAAAAGTTGTCAGATCCGGTCGATTCGCTTGGCAATTTGTACACGTGAGAACTTGTGTTTTGATCAAGCTTTTCGGTTGCTTTCTGCCCCCCTGCTAAAAGTTTAAAACTTTTAGTAGTTTAATTCGGTAAACCCCTTAGTTGGCAAACAAGTTCTCAAGTCCTAACATCCCTTGGCACAATGCACCAAAGTGTTGGTCCCCTGGGCGTCGGAAAGCCGGAAACCGGAAACCGCTTCCGGGGCGTTCGGAAACCCGCCTCCAGCTCGTGGAAGGTGGCGTACCGATCCTCCGCATTGTCAAACCCTAAAATCTCAAGACTTAGGTACTCCAGCATTGCATAGGTTTAGGTACCTTGGTTTAGTAAGGTTACTTAGGTACTCCTCTCTACAATCTCATTGTATCGCCTAGGTTCTCCAGATGTGAGAGGATAGAATAAGTTGGTACCAACTTTTTTTTCTGTAGTCTGGCTTAGTAGGAGAACTCTCCCAACCCCAAAAACGGGGTGAGAAAGGGCACCTAGCTGGGGGACCTAGTTATCATATCGCTGCTTTGGGGGGAGGCTGTTTTTTTGTTCAATTCCATCTACCTAGCGTTCCACATAAAAGGGAAACTGGGTTACCATTCAGGCTCCCGGGGTCGTGTTCTCCCCCGCCCAAGCAGCCATTTTGAAGGGACGCGGTGGGGATACTAGGGGGTCTTTTCTTAAGAGGTACCTGGAGTCTCCTTCTGACCCTTCCAAGCCATGGGTTGCCAATGACCCCATTCGTGCGGCCTTTTAGGGGTAGCGGCTCCTATACCTCAGGTAGGTAGGCCATAGATTGCTAGAACCATATTGCATGCTTGCAGCTGGAACTGGGGGATCCCCCCCTTAACCATTGGTTACAACCTACTGCTCTGACGATGGTTGAACATCCAAGTAGCGGCCACGATTCGGCCTTTTCAGGCGAAAAGATTAGGCCAGGCAACGGCGCGGGGAGATCTTGGATCCGATCGTTCACCGAGGCGGGGGTTCTTACACTCTGGGATCCAAATGTTGGATTTTCGGTTGCCTAATCTGTTTCAAGACTCGCACACATTTGAGCCACAAAGAAACATGTGCATTGCACAGCGGAAAGCGTCTGAAGTCTTTGGGGAGCAATCCTGTATGAGCAGCATCGGCTTGCGTCTTCTCCGAGCTTTGAAGTCAAAGTTGGAACTTGTTGGACTCCAATCCGTCTGAAATTCATATTTTGGGCTCGGGAACGCCCCTTTGGTGTTGGTAAGGGGCCCCATTTGGACTAGGTCCTCCAGTAGAGAGGCTAGACTAAGGGTACCCATTTTTCTGAAGTCTGTGCTAGTAACCCTCCCAACCAAAAAAGGGTAAAAGGGCACTACTGGGGGACCTAGTGGTTTTTTTTGGGTTCCCCGAATTTTGAGATGACCCCATTTGGAGGTTCGTCTTTGGCCAGAGTTGCCATTTCTTCTCAGAGCAAACCGCCGCGGTTTGAAAAAACGAGCGGTTTGATGCGACATGGCCCAGCGGATAGCTTGACTCTCGTCAGGCTTCGCTTCTCTTAAAAATGGTGGTACCCTAAAATCACATGCTTCGAACCTTTTAGTTGCCTGCCGATTTAGAGAACTCCCGGACCAAAGTAGCGGAGGTCCGAAGTGCTCGACTCCGACTCCGACTCGAATCGATTCGTCCTTCACGAGATCCATGGCCATACCACCGATCCTCGTCATCCGGAACAACTTGGGGATCGATCAAGCCTTGTATGCTAGGTCCTCCAGTACTCATAGAAGACTATACTCCCCCCCCCCAACACTTCCCCCCCCCCAAAACGGCTAAGGGAAATGAGTTTCGGGCAAGAATCCATGGCGCGCTGCCTGCCAAGCAAAAGGGTAACCTTTTTTCTGTAGCTGTAGTCTACTTTTGTAGGGGAACCCTCCCCCAAAAAAGGGTAAAAGGGCACTACTGGGGGACCTATCATCAAAAGCCCGAGGCGGCTTTGTTTACCAACCTTTTGGTCTGACGCCCTAAGTCTAGCAACTGACCGGCACCATGGCATCTGCCATGAATCACCGCAACATGTCCAGGGGGGATAAACCTCCCGTGCGAAAGCCGAAGGAATTTGTCCGCGGGAAGCCAAATCCACGGGTCCCGGGTCAGTTGGAACCTAACTAATCCCAATTAGGTCTTCCGGTCAGAATAAGTTGGTACCAACTTGTTTCTGTCTATTTGAGTAGGGGAACCGAATCTCCCAAGAATAAAAAAAGTTGATTTGAGTAGGGGAACCGAATCTCCCAAAAACAAAAAAAGGGGTGAGAAAGAGCGGAAGGGCACCAATTGCTGGGGGACCGATCACAATGATCCCTTCAGAAGTAAGTCGCAATGACGCCTTCCCAATTCTGGGCTTCGAATTTTGCCAGCTTCGCCTCCCCAAAGCCTCCCACCGACAAAAATGGCAGCGCCCAGACCCCTGTAGAAAGGCTTCGTGCCTGGAAAAATGCGCACTTCCGTGTTCGTTGGTGGGAGGGTAATTCAGGCGTCCTTTCTTCACAGGTCCCACTTTTGTTTTACTCGCTCGCCTAGCGCTGGGCCGCCCCGCATGTCTTGGAAGGGACGCTGGATCAGCGAGAACCTCGTGACGAGGTAAACGTCACGCTTGGCTCGTGCTTTTCTTGCTGCCGCTCATTAGCAGGGATCCTTACGTTATACACCTGAACATTGCCTTGTCAATGGTGGGTTCCCTTTATTTGGTGGAAAATGCCATGTTTCAACTGGGCAAAATGTATCTTTTAAGGAGCCCTGAATTAGGGAATGAGACATGAAATGAACCCAGGCTTTGGTCCCTGAATAAAGGGAACCACAAGTGAAGGTTCAAAAGGGGTCATTCCCACATTCCCTGAGCACCGGCAAACTTGTTGGTGTTGGTACCCTTGCTCCCACGTTGCCATAGCACTTGTGGGGTACTGGAAGATCAGCTTCCTCTTGGAGGCACCCCTGTGAGGTGCCATGGCAACGTGGGAGAGAGGGTACCCTGTTTTAAGGGATCAATAGGGAAACACATTTGTTTTGAGGATTCACCATGCTGAGATAAACTTACATTTTTCTTGGGAGGGGGGAGGGAAGATCCAGCCCAAGACCTGCTTCGGGGAAAGATCGCGTGCAGCAACCAACCAAAAGTGCCTTGGTTAGATTCTCGGCCACATTGATACTGAGACTTGTAAAATTATGTCCATAGCGGTCCCTCAAACCCGCGACGCAGGTTTGCAGGTACAACACTCGCATCACAGGTGTACCGTACTTCTACAAGTTATGGCTTTTCTCGGGGAAAAGTTTAGGGCAAACTGAAACCCTAAAGAAACACACCAGCCAGGGTTGATGCTCCTTTTAAACGCTCTGCAAAGAACCCCACTGTCAAGCCTGATGCGTGACACAAATGGCCCTTAGGGCACTAGGTGTCGACTTGCTGGACATGTATGACTCATGTATCAGACTCAAGCACAACCCCCAAACTGATGGAGTTCCTGTTGGCCAGATTGTCAAATGGATCAACTCGTGAGATCAAACAAAACAACATTGCCATTTGGTTTGGTGGGAAGTTGAATATGTTCGATTGCATGTTGTATGGAGCCCTGATAACCTTGGGCCCTTGTTAGAGCCATCACCTACCAAATTCGCTCGGCGACCTCGCTGACGCAAAAAGCTCCCCGAGCTATCGACGCCCCGAGGGATGAGCTTGACATTGGCACCATGATTGATCAGAACCCCTGCCGGGAAGCATCATGTGTTTCACATAGGTCCCTGAATGTCCCTGATTCACAGCATAAGTATGTGGAGTGAGCCTCTATCAGATTCCCTCTCATGGCTTGGATTGGCGGTTTCATTTACCCACAAGAACCATCCAAGCCACCAGCTCAGGGTATTTGGGTGTGGGTCAACATTCTGGTGTGCAACGTTCCGCGGTGACGCGGACGTCTGGAACGAGTCAGTTACGCAAGATCGGTTGTTCCGGACCTCTGGGAAGACATGCGTGGAGTCCTCAAGCACACGTTAATTTAGTGTAAGATGGATAGATGGATGGATGAATGGATGGATGGATGGGTAGATGAATGAAGCGCAGCTACTTACATGGCGCATGTTTGCGCAGGTGGACTTGGTGGCAAATTGCTCCGCTGCGTCTGGAACACGTCTGGAACACGTCTGGAACGGGGTCTGGAACGGTGACGCGAGTGGCTTGCACTTTGGAATGCTAGCAAGAAGCATGTAAACATAGTCGTTTCAACAATGTGACGACCGAGAACGGTATCGAGCCGTTACCGTATCGTATCGAACCGATAGCGGCGGAATCGTATCGCACCGAACCAAACCAAAGCTCCGGAACACCGATACTCCTTTCTTCATTTCTTTCACCTTCTTTCTTGCTCCTTTGCTCCTTCTTTCTTGCCACACGCCATTTCAGTCTTTGGCACACCCGACAAAGAACGACCATCTGAATCAACACTCTAGACATAAATATACATAAACAAGGTCTGGAACGGAAGGTCTGGAACATGTTTCTAGGCAAGGTCTGGAACGGAGGTCTGGAACGGAGGTCTGGATCGCATGTGGCTTCCGGACCCTGTTCCGGACCTTATAAATTGACTCGCAGCCATTTCAGGAAATCGGGGGATTTATCTGCGACCGACCGACGGAGGCGAAAGCCGCGGGAAAAGCAGCCCGGTTCATTCCCCGAGCTTTCTTCACAAGCTTGCGGCAGGGTTTTGCCGGCCCCGACCATTCCTAGGCTGTTCTTTGACTCCAAGAGTGTAGCAACCCTCACTAAACCCTGCAAACCTAACAACCTCAGAAATCGGATGCCTGGGAAACCGCCAAAAAAGTCTTCGTGAAAGCTTGAAAGGATTCATCTGAAAGGGTGGACACACCCGAACAATTGGATTTCCATAAAAACCAGGTCCATTCTGTTGAAAGGATTTGAAGGGAACCCTCCACAGAAAAAAAAGGGACACCATGGGACACCGCTCATAGACACCAAGATGTGTTTGCAGAAAATTGGCCAGATACCCACTAAATTGCGGATTTCCCGTAGATTGCCCAAAGGCTGGTCTTGGAAGCACGGGCGGTAGCGTGCACCACTCGCCTTTTGCGTTGTTCGTCTGGCTGGAACAACAACTATTCAGCAAATGAACGTATTCCGATCTTGAGCCCATCGGTGCGTCTCTGTTTTTGGGCCCCCTTCCCCCGTTGCCCCCGGCTTAAGCATGGAAGGAACATAGGTGGCTGGCCGTGGGTGTCTGGGGGGGAACCACCCAAGTGTTCTTTCTCCTGGTGTTTCCCCGGTAGTTTCCTTTAAGACGGGCACCCCCTCCCAGGCAAAACACTAAAGCACCGGCCCCATGATTTTGCCATTGTCAAAGTCACCCAAAAGTGGTGGGTTGAAGGGAAGCAACCCTAGTGTCTGACTTTGATAACTCCTCAGAAACAGACAACATTCTATTCCCCCAGCACAACCAACCTGAATACGGGTACCCTCCCCCCCCAGAGAAACAACAACCCCCCCCCCGAAAAGAAAACACAAAAACAAAGAGGCCCCCCCCGAAAGAAACAACAACAAAAGCCCCCCTCCCGAAAGAACCCCCCCCCCCCCGAGGAAAAACAAACAAGCAACAAAAACAAAAAAGGAAACGCGAAAACGAGACGCGGCTTGAGTCCTCTGGGCGTCCCCGGCTTGCGCACACTGTCGCGCATCGCGAGATCCGAGAGCTCCGTCAAATCCGAGCCCTCTGCAGACCCCTGGGGTGGCAGGGGCGTGGGTTCTCGGTTCTCAGCGTGGGCTTCTTTGGGGCCCATTTGCGCCTTTTGAGGGGTGGGTGGTAAAGGGTAAGTGCGGGTCATGTAGTCTTGGGTGCTCTTTTTGGGTCAGTGCAAAGGTTACCAGATTCAAGTTGGCCTCCAAAGGTACCAGTCAAGTCCGGGTCAAGGAGCCCCTGGACTCAAAAAAAAACACGGCCCCGGCCACAGAAGCACCTCCCTGCTTGAATTCCCCTGGGTAAAACCATGGAAGGCTTCTCTCCCCCTGTCACAGGAACCAAGAAGATCAGCCCCTGGAAAGGCACCGATCGAACCTTGCAACTGGCTTTCTGCTGGGTGTCCAACTTGACTTTGCCGGAAAAAGCCACATGGTTCAAATGGAACATGCAAAAACAATTGGAGATCTTTCAAGGAGGTCTGTTAAGCCCATGCTGTTTGGGTGTCTCCCTTGCGTCTGAGCCAGCGCTTCGCTGGCCAACGTGTACAAAAAGGGCCCCTTGCTCAGAAACACATGGGGGTGTCTGCAAATGTCCCCTTGCCCCAGTGTCTGGCTTTCATCGTTTCTTCGCGTTCCTTAGGGCCCTTAGCGTTCCTTCAAGTTCCTTCAAGTTCCTTAGGGGAACCCCCCCCCCAAAGGTGCACCCCCCCCTTGACTCCATACCAAAGAACCTCCCCGCCTTCCCGCGCGCGCTCGCGCTCGCTCCCCGCGGACGACCGCCTTTCGCGTCTCACGCGCGAAGTCGCGAAGGAGCTCACGCGCCTCGAGGGAGAAGATCCGGTTCAGCCGCTGCTCCCAGGCTTCTAGGTCCGCCATGGTGGTGCTGGCCGCCATGGGCCCGTCCTTCCAACCGAACGAGGATCGGAGCGCAAGGCGCGTGCAAAGTGCCCGAGGATCGCGAGGATCGCAAGGATCCGGCGAGGAAGGAAGACGTGGGGTTCGGTGTTCAATTTTGTGTTTTCGCCCAGGGGAAGACGCGTTTCTTTTTTCTTTTTCTTTTTTTCTTGGGCTGCCCGTTCTAAATGATCCCGATCTGCTCAAATTGGGTGGTTCCCTAAATGGCGGGGTGTTGCCGTTTCTTGTCGTGCAAGGGGCAAGCCTTGGAAGTGCAATCGCTTTGCTTTTTGAGGTGTCCGTTGAACTGGGCTGTCCAAACTGATCCCCTGCTATTTGTTTCTGACTCGTGGGTTAAATGCGGAAACTAGCACTAAATGGCGGGGAACCAGCAAGTTGTTTGCGCGGTGTTGGCTTAAAGATGGACACCACAAGGAAACCCCTTTAATCCAGTGGTTGGCCCCTGTTTAAACACTATACCCATCGTTTTAAGTGGGATAGTGGTTGATACCCCATGCGAACAGAACTGCTTTTGGTGACCATGGAGGTGCTTGACCATGCAGGTCAGCTCACTTCCTCAGTGGCTTGGCATGCAAACCACTTTGTTGACCACCCCAGGACATCAGGGAGGTGAGTCATGTCAGTAGGTGGTTCTATTCAACTCAGGGCAACTTGCAGCGCGCTCTTAGCTTACAAGCTTCAGGTATGGAGCATGGTCACATGTAAGACGTGTGTATATGGTACAGCGTTGCCTGCCCCCCCCCCCTCCCCCCAAATGGTCATGGGTGGAACCAGTACGCACGCCCCCCCCCCCCCCGGTGGATGTGGTTCTTGTCTACTTCCGTGGTTTAGGGTTTTGGGTTTAGGGTAGGCCTTTCCGGGTCAGGGGGCCCCCATACCTTTGGGGGGGGGGGGGGGGTAGCAGCACGGAACACGGGACCATATCTCTCTCTATATATATATATGTATGCACATGCACTTCGAATGTGTGAGATTATCCACCTAAACAGCGCCACCCCCTCCCTGATGGACTACTTTTGCTTTGATGAGAAAGGCTTCACATTTTTAAGCTTCAGGAGCCCTGCTTTACGCAAGCGGTGGGGGGATCGCGCCATCTACAGCTGTTGTTAGCTCCAACCAGCGAGCCAAGCTTACCCGGTGCTTAAACTCCGACTCTCTCAAACCGCAAGCATGTCTTCTCCACTTGCCCAAGTCCCCTGAACAAGTGTCCAATAGTGAAATCGATTTTTCTTATTTACAAAAAAAAAAAACAGGGGAAAGGAACACATATTCTTGAGCAAATGGTTGGGTTCGTGACCGTCGACAGCTCTACGAAAGCAAAGCCGATGGTCCAAACAGCTCGTCCTGAGAGAAGCAGCTCCCATTCTTTTACCCCAAAGGATGCCGAGGACAACATGCATTCCACTCAACACCCTGGTTGGGCTGGAAAAAGCACACTGTACCACAAAACCAACCCGAAATCCAAACACAAACACACACCCACAGACACACAGACACACACACACACACAAAAACAAATACAACAAGAATGACACAATAATATTTTCAACACGGCAAACAACAACCCCCAAACCTCCACCAAACCTCCAACACACCCCTAGCAGCCCAAGACCCCAATTTTATGGGGGCCTTTGGCCCCCCAGAGAGCTCGAAGACTAAGGTGGTGGCATCCTCACATGCAAAGCAAACCTTCGGCGATGTTTTTTTTCTTCTTCGTATAATTCCACAAGCTGAATTGAATCCCCAAGTAAAGGACCATTCTCACGGCGAGCTCGTCTTACCCTCGCAACGGTGAGCTCGCCATAAAATAGCAAGCAAACATGGGTCACAGCAGAATGTTGACCCCGTATAAATCAACCAAGCAGTTGACAGTGATGATTCCAACCACTAAACCCAGGGAGAAGCACGCCCCGAATTTCACAAGCTGGTTGGTGGACCAATCTGGGCTATCCTCAGATCTTCCGCTCAAAGTTTCACTTTTAGTGGGTTAGATTCGGAAGTCCAATAAAAACCTAAAATGCTAAGCTGAACCGGATGGCTGGTTGAGCCACCAAGTATGGGGTATTCAGAATTCACTCAATCCAGGAAGACCACCTATTGAGAAGCTGCTTGATTCATCTGGGGCTTCGCGCCACCAGCTCGTCGGTGTTCCGGCACCAGTCATAGATGGCCTCAAGGCGGCCGATGCGCCGCGCGATAAGGCGGGCGGGCCAAGGGCAAGCGGCAAGCGGCAAGTGCGCTTGCGGCTTTTTCGGACCCCTGGAAAAAAAGAAGAATAACAAAAAACGGAGATCTGGGTGTGGCTCAACATTGAAGAGCCCAGGGATACGCGGTTTTTAGCCTTTGGCTCCATTTACCAAGGTGCCATTTTGGTGCATTTTTGCGAGCCGCGGCCATATGTGAGTCACGATGAGAACCCCAACTTATTACAGTGGTGTCCCACAAGCATGTAAAGAGTCGAAAAGACGGCCAAACCCATGTATGGCCGGGATTGTGCCTGACTACCCTTCAAAGTACCCGGGTTTCGAATGTGACTCATGTCGGATCCAGTCAAAAAGCTAAAGCAATAAGCAAGTAAGACATGAGGTACCCATCCTGTCCAAGCAAGCAGTGAATGGAAAACTACTGAACATAGACCCCATTTGAACCGAGCAGAGAAAACAACACATCTTCTGGAGCGCAAATCTAGGTCCTCCAGTAGAGAGGTTAGAACAAGGGTACCCTTTTTTTCTGTAGTCTATTCTGGTAGGGGAACCCTCCCAACCAAAAAAAGGATAAAAGAGCGGGCACCGTTCGCTGGGGGACCTGGAAACGGAAGACCCTCCTCGAGGATTGTTTTTGTGGGACGCCTGAAGGAGCTAACTCATTTGCGGGGGAAACACGCCTTCCTCCATAGGGCAGTCAACCAGTCGTTTTGACAAAGGATTCCTCTGGACAAAAACTTGTGCGTGCGTGCGTGCGTGCGTGCGCGCGCGCGCCCCTGTGTGTGTGTGTGTAGATCCCCCAACAAAAAGCTTAACTTTTTGCTGGTGAAAGGAAATATGAAGGGAATCCAAAGAGTTAAAGTCTATAAGGATCCAACCCAATAGCGGTACAGAAAACAAGGGGCCAAACTCAACGAGTGGAAATCGATTCCCCCAAACATGACACCTGAATGCCTCGAATTTGCTCCCTCCCAGGCGCCATGATAGTGGGAGCGAGGGCATAATTCACAAAGCTGAAGTAGGGGACCGAACCAGCAAAAAAAGAAAAAACAAAAGCAAAACAAAAAACAGGAAAAAAGGGCACCGCTGGGCAACTGGTGGGTTACATTAAGCTCGCTACACTCTTTGCAGTCCAGTTTCTGACTGAAGGGCCGAAAAAAACCACCCGAAGGGATGGAGAAGGCCGCCGTTACGTTGACTTCGGGGGAAGGGCTTGGTTCAGGGGTGTCTTCTTGCCACCTTTTGTGAGAACATTGGCGACCCCCTAGGGGGTCCATCAGTTTTCCAGAAAAGCTAGCAACAAAAGAAAAGCTGACTTGGTGTCGAGTCTCTCGAAAACCGACCTGGCCAAACGGACGCCTGAACATAAGAGCAAAGACCTTTACCTCGTGGCCCGGAGGCATAACCCAAACCTGGACAAACATCGGATACCAGTTCTGTGGACAAACATCTTGTGGTCGACAAACAAAAAAGTTGAAACCCTATGAACACCTCTGAAAGTCACCTACCAAAGCCACTCAAATTGCTACGGGCGTTCGCGCAGGCGACTGGGGCCCTGGCCCAAACCACCCGCTGCTCGTCCTTGTCCAAGAGCTGAGAGCCCAAGTAGAACCTCAGCGCTGCGAAACCACTCCGTGTGTCTGGCTTGGGCACTCCGGTTGAACACATGGGCTAAACCTGGGCTGTTCCCAGATCCCCTGCTAAAAGTGGAAAACTTGGGGGATAAAATGAACACCCCCACCTTTCACCAGCTAAACAACAACCGAAAACCTAAGGAACAGGCAGGTACCAGTTTAAACCTCCACTGTCAGAACAACCCTCTCTTCAAACACGACTGGTGTGCGAATGCAAACCTCACACATCCAAATGTGTGAATGAAAGCCCCATATTGCATTACAAAGGTTGTGCCGTTTTCAGGCACGCCCAAGTGTGTGATCATGCAAAGCGCAGAAACGTAGACAGGCGGTATCATGATGCAAGTATAAACTCTCCTACCCAAACAAGAATCATTCCCAAAAAGACCTGGGCTTCCGCGGGCATGTGACCAACAACTTGCGTGGGAGACTCATCGCTGGGCCTGCCATCAAGCGCACTCCGACGGAAGATGGCTAGAAGTTCCCACGCTTAAATCAAAGGGGTGTTGATATAACCACCAGAAGTTACCGTTCGGGAAGGTCATAATCCAAATTGGATAGCAAGGCCATTCTTTTCATGGGGGCTCAACCCGGACGAGTCTGGGCGCCCCACGTCTTGGAGTATTCTTTGGTCACCTCCTGACCTGGGCAAAGCATGGCTTCAGTGAACTGGCATTCAGCAAGCAAAAGGCCCCGGATCAATCCCCCGAAACATCAAGGTGAAGGATTACCTCCAAAAGTCATGCACCCCTATATACAGGGCCACAGGGGGGGCTATGGGGGGGGGGGGGGGCGGGGGCGGATCCCTGGATAAGCCCAGGAGAAGCCGTGGAGAAGCCGTGAAGAAGGCCTTATTCAGGGATAGACCCCCCTCCTCATAGCCCCCCTTGGCGGTCCATGGAAAAGCAGATCCATTCGTTTCGGGGCAAGTCCGAGGCGTCCAGGGCTGCTTCACTCACCGAAAACAGTTTGAGATGTTCCGTAGGATTGGGAGATCCCCTTGCCTTAGGGTAGGGGGTGGGGTTCTGCAATTCCATTTACCTAGTACTCCCACTCCAGTATTTTCGAGGGGACCCAAAATTGTGGTTTTCGTCTTTGAGGTGACCCCAAATTGTGAGGTTGTCCTTTGGTTGTCCTTCAAAGCCAATCAAAAAAAGGGGTACCTAGAGTCTCCACGACCCGGGGTCATTACCCTAAATAATGGGGTCGTGGACCTATTGTTAAAGGGTCATGGAGACTCCAGGTACTATATAACTCGAAAGACGAGCCACCCATTGGTCGTTCCGTGAACCTTCCTGCAGTCGCGCCTCTCTTTTTTTCGGCCCCTTCCGAAAGGCCCACTGGGCTGAGGGAAATGACAGGCGAACACTGGGAACCGTTCAATTTTGCTACGGCCGGGGCTTAGGGCGAACTTCCCAATTCTTTCCAGACATGTTTGGCGAAAAACCACTGACATCCCGAAGAACGCCCCAGAACGAGATGTTGGGAGCACGACGAAAAGCGAAAACAGACTGGAACACCTCGCCCGCGGTTGAGCCTTCGAAATCGTGCCAAAGGGACAGTCAAGGGCACTGTGATGCCTTGTGTCTTCTTTCGTATCCCAAAGACAATGGCTTCGGAGGGGTCAAAACTAGATCCTCCAGTATAGAGGATAGAATAAGGGTACCAACTTGTTTCTGTCTATTTTAGTACGGAACCCTCCCAACCAAAACAAAAAGGTGAGAGAGAAAGGGCACCTAGCTGGGGGACCTAGAAAAAGAGTCCTCAAAAGGTATCAAGGGAGACTCCGCGGATTGTTTCGGGGGTCCACTTTCAGGTGCTTCCTTGTTTGCTCACGTGGATCAGGAGCCAAAAGCGGCCGCATGCCAGCTTCGATCCTAGAAAATTGTATTTTGGTTCGTGTATTTTGTTTGAAGGTATCTTTTTTTGGGTGGTTTTAAAGGGGAACCAAGAGGCAAACTTTTGCTTTTTGCTTAGGGGGGCTGGGGGCTCCCCTAAAACCCAAGCACACGCATTTTGGTTCACGTGCCCCGTGTGATCCCCTTCAAGACTAGATGGGTTCTGATCGAAGGGTTCTGATCCAACTTTTCTGGCGGGCAATGTTTCACCCCACGTGACAGTACATATGGGTGTGAATCCTAATTCGCCCACCCCTCAAAGCGGACAGGTGGTTCCCTATATCAAAACATGTAATGTCCACGTAGGATTAGAAAATGCACCTGGAATAAAAACAAATGGGGGGCCCAAAATAATTAGTAAATGCACCTAGAATAAAGACAAGCACCCGCCACCTCTGGAATAGAGTCTTGATGCATTGGCCCCCCTGAAAAATGCAACTCCCTAATTGCAGTTACCTCTTAGCTAACCAACTGGCCACATTCAAAAACAATCCCAGGTGATGCTTGTGAAGCTTGCTGCTTTCTTCCCAAATCCAAACTGCAGACCTTGCCCAAACTCAAGTTTTCTTACATGTCCCTTGTTTAAAAACTGCCCGCCATCAAACCCACAAAGGGGGTAGTACTTCAGCCCCCAAATTTTAAGCCCAAGACTTTATTCCAGGGGCCCCTATAATAAAGTCTTGATGAGTTGCCCCCCCTGGATACATCTCAAAAGGAAGCTCCAGCAATACTAAATCAAATGGAAACTCAAGTCTACCAATACTAAATCAAATGGAAACTCAGTTCCAAATCTCAAAAGGAAGCTTCAGCAATACTAAATCAAATGGAAACTCAGTTCCAAATCTCAAAAGGAAGCTCCAGCAATACTAAATCAAATGGAAACTCAAGTCTACCAATACTAAATCAAATGGAAACTCACTTGAACTGGATCTCAAGATACTATTCCAGGTGCCCCCATCGTTGGGGGGGGGGACCCCCCTTCCCTTTACTAATCCCGATTGGACATTACCTTCTGGTCCGCCAACATGGAACCCGCCAAATAATCCACCCACCAAAGAGTCCATGTGTTTAAGAACAAGTGTCCAAACAAACCCACCAAATGCCTCAACATGGACAAACCACCCTTCCCACCAAATAGTCCATCCAGGTGCTTAAGAACAAGTGTCCGAACGAACCCACATGCCTCATGCCCTCAGGTCCTGAAGAAACCTGGGCTTAAACCCCGCCCTTTCCCTCAGGTCCCATGGCCTTGCCACCGAGCTGGTGCCAAGGGGCATTGCTTGTAGGCCTTCTCCAGGGCATCATAGAGCTCAGGCCTCAAGGCTTCAAGAAAAAAACAACCCGAGGATTTTTTACCTCAGCTTTAGTTACCTCCAGAGGCGTGGAGTTCCATGGGGGAAAAGGAAAAAAACGGATCACGTCCATGGTGGAAAAAGAAAAACCGGATCGGCTGCCCTTCTTTTTCGTCGAGTTGAAAGGAATCGGAACCCTGGGCCAAGATGTGCCAGAAAACGGTGGACTTGTACACCAGGTCCGGGCGTGTGTTCAAAACCGCCCAAAGGGTTCCTCAGATGCCCTGTGGATTTCCATGGGGGAAAAGAAAAAACGGATCGGCGCCCTTTCTTTGTTGGTTGCTTGAGTTTAAAGGAATCGCAACCCTTACCCCAGAGAAGTTGGAAGAAAAGAGGCGCCGCTGGGCAACAGAGTTACAAACATTAGCAAAGGTAAGAAGTCACAAGGACACGACCAATGAGCCCTGGGGCCCCATTGGGCTTCATGCAACATCTTTGCGGGTCCTTAAGGCCCTCATAGCTGGGGTCCAAGAACTTAGGAAAGGGTTCTAGTTCAACTGGAGCCTCAGAACACCTGGTTGATTACTCGGTTGCTTTCTGCTCCCCTGCTAAAAGTTTACCTTTTAGTGGTTTAGTGGAAAACCTATTAGTTGGCAAACAGTTCTCAAGTCCTAACAGCCAAGCAACATGCACCAAAGATTTAAGGGGGGGGGTCCCCATTTAGGGGATTCAGACCGCTTCAGGAGGCTTCACTCGCAGAACGGGTTCTACTTAGATCCGGGGTCAACGTTAAACATGATCAGAAAGGGGACACCAGAAGGAAAAGGTCGACAGGTCGATTCGCTTTGGACAAGTGGGTTGTGTGGCCACCCTCAACCTCTAGTTGGCTCTGCTGTTTTTAGGGGGACCCCTCAAATTTGTTTTTTCTGTTTTTTCCCCAACAGCTGAAAGCTTTGGGGTCTCAGCCCCAAATAGGCTCTGGGGCTGGTCCGGGGCGGCCCTGAGGTAGGGTTCCACGAGGGTTCCACCAGGGTTCTGCGAGGGCTGCAGGGTGGTGCGAGCACTAAAAAGAGAACCGCATGCAGTTGGGGATGTCACCTGCACTTTTTTTTTTTTTTCTGTTGGCTTCCCTTTAAACCAACCCCAAAAAAGGGTAGAGCCACCCATTTCAGACCCTCGTGCGGCTCCAACGGCACTGGAAATCTCATCAAGGCCGGGACTTGGGTGCCAGCTTTCGCACGTCCTGGCGAAGCGACGAGAGGGAGCTGGGGAGGTGGGGGGAGGTGGGGGGGGAGGGGGTGGGGGGAGGGGGGTGGAGGGGTAGGGGGTGGAGGGGAGGCGGGGAGGGGAGGTGGGGAGGGGTGGGTGTCCAGAACGGAGGGCTTCCAGAAGGTCCAAGTCCTACTGGACATTCAACAAATCTCGTTTGGCTAAGGGAAACCCACGTCATAAGCAACTGGGGAGACTATGTTGAACCTTACCAATGGCCTCCAGTAAAGAGGTTAGAATAAGGGTACCCTTTTTCCTATCGTCTATCTTAGTACGGGAGCCCTCCCCATACAGGGTACAAGGGCACTACTGGGGAACCTAGTTACCAATGGCCTCCATAGTTTAGAGCTGCGCGGCAGGGCGATGCCCGGCCAAAGCTCCGTCACAGTCAGAGTCAAGCTAACTGTCGACTGGTCAGAGTTCAAATCAAGGACTCACAAGTTTGTTCTACCACGATCCTCCTTGAAACGGGCAAACTTATATAAGCTGCTACCACTTGGTTGACGTTGAAGGGGAGCAAACATTTAAATTTTAGCAGCTAAGTGGTTGGATTTCAACCACTAAACTACAATAAGATCAAAAGTGAAAAGAAATGATCCCAACGACAACCATGAACCGGTGATACGACTTTCTCCCAAACCAACGAACCAACATTCCAGTTGCCCCGCCCTTTGAGGTGGAGTCCCAGGACTGGAGCTCAGCTTTTCAGAGGGCCAGCTTGGAATGAAACAACAAAAAAATAACATCGCGAAGATGTTTGTCCTTGTTTGTTTTTGTACATCTGAGAGGTATTGAACAACCCCTGCCTTTGGCTCCACTCAGGTACCTGGCAAACCAACCCTGCAATGTCCCCCGCCCCCCCTGCCCCCCTCCCCCCCCTTCGTTTGAACCAGCAACCGAACGCCCAGCGGAGGCCCCCCCTGCCACTCGGAGCACCGGATCGGCTGATCCGGATGCTTCTGTCGAAGGGGCTCGCCCCCTCTACAAAAGCTCGAAGCAGGGAAGATTCCCCCGCAGGGAGGTCGAGCATGCTTTTGCCCCACCCCGACTCTTAAGCTGTCATATCAAGGGATGTCCCGCCATCTAAAAGGGGACACCCCCATCCCTCTCTTCGAATTCCAGGGGGAATTAACACAACCCCCCACCGCGTGCCAGGTTCAAGAATGGATGGGTTTCTTGCGCCCCTTGCGCCCCTTGCGCCCGTCTGCGTCTCTCGAGCGAGCGGACAAAGCCGCCGCGCCTCCTTCTGGGCGGAGAAGAGCATGCGCAGCTCATGTGCTGTGGGCACCACCATGGCGCTCGGCTCGATCTGAAGTCGATCGAAGCGGAGGACGGACGGGCGCAGATGCGGACGTGTTGGGTTGAGGACGTGGATCATGACACTTCCTAAGACTCGATATTCTCGACCGCAACAAACATATCGGTGGATCTTTGAGTTCCAAGATAAATTAAGGCAAAGACCCGGGTCTTTGAATTCCATAGACCTCAACAAAAATAAGGTCTTGGGAATGTAGGGCTGACTCACAACGGCGGACTCAGGATGGGTTTGATTTGGGTTTCGATTGAGAGGCTCAACGTCAGGTTGCGCCCAAGCAACGATCAGGGTAGATTCTTACCCCTTAAAACTCCCTGCGCCCTGGGGAAGTTCTCATTTTACAGACATATAGCCCATGTTACCACCAGAAAGTTGAGAAAAGTTTCGTGTTTTTAAGAGGTAAGGATGGGCCCAGGAAAAGCCATGGACACTTCACACCCCTTGCTATGGTAGGCCGGCTTTGATAAGCCGACGGGCTCCCGGGTAACTTGCTCAGCATAGCGGCGCGTCCTGTAGGGGACCCCTCCTGTTGGCTTCCCCTTGTAACCTCCCAAACAAAAGTACCGCCCTCTTTCTAACTCCACAACAAAAAGGTCGAATCGGCCCTCCCAAATGCGACTTCAATACGAACAAATCTCAGAATGAAAGGGGTCCGAAACTTGCACCCTCCCTGCCCTTTCCAAAAAAAAAACAAGCACCTGCCCAACGAACCATGAAAGGCCGTTTGCCATCCTTTTGTCCTTGCCCTAGCCCCTTGGACCCTAAATATGGGGGTTCCTCAATCGCCCCCAAAGGCCGCGTGATTGAGGTCATGAAATGGGGGTTTTGTGTCCCATGTTCTTTACCTTGGGCTTCCAGGGTTTCGCTCTCGGGCTTGAAACGTTTACTCCGTCAGCTAAAGGAAGAAAACAGTTCGACCCTAAATACGAGGGGGCTCACGCCCGAAGGCCTCGTGATTTCAGGTCTTGGGCTAGGGTTTTGTCCTTGTGATCTTTGCTAGAAGAGGTTCAAAACGAAACGATTCCAGCCATTGGAGCCCAAGTTCTTAAAGGCCTCACTCACTTGCGCCCCGACTCAAAGACCGGTCCATGGTCGACCCGAGGGACGGTCCATGGTCGACCATTCATGCGGTCAAAGAGGGGACTCTCCTGGAAACATGTTCTGGGTCTAAAAATGAAGGTCTGTTGCAGGTGTGACTCGCCAAAACAAGTCTGAACTGTTTGTTTGCCAGTCAAATGATCCAGGCCCCAAAAAACATAACGTCCAGGACCTCAGCAAGTGAGATGCCCACCTAATCCCTTGCAAACCCTAAAACAACTTGAGAACCTGGGGGCCGGATGTGTGCCACGCTGGTCCCAACCAGATCCTCCAGTAGAGAGGTAAAAATAAGGGTACCCTTTCTTCTGCTGTCTATTTCAGTAGGGGAACCCCCTCCCCCAAAAAGTGGGTAACTAGGCCACTAGTGGGGGACCTAGAACATGGGGTCATGATTCGATTCGTTTCTCCTAGGCGCAACCCGATCGATCGCTCCCTCTCCTTGGCCAACAATTTTCAAAGCAAGGGCTCGGAAAAGGCGCCCGTGACTTACCCCGCCGCAAACCGACCCATGGAGGCCCCTCAGGTCCCGGCGCGCTGCGCCACGCTGCCAGTGAGGCGCTTCTCCTTGAGCGCTCAAAATGCGCGTCAGCATCAAACCCGATCTATGGGTCAAACTTAAGCCGCCAGGAATGGGGCCGCAGATTTTGGCCCCTGCTTCTCAGGGCAAGCCATTTTGGGGTTCGCCGATTTTTCACCACCACAGCCATCTCTAAAAACAGATAAGGTGGACATACCTAAAAACAGACCTACCTCAAAACAGACAAGGTTCCCAAAAATTTGGTCCCACAAACATAGCTAAAAACCGGAAACCGGATACTACAGGACCGGAGGGAAGCATGCTACCTGGGTCATCAAAACCGATGGGTACGGTCCCCCGATCATTGGTTGATGAAGGGGAGCAACAAATCTCAAGTTTTAGCAGCTAAGTGGTTGGAGTTCAAGCACTAAACCACAATAAGATAAACAAAATGCAAAATGTGTCCCAACGACAACTATGGATCGGTACAAAAATGGGTCACGCCCACCATGGGAAGTTGCGGTTCAGGGGGTTTTCGAATGTTTTATTCTGGGGTTCTCCTACATCAAAAGGATTCCCGGAAAATTCCAGACAAACAGGGTCATTTGAGTCACAATCAAAAACCTGATAATAAAATGGTCCATTTTTGAACTAAGAAGGCGGCCGCACCCGTTTATGGCTGTGATTCTCCCTTACTACCCTCCAAGTAACCGAGCTTTCCTTGTGGCTGATGTAGGGAATTCCGAGTTCAGACCCAAACCCACACCCAACCCAACCCCAAGTCATTCAACCTCACCCCACCAACTCCATCCAACCCCAACTCCACCCCATTCAAAACGCCGCAGATCCGCACCCGCTTTTGGCTTGTTGGCCAGGGGATTGTCCCTTAGCCTCCAATTCTCCGGGCGTTGAGTGAGTGACTCAAATGAGTATGGCTCAAAATTAAAGAGCTGGGGATACGCGGGTTTTAGTCTTTGGTTCCATTTACCAAGCTGCCATTTTGGTACCACTTTTTTGAGCCACGGCCAAATGGGAAGCCTAAACACTTCAAGCCATGTACCATGGCCGAGCCAGTCCAAAGCTTCTTGGCCGAGCAATTGCAAACTCGATGTCAACGTTGGCCGGTGGGTCCTGCGTCAACCCCAAACAGAAAATCTACAAACTCTGGTGCATGACGACAAAGATCAACACCTGCGTAACCCTAGCTCTTAAATTTTGAGCAACACCCATATACAAAGACCCCGGGTGACACTGAAAAAATGACAGCCAAAAGAGACTGGGCTTGTGCTTCCAGGAAGAGGGGGTCCATTATATTTGGGCATGTCCCAAAATGGCAAACGAGTTGGGTGTTCCCTAGATATTTTAAGAAACATTGCCAGTTGGGTGTCTTAAAATACAGGGACCCCAAAATGGATTTCGATGGTGGTTGCCGCTTTCACTTCCCTTGAACACCCAGCTCCAAAACTCACTTCCTGAGTGCTTCCAAACTCTTCTGTGTACCACTGGCTAGATCTTCCCAAAAAGTATACCTCGATTTTCTGAAGCCATCTGGAATATATAAAAGTCCAGCAGTGATGCGTTCAAGCTTAAAAAACAAACAGAGGCATACAGTCCAGGAACTCAGGAAGTGAGTATAAGCACAAATGCAGGAGTGTTTTCTTTGAGGGTGCTCTCTTTTGGTTGGTTTTGGGAAACCAAAAGGAAACCCCGCCATTTGACAGGTCCTGTTTCCCCTTCATTGCCCTACACCCCAAAATCAAAAAAGCAGCCACACCTACCCACCTGCCCTTCCCTAGCCACGCCAAAAAACATGCAGCCACATCGAGCCATTCGAAAGAACTCTGGGGCAGCTGCCATACTGGCCCAGCCCTCTGTGCTCACCGGCGCTCGGCCTCGCGCATCATGGAAGCAAAGAAGATGGCAGCGGCTCAGATGGGATCCCGGAAAAACAAGAAAAACGGCCCGACTTATCCCTAGGAGCCCAAGACCCTAAATATGAGGCTCTTGAACCTTCAAGGGCCTCGTTAATTTGAGGTCATGGGCTCCTAGGGTATGCAAACAAAGACTAACACCGCGCTTTTCTTTTGAGCGCCAAAATCAAAACGGCCTCTAGGAAGAGACAAACACGCAAACCTGGAAGAATCGAAATCACCCCTCCTCTAAGCCCTGAAAACTGGGAAACTCAGAAGCTTGAAAGGCCGGAAAAAGAAACCCAAAGGAACACCTGCTGCGAAAAAAATGGGTGTCCAAATCCGGAAAAAAAGGAACCAAGCGTGTCCATGGACCGACACCTCAACTCTCAGAAGGCTTGTTCCGACCTGCAAGTGCTGGGAGTGTCCCACATTGTGGGTTTCCCCCTTTAAAAACAACATGACATGAAAAGAGTACGACCAAAAGCACAAACCATTGGAACTGCTTCCAGACGCACCTTTTGCAAAACTGATTCACCTGAAGTCCAGGCTGGGGACTGACAGCAGCGTCTCAGGGAACCCGTGAACCAAAACAAGTCAATCGAAACCGACCTACGGCGAATAGATTCGATTCTTGCAGCGAATCCATATTGCAGATGTTTAATAAATGAGCAAGATTGATAAGACTAAGCAAACGAGGCGTGTGTACTTTTTATTAGTCGTGGGTACGAAGAACTCGTCGGTGGTACACCCCCTTCGACTATTGCTGCGTCTTCGTCTTGGGAAGATGTCTAAACATGACCTCTGACCTCTCAGCTTGTGAAATGTCCACTGCCCTAGGGCGTGATTCCTCATGCGCAATACTCGTTCTTTTCAACCACCAGCCGTTTCCTGAGGGTTGTTGGCTCCGGGATGTTGCTCCCACTGTGCTAAACAAACAGTGGAGCTATCATTAGATGATTGACGCATTGTATACATGTTTGACGAACATCCATGTGCTGTCTTACATGTGCGCTATAGTTGGCGAAGATGGTTGACACCAGAAAAATGAACACCTGTTTGAATTTCTTGGGGGTCTCCCCTAGCGGTTGGCTTCAGACCACTTTTCAAGGGACCCCCACCTTTCCACTGAAACGGTGGGACGGGTTCTCCTTTTACTAGGGTCCCACTCCTTAAGTGAAAGAATGGAGGTTCGAATGAGGGTGCCCTTGGTGTTTTGGTAGGGGAACCCTCTCAACTAAAAAAGGGGTGAGAAAGGGCACCTAGCTGGGGGACCTAGTCCAGTCTTCCCTGAAGTGAACATGGAACCGCAAATGGAGATCTGCAAGAGCCAACCCCCCTGCCACAACTCCATGTGGCTGTAGGTCAAAAATAGGGTAACCCCAAAATGGAAGCCTGGAAAATGGAGACATGGACTAAAACCTGCGCTCCAATTTCTGGTGGTTTCCTATTGACCCACAGCTCCATGTTTGAGGCGGGACATTTTCGATCCGGCCCACAGCCGCGCCTTTGGCCTGCCGCTTGGCGCTGCGGTCCGTGCGCTGGGAGACATTGCAGAAGAGGCCCCCTGCGGAAGTCTCTTCGGTGGGAACCCCGTGACGCCGTGGGGCAAAGCAAGCTGAGCTCATCTAAAAGGGTCAAAAAAGCCAAGGCACCCCGGATGGCTGGGAACAAGCAAACTTGTGGACACCTTGCGCCATGTCGCCACAAAGCAAAGCAAATCATGTGGATCCTGTGGGTCAAGACGATGGCAAAAACTTGGCCAATGCGTGTTATCTGGGTCATCCAGTAGAGAGGTTAGAATAAGGGAACACTTTTTTCTGTCGTCTATTTTAGTAGGGGAACCCTCCCCAACAAAGGGTAAAAGGGCACTACTCGGAGACCCAGTTATTCTGCCCAAACCAATGTGCAGAACTCAAAAAGGCGAATGTCCGCCTGTTTGTGGCAAGGGGACTGTCCCTTATTGGCGCTATTTGCTTAAGAGACACATCCTTACACAAACACACCCTCAAAAGGAGACACACCCGTATCATGAGCCACGGTCACAACTACTCGTACCCCCAAAGAAAGCAACGCCTCCCAAACGAACCATAGATCTAGAGGTTGATTCCACCATTCTGTTCAACCATCGTTCTTTTCAAAAACCAGCTGTTTCCCTGAGTTTTTGATGGTTTCCTGAAAAGAAGGATCCCTGGAAAGAATGGGGAAGGTAGCCCTGGAATAGACTGGAGCAGCTCTGCCAAACGACGGGCTCACAAACCGTGAAAAAAATGCCCATCAAAAGACTCATCTGCCACGAACGAGCCTGAACAAGGGCCTGCGTCCAAACTCCCCCCTTTTGGTGTCCTTTTGAAGGGGCAACATGGCCACTTCGCTTCCCTGAAATAGAGGTCCCAAAGATTTCCCTACCCTCATTGTCATTCTTGAAAACATAGATGGCCCTAGATGATGGATGTTTCACGAGGTAAACCAAGCCTATTGTTCGAGCCAACCAAAACGGACACCTAGGGTTCATTGTTCCTGTTTTGCGCACCAATACTGGATTCACGAAATCCTGCACCCAAAGTATGTTTCTTAGTTCTTTTCTGGCTCCCAGATTGTGTGACAGGACCCTCTTTCCCCAACCTCGCTTGCCCAAAGGACCATGAACTAGGCGATCACCTTCTGGGGCCATGACTGAATATGGGAACCCAACATGGGAAAACCAGATCCGGTCCTTTCAAGTCGATTCGCTTTGGGCCACTGAGCAACTGCTGATTTCTGACTTCAACATTTGCGTGTTCGCCCCCTGGAAAAAACAAAAAACATGTCCCGTAGTGAAACAAATCCCTTTTACAACCAACAAAGGAAAAACAACTTAAACAAATGGAAGCAGACACATTTGGAGGTCCTGTTTGTTTTTTTTCCCCAACAGCTGAAAGCTTTGGGGTCTCAGCCCAGGCTCCGGGGTAAGATGACCTCGGCGGCGCAACCGTCCCGGCCGGCGCCTACCGTGTGGATGGTGGCGCCGGTGGTGATTTCCACCGGGTCACGGGTTTCCGGCACCTGAAAAGCAACCATGTCCAGCGGAGTCTATTTTCTTGCTGGTGCGATAGGCAGGGAATGTGACATGGAATGAACCCAGGCTTTGAACCACCAGTTGTTTTTTTGAGAAACTTTGCTCATTCCATTTCTCATGAGCACCAGCAAGTCTTTGGCTCTTCCTTGGGTTCCCTATATATATGGCATATATATATATATATATTTATTTTTTCTCTTCCCTTAAAACATCACCCCAAGGGATAATTACTCACCTTTCATTGGCCACAATGGGCATGTTTAAAACCACCAAAAATGGAAATCTACGGATCTCAGGAGACCACTTCTTGTTTCTTCCTTCGGACTTCCTCTTGCTGGTGCGAGAAATGCAGGGAGTGAGACATGAAACAAGTGGTGCTTTTTCCTTAAAGGAATCTCTAGGGTTATTCCCACATTCCGTACTGAGCACCAGCAAGCCCTGTTGAAACCAGGCAAAAGGTATCCTTAAAACACATACACACACGCAAATTCATCACAAGGATGTGCTTGGTTGCGAAAACACAGGGTCCAACAAAACCACACACACCCGGCTTTCTGAGTAGGTGGTTGGGCATCCCAGATCAGCGAATACACCCAGTTTTACCTGCCGGCAGTGGTTCCGGGGTAGTGGAAGCTATCTTAGATGGTCCGGAAGGGATCGCGAAGTGGCTAATTAAGAACTATGGACTAGGGTTACTTGTCATTTAGCCGCCCAGGGTGGAACACCTTTGAAGGACCCAAAGGTGGTTGGCTTGTTTACTCCGGTTTCCGAATCCGGGGGCCGGCCCATGATGAACGACAACCACTTTACTTTAATGTGATGTGTCTACATTTCATGTCACAAGCCCACAAAGCCAGGAACTCTCCACAAGCTTGTTGTTCTTTTTGCGCCTCTCCCTTTTCGAGACAAACTAAACTCGCTGACCACGCTGGGGCATTGCCATCGCCTTCTGCAGAACTGACCCGGGCCACGAAAACGAAGCAGCTTGTTGAATTCAGCAGCTACGCCGATGCTGCTTGCCATGCTGCCGAAGCTGATTTGCCTGATGTCGCAGCTGAGTTGTAGCGATATCCTCCTGCTGACGCTGCGCTTGCTGGGCAGCCCTCCGCCGCTCATGCACCTCCTCAAGCTCGATTGTCAATATGAGTCTGGGGAGCCTTTGGCGAACCGCATTTAGCTTTGGTGAGCAGAGTTCATTGCCAGATTCTGTGTGGTCTCTTCTTGTTTTTTTTTGGGGGGGTTCTTTTCTCGGGTTGGGGCACCACCTGTTAGTTGGAATGAAAGGAAGATCAAAAGGACACCAATATTTTTTCCGATGGTTGTCAGGGGCCCCGAAAGAGGAGACCTGCTGGAAATGGTCCGCAAAAGCCCCGGTCAAAAGTCCGTAAATATGGCCTCGTCATGTCTCCCTCAACAGGAAGCATTATGGTCATTAAGGATCCATGGGAGGATGGCCATCGCTCAGAACCGCTAGTAAAGGCACCGGTGTTTTGACGTCACTACGCGACCATGTCCTTACACAACTCCGATCAGTAGCTCCTGAACCGCTCCCTCTTTGAACAATAATGCCACAGATCAGCCTCTAGTTTACCAAACACTTACCCCATCCCAATGAGTGAATGGTCACACTAACTGTCTTTTTTTGGCAAGCTCGCCGAGGGGGTGGGTGGTAACACGAGCTTACTTCTGGATCCCGGCTCCCTGTCACAGCTCCCGAAACCCAACCACCAGCTACCTGCTGGTGCTCAGCAAAAAAAACAACAAGAAGCGGGAATGAACCTGATGACTCCCGAATACAGGAAACCAAATCGGAAAAAACGGATGGTTTACTTCGGGGGCATTCCATTTCTCGCTCCTTGCAAGACTCCTCACCGATCGCAAGAAAGTGAAGGTCTAAGGGTTGATTCCCAACCATGGTTCTTTTCGAACACCGGCCGTTTCCCTGCGTTTCCGGAGACTTTCTGGAAAGGAGGAACCCTGGAACGAATGGGGAAGGTAGCACTAGAGAAGGGGCCAAAGGGCGAAAAGGTCAGTCAAGACACCCTTTTCCTTGGGAAAGAAAAGAGACAGTTCTCCTGGTGCTCAGCTACCCTCCATTTGCATTTTGGGCCTCCGAGAAAAATTAGAAAATATGTCCAAAAGTGAAATCTTTAAAACCAACAAGGGAAAATAACAAAAAAAAACATATTCATTTCAGCAAATGTAAGCCATGCTTGAAAAAGACTGGATCCTACACCTTTGAAGGAGGTTGGCTCGTTAGCTCCGGTTTCCGAATCTTATGGCAAATGGACATGGAAGCTACTAGCTTGGGTGCTGTTGACCCCCCCTGCAAAAAATAACAACTTTTGTGGGGGGGGGGTTAGTGGAAAACACCATTATTTCAACCAAACAAGTTAAAGCCTAAAGATCCGTTGCCCAAAGTCAAGCTAGGGGCGGCTGCCCTAGCCCCTTGGACCCTAAGTATGAGGGCCTCAATCACCCGCTTTGTGCCCCTAGGGATGGCCACAACCATCCATTCCCTTTAAAACCAAGGGAAAATAATTCCTTAAAAAAACATAGGGGTGTGGTTCTCAAAATTAAAGAGGAGGGGCAAACCGCAGGTCTTGGCAACCATGTTTCCACTTGCTAGGGTGAAAAAAAAATGGCACCGGTTTTTTGAGCCACAGCCATATTCTTTGCAGCAAATGGAAGCTACTAGGGCCTTTGCCGATGTTTTCCTCTCGTTGCATAAGCCCGAGACCGCGAAGTCGAAGCGCTGCATCAGCGCCACCAGCACCGCCTCGAGCCAAGGAGCGAGCGAAGGAGCGAGTCGCAGCGACTCGAGAAGCGGCTCGTGGCCGCTTCAGTTGAAACCTGCCTCGTGGTTTCGAGGTGCAACCTCCACAAAATGAACAAAATACAAACAACCCAAACAAACAAAATACAAACAACACATGCCGTAACAACAGTGAAGCTAAGTTATGTGTCCTTACTAGCATGTGATTAACTGGGGTGATCGTCCCCTTACCATGGTTATAACCTACATACCTGACCTTGGTTGAACACCCGAGAACCCTATTTTGTATGCCATGTTACTACCCGAACTCCGATCGGTAGCTCCCAAACGCTCGCTCTTGTTCAACCAACATAAGTAGGTTATAGCACATGGTGAAAAAGGGCGACTAACCCCAGGTACACGAGTTACAACCATGGCTGTAACCTACTTATTAAGTTGGTTGAGCATCCAAGTTCAGAAGAGGACGCCGCCGGCATCAAAGTTGCCCTCCGTCGCCACAGCCAGAAAATATGGACCGTGTATCCTGCAAAGCTGTTAGCTCAGGTGGCTTTCCGTTCGCTTAGGCCGGTCTTGACTTCACTTTCGAATTCAAAAAACCGAAATTCACGGACAATGGCAACCTGCCCGATGTCTACAGTAGTGATGAGAGCGAGATGTTCAGGAGATCGTTCAGGAGATCCTTTCTGGGTTTGGCTGTAAGGGTAAGCCCCTAACTCCGCCTAGATAGCAATTACCAAACCGTTCCCTGGACGGCGTGGAAAGGACATGGGGAATCAATTGGGAAAACACATAGGCGCCACAGGTAGGAAAGGCCAAGAAAGAAGACATCTGTGTTTAAGATTTGATCCGGGAATGGTTACCGTCGAAATGGTCTGTTGGCAAAGACACAATCCACACACGCCACAAAGCACAAAGTACTAGTCCGAATCCCAAATCAAAGTCTTGACACACACACACACACACACACCACACTCAGAGTGGCATGACACAGCACAGCGTCCCCGGTGACCTTCGGCCCCCCTCCCAGTGCCCGAAGTCAACTGTGAATGTCCAAACCACTGTTGCTGACACATCCTCAGTTGCTAGGGCCTCCAGTAGAGAGGGTAGAAGAAGTTGGTACCATCTGTTTTTCGGTTTTGTCTATTTTCGTAGGGGAACCGAATCTCCCAACCAAAAAACGGGTGAGAAAGGGCACTACTGGGGGACCTAGGTTAGGGCTTCCCTTGCGGATCCATGCTTCACCTCCACACTGAAACGGATTGCCCGGATTGCCTGATGCCTGCTATGCTCATAGTAGGGCTCTCATCTTGTGTGTCTACCTTGTGAGGTGTTCACAGGGGGCTCGCCATTCTGACATAATTCTTGTTACGAGCATTTGTGGATCTGCAACACTATAATGTCATCTGCCCCTCTGGTCTCTTACCCTTCAGACTCACACGGAAGCTCCCAAAAGGCGGATCCTGCAAATATGGAAACACGTCTTTCCACTTCTGGGAGCTTCCGTGGCATCGCCTGGGGAAGGCTACTCTCCCATTCGCTTCTTTGCACAAAAATAGAGAGACACGTCCCAAGCCTAGGTCCTCCAGTAGAGAGGATAGAATAAGTGCGTACCAACTTTTTGTTCGGTCGTCTATTTTAGTAGGGGAACCCTCCCAACCAAAAAAGGGGTGAGAAAGGGCAATACTGAAACACCTGGCAAGCGATGTTTTTCTTTTTTTCCTCAGATGCTCAGTGGATTTCCATGAGGGAAAAAACGCATCGGCACCCTTTTTGTGTTGGTTGAGCTTCAAGGAACCCTTACCGCCAAAAAAAGTTGAAACAAACAATTGGCGGAATCCACTGGTTGCATGGGATGATATCGGGTATTCATCTCCACTCTTGGTATGGTAGCAAAACACTGCGTTTGTCTTTGCTGCCCCCAGCAAAAAACTGAACAGAACCAAACAACTATTTGCAGCCCCCCAGAAAAAATGAACAGAACCAAACAACTATGTGCAGCCCCCCCAGCAAAAAACTGAACAGAACCAAACAACTATTTGCTGCCCCTCCAGCAAAAAACTGAACAGAACCAAACAACTATTTGCAGCCCCCCCAGCAAAAAACAGAACAGAACCAAACAACTATTTGCAGCCCCCCCAGAAGAAAAAACAACTGAACAGAACCAAACAACTAGTTGCAGCCCCCCCCCCAGCAAAAAACTGAACAGAACCAAACAACTATTTGCTGCCCTCCCAGCAAAAAACTGAACAGAACCAATCAACTATTGCAGCCCCCCAGAAAGAAAAAAATGAACAGAACCAAACAACTATGTGCTGCCCCCCCAGCAATAAAATGAACAGAACCAAACAACTATTTGCTGCCCCCCAGCAAAAAACTGAACAGAACCAAACAACTATTTGCTGCCCCCCCCAGCAAAAAACTGCACAGAACCAAACAACTATTTGCTGCCCCCCAGCAAAAAACTGAACAGAACCAAACAGCTATTTGCTTCCGCCCCAGAAAAAATGAACAGAACCAAACAACTATTTGCAGCCCCCCAGCAAAAAAACTGAACAGAACCAAACAACTATTTGCTGCCCCCCCAGCAAAAACTGAACAGAACCAAACAACTATTTGCAGCCTCCCAGCAAAAAAAACTGAACAGAACCAAACAACTATTTGCAGCCTCCCAGCAAAAAAATGAACAGAACCAAACAACTGTTTGCTGCCCCCCAGCAAAAAACTGAACAGAACCAAACAACTATTTGCTGCCCCCCAGCAAAAAATGAACAGAACCAAACAACTATTTGCTGCCCCACCAGCAAAAAACTGAACAGAACCAAACACCTATGTGCAGCCTCCCAGAAAAAATGAACAGAACCAAACAACTATTTGCTGCCCCCCAGCAAAAAACTGAACAGAACCAAACAACTATTGGCAGCCCTCCAGCAAAAAACTGAACAGAACCAAACAACTATTTGCTGCCCCCCGGAAAAAAAAAAACTGAACAGAACCAAACAACTATTTGCTGCCCCCCAGCGAAACACTGAACAGAACCAAACAACTATTTGCAGCCCCCCCAGCAAAAAAATGAACAGAACCAAACAACTATTTGCTGCCCCCCAGCAAAAGACTGAACAGAACCAAACAACTAGTTGCTGCCCCCAGCAAAAAAACTGAACAGAACCAAACAACTATTTGCTGCCTCCCAGCAAAAAACTAAACAGAACCAAACAACTATTTGCAGCCCCCCAGCAAAAAACTGAACAGAACCAAACAACTATTTGCTGCCCCGCCAACAAAAAACTGAACAGAACCAAACACCTATGTGCAGCCTGCCAGAAAAAATGAACAGAACCAAACAACTATTTGCAGCCCCCCACCAAAAACTGAACAGAGCCAAACAACTATTTGCAGCCCCCCAGCAAAAACATGAACAGAACCAAACAACTATTTGCAGCCCCACAGCAAAAGACTGAACAGAACCAAACAACTATTTGCTGCCCCCCAGCAAAAAACTGAACAGAACCAAACAACTATTTGCTGCCCCCCAGCGAAACACTGAACAGAACCAAACAACTATTTGCTGCCCCCCCAGCCAAAAACTGAACAGAACCAAACAACTATTTGCTGCCCCCCAGTAAAACACCGAACAGAATCAAACAACTAATTGCTGCCCCCCAACAAAAAACTGAACAGAACCAAACAACTATTTGCAGCCTCCCAGAAAGAATGAACAGAACCAAACAACTATTTGCTGCCCCCCAGCATAAAACTGATCAGAATCAAGCAACTATTTGCAGCCCCCCAGCAAAAAAACTGAACAGAACCAAACAACTATTTGCTGCCCCCCGGAAAAAAAAAACTGAACAGAGCCAAACAACTATTTGCAGCCCCCCAGCAAAAAAACTGAACAGAACCAAACAACTATTTGCAGCCCCCCCAGCAAAAAAATGAACAGAACCAAACAACTATTTGCTGCCCCCCAGAAAAAAATGAACAGAACCAAACAACTATTTGCAGCCTCCCAGAAAGAATGAACAGAACCAAACAACTATTTGCTGCCCCCCAGCAAAAAACTGATCAGAATCAAGCAACTATTTGCAGCCCCCCAGCAAAAAACTGAACAGAACCAAACAACTATTTGCTGCCCCCCAGCAAAAAACTGAACAGAGCCAAACAACTATTTGCAGCCCCCCTGCAAAAAAACTGAACAGAACCAAACAACTATTTGCAGCCCCCCCAGCAAAAAACTGAACAGAGCCAAACAACTATTTGCAGCCCCCCAGCAAAAAAATGAACAGAACCAAACAACTATTTGCAGCCCCCCCAGCAAAAAACTGAACAGAGCCAAACAACTATTTGCAGCCCCCCAGCAAAAAAATGAACAGAACCAAACAACTATTTGCAGCCCCCCCAGCAAAAAACTGAACAGAGCCAAACAACTATTTGCAGCCCCCCAGCAAAAAATGAACAGAACCAACAAACTAAACAAAACTGAACTGGGCATTTTTTGTTACTAATTGGTTTTCTCTTTCGGGCGCCTCGGCTTCCAGGAGGGCAAACTGGTCCCCCACGCACTTGCGCCTGGCGCGGAAAGGGCGGCAAAGGGCTCAGTCCAGCTGGATGGCGGCTCGGTGCGGTGCTTTGGAGCGAGGTGCCATGCCCGGCTTGCGCGGTGAAAAGCCGAATGACTGTTGGCCAGGTGAGTCACTGGATGTTCCAGCTGAAGCTGAATTGGCGAGAGGTGTCCATTTTAATACCCGATGGATCCACAACTCGACAACGAAACCTGCGAAGCCCTGCCAAAAGGCGAACTTGTAGTGGTTTAATTTTGGGGAAAACCCATTAGTTGGCAAAAAGTCCTAACATCCCTTGGCAAAATGCACCTCTGACAAGAAGCAGGGGTTTTGAGTATTGCCAGTTGCCCAAGCTAAGAGAGAAAAAGCATGAGGTGTAAAGGATCGAATTGCGTGATGCTGCGCAACCAACAGCCAACAGCCTTGACAGGACTAGTCAAGCGCTGCAATCTCGAAGTGACTCCACTTTGCAGAAGCAAACCATGGTGGCTCAAGTCCAGTCTGGTCCGTTGTGGGTGTCTTCCCAAAGACCATGTTTCCTGTGGATTTGTTCAAGCTAAACGCACGCATTTGCGCACTCTGTTCTTGCCGAATCTTGCTGTAGCGTTACGTTGAAACTGCATACCCACTTGGCTTTCACAAAAAACATCGAAAGGCTCCGTTCGTCGGGCGTCGAGGACGTAGGGATGATCATTAACCCCTCACGGAAAATATAAAGACCACCATGGCAAGGGGTCCTATTAAGGGAACCATGGCCATGGCAGACACACAATGAGGCGGAGTGCTGCTATGGATTGGCAAATGAAAACCCCCTCGAAGCCAAGCAGTCTGTAGGAAAGGTCCTCCAGATTTGAGAGGTTAGAAGAAGTTGGTACTTTGGTACCAACCTTTTTTCTTTTTTGTCTATTTTAGTAGCGGAGCCCTCCCCAAAAAAAGGGGGTAGGTAAAAGGGCACTACTGGGAGACCTGGGTAGGAAAGGCCCAGTCAAGCTACCAGCGACCCCAAGCGCATCAGAGCATGGAAGACTTGCCAGGTGTGCGGTCCGGCGCCGAAGGGCATAAAGGCGTAGTCCGCCGCCTGAAAATCAGAAGAAACAAAAACGCCAGAAAACAGGGGGATGCCTGAAAAAAGGTCGTTCATTTCCGAGGAGATACATGGGGAGAGGGATGCTACAAGGAGGGTGTGGGTGCTACTGTGGATGGACAAAACCATTGTTTGTTGGTATTTACCAGACAATCATAATTCCAGGGTTTTAGGTGGTGCAGGATTTCGTCCATCCACGGTATCAAACCAAAATACCGCATGATCATGGGAGAAGACCCTTTTGCAATGTTGTATTGATCCCCGCAAATAAACACGGGTTGCTCAAAAAAAACATGAACCCCGAAGGTGGGTCGTTTTTCATCTAAAAACGACGACTTTGCTTCAGGGTGCTTGCTTGAAATTCATGTTGACGGCGTTGTTGATCGTTACATGGAATCTCGATTGTTGAATATCGTTTCGAGCAATGTATAGTTGATGTTGAGTTCGGAAAGTGGGGTTGACGGGCTTGCACGTAAGGTTTGTGACAGGGAGCACACAGAGCAAGCCGCCCAAGAAAATGACATCATGCTCTTTCAAACAATCATCGAAGTGGACAGGAGTAGTAACAAAGGTCCCCGAATACACAAATCCCAGAGGAAGCCAATAAACAATAGGAATAGGTCAGTTACCAAACTGGCGATTTCCCCAGATCTCTCCTCTGCAGTTGTCGGGGACCCTCTCCCACAAAGCCCCATTTGGGCGAGCCTTGTTAGGAACCGACCCCCCAATATGGTACTTTTCCTCTTTGTTTTCTAGGTCCTCCAGCAGAGAGGCTAGAAGAAGGGCACCTTTTTTTTCCGTCGTCTATTTTAGTAGGGGAAGCCTCCCCCAAAAAGGGGGTAAAAGAGCGGGCACCTAGCTGTATTTTGAAAACCGCAAAGAAAGCCCGCTCAAAACAAGACAGAGCGATTTCCCGATTTTTGTTCAGTACCGAATCCGCCAGGCCCCCGAGCCCGCTCATCCGGGTAGGAACCCGCCTGTCCGAGCGAAGCCAAGCACAACAACATCCGTATGTGTGTGCTCTCGGGCTACCTTCCATTTCCATTCTTTCCAGGGATCCGGATCTTTCAGGAAACCATCAAAACCCAGGGAAACGGATCCGGTTTTTGAAAAGAACCATGGTTGAAAAGAATGGGGAATCAACCCCTAGATGTGTGTCTGTCTGTGTGTGTCTGTGGTTGCTGAGGACGAGAATTCTCAAAAGTATGACTTTCCCTAGGAGCCCCCTGGACCCTAAACTTGAGGGCCTCAAACATTCCCAAAGACCTGAAATAGTGAGGTCTTGAGCCTCTAGGTATTGAAAGAACACCCATCTCCGGGATCAAGGTGCAGACCATCGTCCGGTCGGCATCCCTCTCCTGGAGTCCGTCACACTCCAAACCCGACACAAAAGAGGTCTACCCAAAGCCCATGATGCTTACCCCAAAAACTGGCGCTCCTCTTGGTTCCCGGTTTAAACCAGCCCGAAGAAGGGTATCCTTGACTGGGTCCTCCAGGGAGGTTAGAATAATGGTACCAACTTTTTTTCGATAATCTAGCTTGGTGGGGGAACCGAATCTCCCAACCAAAAAAGGGGTGAGAAAGGGCACTGGGGGACCTTGAGCCTCAAAAGAGGGTCGCACATGAGAAGTCCGACCGGCCCTACGAGAGGTGGGCTGCTGCATCTGCTCTCATGCAACCCCCATGGGCTTCATCTGCCCGGTCACGGCCTCAACTCATGATCTTTCCCTAAAGATGACCCTACATGTTGGGTCTTTGGGGGGCGCTTTGGCCAATTTAGGCGACGTCAAAGTAGAAATCAGATGCCCCAAGAAGCAACACGCAAGGACCCAAATGTCTCACTGCCTGCGCGAGCATTGGCAAAAAAACATCATGTGCGTATGTGTGTGTGTGTGTGTTGTTTGGCGTACCAGCAAACATCTGCTTTGTGCTGTTTATACCACGAAACTGATCCAAACCCAAGAAGTGTTTTCAGGGAGTTCGGTCGTTCAGTGGTCTCAGAAAAAAGAAGAAGAAGAAGAAGAAGATATGTCTTCACTCTGCCGTAGAACTCATAAATCTGCGAGACTCTCGACAGTAAAAACGGACTTATTATCACTAGGTCCTCCAGTAGAGAGTTTAGAATAAGGGTGCCCTTCTTTCTCTAGTCTATTTTAGTAGTGGAACCCTCCCAACCAACCAAACAAAGGGGGCAACAGGGCACCTAGCTTGGGGACCTAGATCCCACGTGACATGACCGTAACTCCGTCGCCCGCGAGCGAGCCATGGGAGCCTTCTCCGGGTTGTAGCCCAGCCAGCCCCTCTTGCCCGGCAAGCGCTCCTCGAGATCGAGCGCTAAGCCACCGACAGGAGCGCTTGCCAGCCACCGGTTCGTGGGTTGGCATTCTGATCCGAGTCTCTTCAAACAAGCTAGGCTGGAAAAATCGTGGTTAGTGGAAAACAAAGGGAACCCCAAAAAAGCAAAAGAGCAAAAAGGGGAGCTATTTCTCTTCAAACAAAATGATGGATAGTGAAAGGAAGAGATTGGATGATAACAAAAAGAGACCAAGAAGCGCGGTTGCAACCACCAGACCCGAATCGGCCCCATTTACCCACGTCCGATGGAGTGGATCGGCGGCCAAACAGAAGGATTCGATCGAATTCTGTGATTTTGCCGCTAAAATACTGTGGGTGGACGAAATCCGTTCGCACCACTTGGAATCCATGAGAAACCATTGTTTATTTGGTATTTACAGGGAAATCATCCTTCCAGGGTTTCTTAGGTGGTGCAGGATTGCGTCCATCCACAGTATGATCCAGACCCAAGTGACTTAAAGTCTGAAACAAAACTCAGGGAGCGAGTGAAACGACACCCGGATCAGCCTGGTTTGAAGGGGCAAAAGAGGGCCCCTCTTTCAACAAGTGGCTGTGGGTCAAAAATCGGGTCACGCCAAAATGGGTTGCCCTGCTCAATGATACATGGCCACATGGACTAATACCTGCGGGCCCCTGACCCATACCCAAAGCTCAGCACAGTGACTTGGCCTGCGAGAAACCCAGACTTCCATTTGCGTTTTCGCCCCCTCGAAAACATTAAAAAAAAAAAAAAAAACAAAACAGAAACAGTGATGATCGATTCCGTATAGAGCCAACAGGGGAAAATACAAAAAAACATATATATCTTGAACAAATGGAAGCAAACACATTTGAAATGTCCTGTTTGTGGGTTTTTCCTAATTAGGCTCTAGGAGTCCCTTGAACCCTAAGGAGGAGGGCCTCAAGCACCCCCAAAAAACCTTAAATAAAGAGGTCTTGGGCCTCTATAGGGGAGGGAAACTGAAGGGGAATCGCCGATTTTGCCGGCGCACGAATTGTTTCTGAGACATGCGCATTTGTAGAGGAAATGTCTTTGTTGCTTAGGGGGAGGAGTCTTGTGCGAGTTGCCTGTGGTTGCTTTGCACAGGGGAATGTGGCCCTTCAAGCATCGATGCTGCATGTGCAAAGGGGGCTATGGGAAGGGGAGTCTATCACCTATTAACCTCTTAAGGCCTCGTCCTTGCCTTATCCTTCGCGTATCTGGGATGGCCCTTCCCCCCGAAAGCCCGAAAGCCGCCTATGGCATGTCTCTCACGAGGCGCAAGTGACTTGGGCGCGTCTGATCAACATCTCCCAAAGACTCACTTCACAACACGCCCAAGTCTTGGCGTCCCTTAACGGGGGATCGCGCAAACCAGCTTCGGGCAGTCTTGGGCTGTCTTGTTTCTGCCTGAAACCGCCCGAAACCGAAACCCAAACCCGTGACGGCGATTTTGGTCGAGGGCTTCTCTGACAAGTCAGTCAAGAGTCATACATCCCAGTGCTGATTTTGTCCCAAGACCTGGGGTCTTGGGGCGTCGGCCTTTCTGTTCAGGGTAGGGGCTCCGCTCCAAGGGTATCAACTTCTCTGCCCGGTGCATTTCCAGGGGAAAAAAAGGAAGAAGAAATCGGCACCGTGTTTTTGGCTGGTTGAGTTTCAAGGAAACGGAACCCTTACCCAAAAAAGAAAGGGCACCGCCGGGCAACAGAGGTAAGACGATGTTCAATGTGTGAATAAAAGTCTGCTACCTAGTTTACCCTGCGTTCGACTGCTGAAGAGACGAATCTCAATTGGGTGTCTCAGCCACAAGCACTCGGCAGCATGGTGATGACAACCAACACAACCACCCCCAATCCAACCCAACCCAACCTAACCCAACCTAACCTAACCCAACCAACCAGGTAACCAATACGCTTACAATACAATATGGGTGTCTGTTCTGGGTCCCCCTTCTGTTGGCAACAGAAAGTCCCTTTCCCACGCCTTTCGAACACCTCAGCGCCCCATTCCTTTCATCGCAAGGGAACCCCATTCTTTTGGACGTTTGTCGGATCTCAGATTTGGGTCTGCGCTTGAAGTCTTAGGGGTAGAGACAGAGTCTCCGACATGATAAGCACATCCAAAGACTTCCGACATCCTGAGGCACCAACATGCTTGGCCTCAGACCCACCAGTGGAAGTTCCGGTGAGCGAGCTCGTTCTTCGCAAGGTGCAAGGACGGCTTTTGGCCGCAAAACCACCAAACACCCTGGGATGTTTGGGATGTATGGAGGTTATATACCACGTTTCAAGGTCGCTATATATGTTGATCAAAAGCTGCGTGAAAAACGCGGGATCATTCAGGCGTTGCGCCCGAAAACACGCCCGAAACTCCTTCCAGCGGTGTGGGTTGAAGTCGTGGGAGTCCTGTCGGGTGGACTTCCAATCCGTCGCCGAGCATCTGAAGGGTTTGGGGAAACTTTGACACAAAATTGGAGCCTTTGACACTTGGAGGTCTCGTCTTTGCAGCGCAAAGAGAAGGTGGCATGGGCACCAAGCTCAAAGCCCAATCCAAACCAGGGTTACCCGAAGAAGACCGCATGTCCCCCCTTTCAAAGCGGCTTTGAGTGGAAGCGACCTTAATCTTAACTCTAGGTCCTCCAGATTTGAGAGGTTAGAATAAGGGTGCCATCTCTTTTTCTGTAGTCTATTTTAGTAGTGGAACCCTCCCCCAATAAAGGGCAAAAGGGCTGGGGGACCTAGATGTTGATAAAACTCGGTTGCTTTCTGCTCCCCTGCTAAAAGTTTAACTTTTAGTGGTTTAGTGGAAAACCCATTAGTTGGCAAAAAGTTAAAGTCCTAACAGCCATGCAAAATGCACCAAAGAAAAATGCATGTCGTTGAACTGGACCACCCCACCCCACCCCACCCCATTCCGATTGCGTGAGGCTTTCACAAGATAGAGAGTCTTACTTTTCCCAGCGCTTCCAGATACCACTAGAGCCCCAAGCTCTAGCCAAAAGTCGTAGGAGCCCTAGCCCCTTGGTCCCGGAAAAATACCAGGGCCTCAGGCACCGACCCCCAAAGACCTGCAAAAAACTTTTCGGCATCAAGTTGGGTATTTGGGGAAGAAGCTTGTTTGCCAAAATGATCAGGGCCCAAAAAGTGACTGAAGTCCGAAATGGAACTCAGGCAGTGAGTAACAGAGTGATGTTTGAACCCCCATGGTAGCCGTCCCCCCGTTCCAGGAATCCTCAGCCGGGGGCAACGAATGAAACGTGCCGCGTTTGAACAATGGCCTACCATGTACTAGAAAGCAATAGAACATGGGCTACCCAATACCGATACCCATCAACTTGTGCAATTGATAGGGCCCAACTCAAAACCGATGCTCTGGTAATCTCTGGCAATATTGTTTGTTGCTCATGTGTGCTGGATTCACCACGAATTGAATACAGAAGGCCACACATATCACAAAGGGCTCTATCCAAAAACGATCCTCTTTTCAAGCAGTATTCACCGACTCCCGATTCATTCGGAGAAGCAAATGTCGTGGATCAGACATAGATAGCACAATGAGCAGTCCTCGGATTCATCGCGGCGGAGGACTCAGGGATCTGCTCTTTAGTGGGGGAACGTGCCCTGTCCTCAGATCCGAGATCCCCTGCTAAAAGTGACCAACTTTGAGTGGGTTAAATGAAATCCCCCACTAAACCCTAACTAGGTCCTCCAGATTTGAGAGGTTAGAATCAGGGCGCCCTCTCTTTTTCTGTAGTCGATTTTAGCAGGGGAACCGAATCTCCCAACCAAAAAAAAAGCGGCAAAAGGGCACTTCTGGGGGACCTAGCTAAACAACCAAAAAGCTAAGGAACCAGATGCCTGGGAGCCACCAAGTTGCGTGAGGTTCATCAAAAAAGTTTGGTCCGACCCCTTTCTCCAATGAGCCACTTCCCCCCTGCTTGTCCCAACTGCCTCGCCCCAGAGAGTCTCTGAGCGCTGCAGGGACCAAGTGGAGATGAAGATGTCCTGACGTGGTGAGCCCTTGCCTAACGCGTACAAGCCTGGAAAAAGGAAAGCCTCCCCAACACCCTTGAGAGGAATGAAGCATGAATGTTTTTCTTTGTGTTCCACTCAGGTTCCGTTTGAAGGGGCTTGGATCTGGTTGTTTACAGAAATTGGCAAAGTCTACTTGATGAAATCCCCGGTTCTCTGCTGAGCTGCTTGCGGTATGGGAAGGAATAGGGTTGGTTTAGGGTCTGCTTAGGTTGGTTTAGGTTTGGTTTAGGCCTGGCTTAGGGTGGGTTTGAGGTGGGTTAGGGTGTCTTTAGGGTGGGTTGAGGGTTGGTTCAGGTTTGGTTTCAGGTTGGTTTCGTTGAGGCTCAGGGTGGGTGTGGCTGTGGCTTGCAGGTTTAGTGGTTGTTCAAGATTCGTTTAGGATTAGTTTAAGGTGGGCTCGGGGTCCAAAAGCAAAGGCGTACGCGCTTTTTCCAAAGATGTGCCCTGAGAAAACAGAAACCAAGTGGGAAACCATCGCCCAATGGAGGCGGTGAAATGCACCCCGAAAGCCACCAAACGCCGCAAAGGCTTACAACACGCGCCCTGAGAACACAAAAAGCCAAGTGAACAAATCGCCCTCCAATGGAGGCAGTGCATGTAACCCGTTGGTCCAGGGTGGGTGGGTGGGTGGGTTGAGGCCGGTGTTCGATTCACCAAACCCAGGCGGCGACCGACCGACCAACTGACTGAAGGTGGCCGACTCACCCCGACCCCCCGACCAACCGACTAGCCCTGCCGAACCTGGAACCTCGAGTTTTCCAAAAAAAGAACAGACCCACTGCAGACCCGGTGTCCCCTTTGTTTGTGGTCCAGACCCGTAGAGAGTCTGCAGATTTGCCTTTTTTACGTCGTTCGATTTGAAAACTCGAGGTTGGTTGATCCTAGTTGGGAGTCGATTGGAAGTTCAAGTTGAACTAAGTATGGAAAGCCAAGCTATATGTGTTATAAATATTTCTTCTATGTTGCATGCCCCGTTAAGAGAAGTGAACCCCAAATAAATGTTCAAGGAACATGCAACATCAGTTCTAGTTGTTTGCAAGTTTGAAGTGGCAAAGCTCTGAGTTCATATCAATTAAGTACTTCGCATAGAACTTAATTAGAACTTGCTTAGAATCCAACAAGAAGAAAAGACAAGCCGGTTGGTTCTTATGATTTGCCTGCCCCTTACAATTTACAGGGATGAACAACCACAAAGCGCCTGATCATCTGTGTATGATGGTCACTGTGAAGACAAAGGCCCCGTGCCAATCCGCCCTCTAGTTATATATGTGTACAGCCATGATATATATATATATATGCTTCCTCCCCCCCCCAGCGACCTACCCTTTTTGTTGGCTCTCCAGTGCATGATTTGCCCATCTAGGAACTGGAAGCTGGGACTAGGACCAAAGTAGGACTAGACGATCCACCTCCGATTATTACAGTAATTGAGTTCAAGTATAACTTATTCTGCAATGTGCTTTATACTTTCTGAGTATTTCAGTAAACTAGGAGCAACCTAGCACTAGAACCAAGGATCTTAACTGGACTAGACTATTTAACTCTACTTATTATAGTATTTTGATGTCAAGCATTACATTCTATTGGAAAGAAAGTGCTGTGTAACATGTGGTTTGAAACAGAATTGCAATATTTAAAATCCAATGTATCATGTACATTATGCCTGGAGTTTTCCTTATATTGAATTCTACAGTCAGTTAGCAGTTACGTAGAACTTGATAAATACATCAAAGATAATTCAGAAGGAACTTGCTTTGTACTGTTCTTCGCTGTTCTTTATACTCTCCATTGTTCGGCAAGCTAGCACCAAACTGAGACTAGACCAGTTAACTCTAGTTCTTAGAATACTAATTGAATTTCAAGTACGATGTTCTTTAGGAAAGGGAATCTTGTGTAGCATCTAATTTGACATAGACCAACCAATAGTTGTGCTCTAATTCAAATCGACATTCTGAATGGAGTAGTTTCTTCTTAAACTCAACTTAGGTTCAATTCGAAATTGGGTCGAAATTGATAAACATACGAAGTAGAATTCATAAGGAAATGATTTCAGAGGTCCATGGTTTCAAAACACTGTAAAACACAGTGTTGTGTAGCGTTTGTTTCTACTCAATTCACATCTCCACCAACGACCGCTCTCAAAATGTTCATTGATTTTGAGCAGGATCCCGTTGGGACTCAATACGGAAATACTTGCGAATTGTATCAGCTCCTTTGCCCATATATTCTTACAATTCAGTTAACACGAGTTGATCAGGAAATAATCCAAGCCTGCATTTAAGATTCAAGGCTCAGATACCGTGTATATATACATATGTATATATATATATACACATGTATATATATATATATATACACAGTATACTCACTTCCTGAGTGAATCAAAACAAGTGTGAACTGTTTATTTACAACTAAGATGCTCTTCCCAAAATATGTTAAATCCAGGAACTCAGGGAGTGAGTATATATATATATATGTATTAGATCATGTCGTATATGTATGTTGTTACTCGTTTGCCGCACATATGTTTTTAGGGCACCCCTTAAACCTCCATTTGCTTAAGTCCCCTGGAAGAAACAAACACATATTCCAGTCGTGATATATTTTCTTTAAAACCAACAGGGGAAAAATAAGAAGAACAAAAACAGTCTTAACCAAATGGAAGTTAAAGGGAAACCCAAAGCATCTTCGGGGCTCAAACCGAAAAAAGATGAGCCCAGTTGGTCCATTTCCTGCAAAGTTTAAACTTGTGAGATCCCATCTCCTTTTTTGGCCGGAATCCGATTGGAAACAAACCGTGCAAGGAATCTGCTTTTCCTGGAAAACAAAAAAACATAATACTTCCAGTAGTGCTAGATTCCCTTTAGAACCAACAGGGGAACATAAAAAGCATTCTTCACCAAATGGAAGTGAAGGGACGGCTTTTTCTTCTCCAGGGAGCCCGAGAGCAGATCCCAAAAGCGAAAGCTCTTGCTCTTCGGGCAGGCCTGGCCGGGCAGGAAGCTCACGGTGTCCCCGCTCACGTCCTTGCACAGCGGGCCTCGGCGACGATTTGTTTCTTCGGCTGTTCGGTCTGGAAAAAGGGGGTGGCCCTCGGTCAGGGGATTTTCCCTTAAGCTTACCCCTTAAAGCTCCCTGCGCCCTGGGGAAGCTCTCATCTTTTACAGACAGAAATAGCCCATGTTACCCAACAAGTTGAGAGAAGTGGTGTTTTTAAGAGGTTAGTTCAGCTTCAAAAAGGCTAGGTCCTCCAGTAGAGAGGTTCGAATAAGTTGGTACCTACTTGTTTCTGTTTATTTTAGTAGGGGAACCGAATCTCCCAACCAAGGTGAGAAAGGGCACTACTGGGGGACCTATAAGCGGTCGACCTCCCAGGCGCTTGCACCCAACAAGGCCAGGGGATTCTCCCTTAAACTTCATCTACCCAGATTTTGCTTCTGGCTCACTTGTAAGCCAGGTTTTTCGTAAGCCAGACCCCGGTCCGTAAACATCAACTTAGGCAGAGCACGTGTCTTTGCTGGATGGAGGTATATTGGGGTGAATCATGATGGCAAAGTGGAACTCATATGACAATGTGATTCCGGCTTTCTTTCTCGCAGCTAAGAAGCATCCAGAACTGGAGCAGTGGGCTTTTGCATGCTTCTGCAACCCAGCCGCCATGCCCCATGATTTAGTCCGTGAGTCCATTCTGTGAGTCCATGACTTTCCGCACAAAGTCCAGTGAGCAGGTCATGGCCACCGGACCACACCCTTCTAGGCCAAGCACTGGAAGTCATTCGTCGACTGAGCTTGGCTGCTGCGTGCAACAAAAGAACGCTGATGGTCGCCCTGGTTTCCCTTATTAGACCCGGAAAAAGCTTGCTTGCTGTTGTCCCCCCTGCAAAAGGTGAAGAACTTTTTGTGGGTTATATGGAAAACCCAAAAGATTTCAACCGAAAAGTTGAAGTCTAAAGATCCAACCCAATAGCAATCAAAAAAAAGGGACCCCTCGAGAAAAGAAAAACAGCCAACTGGGAGGCTCCACTGGTCACAGGGCCCTTTCCATTCACAGCTCCCTTCTACTCCCACTTCGTGCGGGGCATGACTTGTTCCTCCATCGGACGTGCAAAAAGCCCCCCCCCCCATTCACATGGGCGCCCTTCAAAATGGGTGGAACCAACAGAGGAAAACAAAACATATTCTCAAGCAAATGGGGGAGTTCCACTGGGATCCTCGTGCCACCACTTGGAGCCGGCGAAGCCATGGCGCGCAGCCAGTTTCCCGAGCCGCCCGGACCCGCGGGCACGTCGTCCCCAGCAATGCAGCGACGAATCAGCAAAGGCGGCTCAGGATAGAGCCTCGCAGCTGCCAAACCAACTCTTGGTTGCTGTTGACCGCCCTGCACAAAGTGTTTGACTGTTTGGGGGGTTTAGTGGAAAACACCTTTATTTCCCAACAAGTTAAAGTCTAAAGATCCAACCCAATAGCAGTCAAGAACTGGCCTAAACCCACCACTTACAGGGTGACTTTGATCATGGTAAAATCATGAGGCCAGACTGGTGCGGAAAATTTGGCCACACTACCACCATACGTGGGTTGATCAATATCCCTTGCCCGCCAAGTGTAACTTGCCACATTCCTTTCAAAAAATATATATTATTTCTTGCGGATTCCCCCAATGGTAATACCATATATCACGAACCTTTTGATCCGCCCCGATACGCCCGCGTGGTCTAAACATCTCTACACTTGGTATGGGCTTGCTAAAAACTGACTGTTTTTTGCAGAACCCCAGAAAAAATGAACAGAACCAAAAAACTAAAGAAAACAAACACAATGCCAAGAACAGTGAAGTAAAGGCTCAAACTCAAATTTCCCCCTTGCAGAGTCCACCACCCAAAGTTATCGGAGCAACTCTCAGCTTTGCCTGCCTGAAGCTTCAAACCCACACCGAAAAACTGGGTCTCTCAAATCGGGCGACTTCGAATCCAACTGCAAACCGCATTATTTGCTATCTTCCCTCTTCTTGCTTCAGTTTTATTTATGTGTTTGGTTTTAAATATAGATTTGATTGTTTGGTGGGGGGCCGGCGATCCATTTGAAATAAACCTATTTCAATTCCTGCGCCACCGGTTGAAGTTATGTTCCTCGCAGCGCTGGCGTATGACAGCAGGGCCGGCTCATAGTGCTTGACATCACTCTGCTTCAGGCAGAAGCTTTCGCCATGTCTTCTCGGTTGCTTTCTGCTCCCCTGCTAAAAGTTTAACTTTTTGTGGTTTAACTCGGAAAACCCATTAGTTTGGCAAACAGTTTTCCAGTCCTAACATCAGAGCAAAATGCGCCAAAGTCTTGTGGCTCCAAAACTGGAGCCTTTCACAGTGGGAGGTCTCGTCTTTGCACAAAGACGAAGGTGGCCACCAAGCTCAAAGCCCAATCCAAACCATAGAGGGTTACTCGAAGAGTAAAGCGGCATGTCCCCCCTGGCAAATCTTAACTCTTCTAGGTCCTCCAGATTTGAGTTTAGCCTCTATTTTAGTAGGGGAACCCTCCCCCAATAAAGGGCAAGAGGGCACTACTGGGGGACCTAGCTGTGGAAACATAATCACACCCGCTCAGGGAGTCTACCAACTGCAGAATCACACTGGCCCTTACATTTACTTTGGTACTTGGGTCTGTCTCAAAACAACCCCCCTTTCTGGCTAGAAACGAGAAACCAAAAAGCAAACCAAAAGCAACAAAGTCTAAAGGCCCGAAGGGTCCTTCATCTTCAGGAACGCCAGTTTCCCCTTTCTTTTTTTTTGTCGGGAAGAAATCGCATCGGAGCTTTCACCCCCCTCTGACACCAGTGTTTCTGATCTTTCCCCCAAACATCAGCAACTCGCTTCATGAGTTGATTGACCAAAACAAATCCAAACTTTTTGTTTACCACCAAAATGGTCTTCCCAAAAAGTATAAACTCCATGAACCTTTCCCCCAAACATCAGCAAAAAAGAAAAGGGGTCACCGGCTTCCTCACATCCAAAGTTGAACACAAGCTGGCTTCAACCACTCAAGCGACATTTGGCGACAGCGAAACGGAGACACCCCTGGAACCAGCCTGGGAACATTCTAGGGGTTGATTCCCATTCCATTCTTTTCAACCATCGTTCTTTTCAAAAACCGGATCCGTGTCCCCTGGGTTTTTGATGCTTGCCTGAGAAGAAGGATCTCTGGAAAGAATGGGGAAGGTACCGCTAGAAACATGGGGTGTCTCAAAGAGGGAGCTCCAAACTTGGTTGTTGTCCTTGGCCTTCCCTTCAAACCAAGCCCAAACAGGGCCCTGAGCCTCCAACAAAGACAAGCCGCCCATTTGCGTCCTTTTTGAGGCGACCCTGTTTTTGGCTGGTTTTCTGGGCTGTCAGATATGCGATCAGGTTGTTAAACTTTTCGTGGGTGAAATCTGGAAACCCAAACCACCTTCACCAACGAGTCACAATCAAAACCCGGTGTTAAGATGGTCTACCCAGAAACATGCAAAGAATTAAGAAAGCGGCCGCAACTATTTGTGGCTGGGACTGCCCCTTATTAACCTTCGTCTACCCGGGTTTTGATTGTGGCTCAACTAAAGACATCTAGCGGACGATTCGCCCGCCACTAAGGCTGCAGAAAGCGGCCTTTGATTCGCAAGTTTGCTTTTTTTTCCTAGCAGCCTACCCATGTCAGCTTCCCGCTATGTGGCTGTGCAAAGATAAACCACCAGAAGAAAAGCAGATTTTAGCCTGCGTTTCCTACTTTTGACCCACAGCCATGTGGTGGTTTGGAGCCCGGTGGCGTGGTGGTTAAGGAGTGGTTCCCCATTTACGCTCAGTTCAAATCCAAACCAGCAATCCACGCCAACTAAGGGACTACCTGAGCTTCCCTCCGACTGGCGGTTTGGAGTGGTGATGGTTAAGGCCAGTCTCCCATTCACCCTTTACAAACACCAAGGCTTCAAATCCACGCAATCCAAACCAACTCAGGGAAAAATCAAAAAAATACCCATAAGGCTTCAAATCTAAACCAGCAGATTACCTACGGCCACCGAGCTTTAAGAAGAACCCATGGGAGTCACCGAATCGCCAGGCCCGCGTATGCCGCGCCTCAACGCCTCCAGCAGCGCGTTCCGCAGCGCCGTGAGCCCAGTAAAGTCCTGCGAACAGCCCGTTGGTGCCTTGAGACATCCGTCCGCCCGGGGGCCGTGCATTTGCCCAAATGCCCAGTCCATATCCAGTCCAAAGGGAAAAAAAGATCAGTATCTGTTTTTTGGGGGCTGGTTGACTTTGAAGGGGAACCCTTCCCCAAAACAAGGTGCCAAAAAAAAAATGGCACCACTGGGCAACTGGATTTGCACCAGGGAGTGGCAATTTGCCGACAAAGAGAGATTTGACGCATTCCCTGACAGGTTCTCATTCAAGCAGGTGTTCAACCAATACATAGCTAAACTGGTTCAGAGCTTCGGTGCGCGATCCCTTCTGCCAAGACGCTTCATCGGAGCCCCATGGGTTGCTCGCAAACCAAGGTGCCCAGTTGGCAGATTGTTGAAGTAACTTGGATGTCCGGGAAGTAGATCGAATAACTGGGGTTGGTCCCCTTCTAGGTCCTCCAGTAGAGAGTTTAGAATAAGGGTACCCATTTTTCTGTAGTCTATTTTGGTAGGGGAACCCTCCCAACCAAAACAAAGGCAAAAGGGCACTACTGGGGGACCTAGCCTTGCAACCATGGTTCTAACAACTAGCTTACGAAGTTGGTTGAACATGCGGTTTCCTGAGCTTCTTGCACCCAACAAAGGGGCTTTCAGGGCACCGTTCGCTGGGGGACCTAGCCCCACCACACGCCCCGGACGCACCGCTCGGGTGGGTTTTTGTTCCGCCTCGAAGCTCGGCCTGCGGCCTTGCAGACCATCCACCTGGCACGGGCCACACGTTTCGGGCGGAATAGGGGTCATCTCTCTGGACAAATTTGAGCCCGCCAGAATATAACCTTCAACTCTGGTGGTTAAAACTGGGCTACCCTCAAACCCTCTGTAAAACTACAACTAAACCAACTCATCTCTACTCTTGGTATGGTAGCAAAAAACTTAACGCTTTTTGCAGAACCCCAGTGAAAAATGAACAGAACCAAAAAACTAAAAAACCAAAAAGCATGCCAAGAACAGTGAAGGGGTGGTGGACTTGGACTTGGAAGCATCTGGTCACTGGCCAGATTGCTTGGGGGAAAACCAAAACGAGCCCCTTCCAGGTGGGTTTGGGTGACCAAACTGAAGAAAACGACGACCTGCAGCGGTTCTTTGAATAAAGAAAGGGTGTCTCTTCTTGGTCTTCACTTCTAGTTTGGTCCTGGTCATTTCTGGGACTATGATTAAACTACATTGTCCACAAACATGGAACTTGACTGAGGGGTCCTGGAACACCATGTTCCTTTAAGAGGGACCCTCTGGATCCCGCTGGTGGGTTCCATGTTGGTGGACAGGAGGGTACCAAGAATTAAGGAATCGCCTGGGGTACAAAGTTGAGGGTCCAGAAAAGGGCCTTCCTTTCTTCATGACTAGCCCCAACAACTAGCGCAACGGTTTTCCTTTTGGCTTCCTTTGAAAACACCAAAGCACGGGGATCGAGCCTCATCCGGTTGGTCGTTGTAAGAAGAGGGAACCCCAACTGCTTGGGTAAAACAAATGCGCCCGGGTACCTTCTTCGGGTCGTTGGGCCTAGTGCGGTTTGGCGTCCTTTGGGGAATGATTCGAAGGCTTGGGAAACAGTTCAAAACACCGTCCTATCGGGGTTTGATCTGCCAAGAGCCGACAACCTTTCCAAAAGGGGCCTGCGTTCTCCTCAAAACGTCTGCAAAGAATCTGCCCAGTGGTGAATTGTTTTTTTCACCTTCCACAGAATTCACGTTTGTGTTGATTGTTTGTTTCATAGGACTCCATACCAAAACGCATAGTCTCTCAATGCTCATTTCAGATTCGGGTGCTCACTTCCTGAGTGGATTGGTCAGAAAAAGTAATCGTTTTTTTTTTTTTTCCTGTTCACCACCAAAATATTCCATTTGCTTAACCAACAGTAGTGATGAATTCCTCTTCAAACCAACAGGGGAAAAACAATATTATTCTTAAACAAATGGAAGACTCTCAAGTCCCTTCAACGGAACTCAGGAAGTGAGGCTTCATTGGCATCTTCCGTATCCAGACCTCTTGAGACCTACCCAGCGGATTTCCATGGGAACAAACAAAAACAAGGCGCATCCGACTTGTTTTTGGGTTGGTTGACTTTAAAGGAGTCGGAACCCTTCCAAAAAATGTTGCAAACAAGGCATCTTATTGTGGGTTGGTGGACTTTAAAGGAGTCGGAACCCTCACCCCAAAAAAAGGCTGAACAAAGAATTGGCACCACTGGGCAACTTCCATTTGCTTCAGCCCCCTGGAGAAAAAAAAAAAGAAAAGAAAAAACATATTTCCAGTAGTGATCGATTCCTTTTAAACCCAACAGGGGAAAATAAAACCATATTCTTAAACAAATGGCAGCTCACCTTCAACTCGGGGTGTTATCTTTTTTGAGGCTAGAAGAATGGCGCCCACTTTTTTTTCTGCAGCCTATTTTAGTAGGAAACACCCCCTCCCAACCCAAAAATCGGGCCGGTCGCCACCAAATCCGCTTGCGGAAGCCGGCCTCCTCCTGTATCTCGTCCAGGAACTTCCGGTTCTGCGGCTTCATGAGCTCGTGCAAGGTCTCGGAGGGACGCGCCCGGCGCTCGCGGCTTTGGGCCGAGGAGACATCGAGGGGCACAAGGAGCCCAGGTTGGGTGGGAGTTTCAGGGACCTGGTGTAACTCACTGGCTGAGTGGATGGCAACCAAGAGAAGTAACCGAGCTTCTTATTTACCACTCAAATGGTCCAGCCCCGAAAAGTTTTTAAAGTTCATGAACCCAGGCAGTGAGTTTAAACAAACCAGTTCAACACTGGTAGCCTTGGACTGTGTTTACTATTTAAAGATAGACAGGCAATGGTCCTTGAAAAAAGAAGAAAAAACACATCCTTCCACTAGAAGTTTCGGATTTTCGGGCCAAAGACACTCATAGTTGGGTGTTCGTTTTGTGAGGGCACCCTGCTTGGGTTTGCTTCAAAGGAAACAAACGGAACAGCACCATTTTTCGGGGGGTGCCCCAAAACACTCCCAACTGGAAAGTTTAAGATGTTGACCCTTTCAACAACGTGCCATGGTGGATGTGTCAGCCATTTTTGTTCACACACCCTCATCCCCATGTAGCCGTTGATCAATATTCCTGTCCCCCAAAACACCATGGGTACTTTTCCTGTTTGGGGAGTATCATCTCTTTGGTGGTTTCCCCCAGGGTCCTAGGACCTTTTGATCCAAGACCGGGGGACCCAAAAGAGCAACCGGCCCGAAAGACCCTGAAAAAGCGACTTCAAGTTTCCGGTATCCCCCATCCCATGTAAAGGACCTTTCAATCAACAATGTCCAAAAGGCCACCTCAAGTCTTTGCTCTCCTCAGATCCCCTGCTAAACGTTTAACTTTGGAACCCCCCCCCACTTTTCACCCTCAAAACCTAAAACCTAAACTCGGATGCCCAGTGGTCTGGCGGAGAAAATGGCCATCTTATTTTTGGTTGGTTGACTTTGAAGGGACACACAAAACCCAAAAGTAAGGTTGAAACAAGGGCACCACTGGGCAACTGGGTAAATGTCAAATGGAACCCCCCCACCTTTCACCAACTGAAACCCCACAAAGAACACTCAAGTTGAACCGGATGGCTCGGAAGATGTCCCTGGTTTTCAGGGGCATAAAACCAAGACCTAAAAGCCTCAAAAACCAACACCTAAAAACCCAAAACCCCAAAAAAGGACGCCCGAAACCCCTAAACAACGGGGACGCCCGGAAGGAGCCGCCCGCCGTTTCTCGTTGGCCGGGCCGTTTTCGGATGCATCGAAGCTTGGTTGCTGTTGACCCGCCTGCAAAAAGTTTAACTTTTTGAGGGTTTAGTGGAAAACCCCTTCATTTCCCAAAAAGTTAAAGTCTAAAAATCCAACCCAATAGCATCCGGGGCCGGGGCCCAGGTCAGCATGGCCGCCGTGGTCTCGTGGCCCGCGATGAGCAGCGTCATCAGGTCGTCGCGCAGCTGCCTTCGCCGAAATTCGCCGAGTCGCGACGCCGATTCGCCCCGGAGAAACTCTCGGTTTGTCTCTGTCTCTGTCCTCTCTCTGTGTCTTCCTCTCTCTGTCTCTGCGCTTATGCCCCGTATTTACAAAACAACTCATCTGTCCAAGCCTTGGTATGGGCTTGCAAAAACGTGTTGTTTGTTTTTTGTAGACCCTTTAAAAAATGGGTCAATGACCCCATTATTTTGGGTGACTCCATGTTTCAGGGGTCATGGAGACTCCAGGTACGCGTAGGCCCTGTAGTTAGAAGAAACATCATATCTGTCTAACCCTTATTGGGCTGCCCTCAGATCCCCCGCTAAAAGCTTTTAACTTTTGGTGGGTGAAACATTAAAAGGCTAAAAGGCTAAGGGGATGGCTGGGAGCCACCAAGCTTAGTATGGGCTGGCAAAGACGTTGATTGTTTGTGCCACCAACCCACCTGGCGAGCAAACAGCTTTCTGTCTGCAGCCCACTAAAAATACTAAGGGAATCAAAAACCTCAAACTCTAAAAGCATACCAACAACAGTGAAGACATGCATGCTGCATTCCAGAATTCCACAAGGCTTGAGCTCGATTCCACTTGTTTAATTCGCTTTTGAAACAACAACCACTGATGAGTGGTGTCAGATATCTTCACTGCAGTTGGCATGTGTTTAGGAGTTTAGTGCTAGTTTGTTCTGTTCATGTTTGGTAGCGGGCTGCAAAAAACAAAGCTTTTTGCAAGCCCATACCAAGGGCTAGATTGATATTGTGATATTTATTCTTGCACATACGGGGCATAAGCGTAAAGACAGAGAGAGGAAGAGACAAAGAGAGGACAGAAGATTGAAGAGGCAGAGAGAGGACAGGGACAGATACAAACAGAGAAAGACAAAGAGAGACAGAGACCGAGACACACCCACACACACAAACGGACCAGGGTGGTTTCATCTCTTCCAACTGGCGCGAAGTGGAGATTTTCCGTTGTAGTGACACTGGAACACAAAACACCTTGATGGCCATTGTCGTTGGGGAGGGTGGTTGCTGCTGCTAGGCAAATGCTGCTAGGCAAATCAGTCAGTGCAGTATGTGTATATCTATCACATTGCAAGTGATTTGTGTCCAAGAACCTTGCAATCTCCATACTTTGGAGCAGAGCACATCATGGTGAACGCAATGCCCTTGAAACAAGTCGGCACTTGCTGCTCTCCTATTCAGCCAGTTTTAACATCACTGAACCATGTGTAGCCAGGGCTGCGGGAAATGACCATGTCTGTGATACAACAACAAGGGCCTCCCAAAGACTAACCCCCCATATAAAGAGGGATTCCCTTGTATCGCAGAAGTGGGGATAAACCCCGAGTGATCCCACAACCCTGTCTGTAGCTGAGTTTCCTCTTGTGTTCAAGCGTCGCAAGGGATGAACTTGTGGAAGCAATTTTTTGCGACACAAAAAGGATCCCAGCAGCATGAGCTCGCTAGACCTTCTTTGAGGGGTTTTGGGGGGGGGGGGGTCCAAGGCCTTTATATTTAGCGTCTTGGGCTCTTATAGGCCTTCTTGGCCCACTTCCATTTGCTTGAGCCCCTCTGGAAAAAAAACAGACATATGTCCAGTAGTGATACATTCCCTTTAAGACCAAGAGAGGAATGCAACAAACATTCTTAAACAAATGGAAGCCCATCTGGATAAACAACCCCTTTTTTTTTGCCCGACCACTCCCTGAGCGCAAGAGGAAAGACGCGGATCCATTTTCGCCCCAATCGGTTCCACGTGCCATCTCGCGGATCCGCGGTTGGGCGGCCGACCTCCTGGAGGAGCCAGTGGGAGGGATGCAACTGATTTGAGCCACATCTCACTTCCGATCGAATGGATGGCGGGAAACAAGTCCTAGAACTTGTTACTTGCCATACCCCAAAAAGTGTCGTGAAAGTCCCAAGTGAAAGCCAGGCAGCAAGACATTCACCACCACTCGCCAGAAGCTTTTGCGCTTTAAGGCTTTAACCACGACGATTTGTTGCCGAAGACAAAATATGCTTGTGTGGTCCCGTCATCCAGTCTCCCACCGTTCCAACCTGGGTCCCGGTGTCTCCGCGGCCCTTGCGAGAGACCTCTATTCAAGGTCTTTCTGAAGCTGCCGGTCTCCCCGAATCTGGATGAAGTATCCAGAATGCCAAACCTGGCAAAACAGAACCAACCGAACCATGGGGTGAACAACTTGATAGTTATCTCAACTCAACTCCAGGCGTCTACCTTTCACCCGGAAAAAAAAACCTCCGCCCGGATCGGCGGACTCCGCCGGTCCTACTTTGAGGACCGCTCAGACGGCGCAGTCTTCGGGCTCCACGCGATTGTAGTCCTCAGCCCATGGCCAAAGGTCCTATGTGGAATGATGATTCCCCTGTAATTACCAACAAATAGTGTTTTCCCATGGTTTGCAAGTGGTGCAGGATTTCGTCCATCCACAGTATTGCGTACCTTCTGGTCTTCTCAAATCTGGTGTTGACAACACAAAAATCCGTCATGTTGATGTTGATGTTAACCTATGTTGACGGTATGGGTGGCTTCAAGAGCTGCCAATATGTCGTTCAACGCCGCCACCCACCGGCTACCCTTGGAAGGCCGATTCTCGGCCTTCAAGAAAGAGCGCAGGGTGCACACGCCTCTTCCTCTGCAAATTACATGGAACCGAACACGGCTCCAAGAGATACATTCCTCGGAACGTTGCTTGGGTTCCATGTGGGTGTGTCTTTTGAGGGTACTCCTTGTTCGTGGGTGTTAAGTGGCAACCAAACGGAAAACCCCTTGTGGGGGATACGTTTCCAAGCAAATTGACGAGCCATGCCAGTCTGCAGAGTGGAACCAAGGTAAATCGTGGCAGACCTTTGAAGCCCTTCCACTCACTTCGGATCGAGTGAAGTGGCAAACAACAGTCCTGAAACCTTTCGTTTACCTCCAAACAAGTGATTCTTAGTCCTGGAACTTGGTTGTTTACCACTAAAAAGGTGACCAAGTCCTAGAACTTGGATGTTTTTACCACTAAAAGAAGCTCCGGCCCCCCAACATCGAGTGACTCCCTCACGTCCCTTCGACGGGCAGAGCCCAGGCGTCCCCGCCGTGAACTTGGGATAGTTGCAGCCGTCGGTCATGGGCCTGGCTTGGGTCTTGGGATGTCGGGATCTCCGCACTCAGAGAAACTATCTCGGACTAGACCTTCCTTCATAATATGATGTATATCGCTAGTAAATGCTGAAATGCAAAAACCGTAGAGACGTGGGGGTGATTAATGTGGCGGTGATTGATGTGGGGGCATGACCTTCATCCTCTGCCCCCGAATAAGATGTCTATCGTTTGTATTTTCTATGTACAAAACAGAAAAGATGTTGCCTTAGGCCTTGACTAATGTCGACCCCAGATTCATCAACCTGTTTATTCATATGGGGGGTGGTTTTGGCCCCTCCAAAAGTGGGCTGATTCCAACCATGAAACCCAGGGATACCCCTCTATTCACAAACTGGGGGTGATTAATGTGGGGTCAACATTACCTTCATCCTTTGCCCCCAAACAAGATGCTTATCGTTGGTACATGTTAAAAAAAAAATGGGGAAAAACAAAAAAACACATAGAGACATCCCAAAGAACAACAAACATGGTATCTTGGTGACAAGGATCGGCACAAAGCAGAATCCACAGACTTGATGGGCTCTCAACCGTCAGTCAACCACCTTGCTACCTTTGGACCCTCCACCGGATGCCGCTTGCAAAGGATTCACGTGGCTCCTTTGGATGGATATCATTCAGGTGGGAAGCGCCACGTCCACCAGCTAAGTTTGAGGTGGTCCCCCATTAAACGTCATAGCCATATTAAATGAGTCGGGACGCAGCCGAACCTCTGCAAGGCTTCGGCTTCAGAAAGAAAGCCCATCAGCTCTTCGAACACTTGGTTGCCTAGGTCCTCCAGTTAGAATAAGGGTACCCTTTTTTGTGTCGTCTATTTTAAGTAGGGGAACCTTTGCTCAAAAAGGGTAAAAAGGGCACCACTGCATGGGGGACCTAGTTACAATCCGCTCCAGTGAATCCCTGGGGGCCCAAGGCCCCATGATCTAAGGTCTTTGGGGGTCGGTCAAGAACCTCCTAGGGAATGCTCTTACCTTGGGAAGGCCTCCCGCTGAGGCCTCTGCGCTTGAAACCAGACTTGGCCTCCAAAGCCCGTGAGATTCTACGGTTCTAGGGGTGCCTTCCGTTCTAGGTCCAGTAGAGAGGTTAGAATAAGGGTACCAACTTTTTTTTTCTGTAGTCTATTTTAGTCGGGTCCCGAACCCTCCCAACCAAAAAAGTTGGGTGAGAAAGGGCACTACTGGGGGACCTTCCATTTCCATGTCCAAACATCCATTTGCTGACGGCAAAGGGCACACCTCTCCAGACCTGTTCTCAGAGTCCAGCGGCTTGAACCCGGGCGTAAGGACAGAAATATGTTGAGCCCCCACATTCCATCGATCAAACACATGCCATGTTTCAAGGACCATGTTTCAACTCACTTCCCCGGAGTGGCCAACAAAAAATCCACCAAACGGCTTGCTTGCAATTTAAAACAACACAAACACATCAACCGTTTGCCGGGGCCATTGGACCAAATCGTATGTGGCGGGCCACCTCAGATTCTGCTTGCCCATGTTTAGAGGACTGGCGGCTTCGGGTGGCAACTTCCCGCGTTGGTTTCTTCCCCATCCGCGGCTCAACCCCCCCTCCCCCCAGGCTCCGGGTGGGGCCTGATGGGCCGGATGGGCAGAAACCAGTCGACCCCTGGGCGCACGGCTGATGAGTCGAGCCGAGTCGGTCGCGTCGCCTCTTTGGGGGGTCCTTGGAAAGGGAAGCCAAGGGGGGAAGTCGCAAAAGACGCATGCGGGTCACAATCAAAACCCGGTATTGAAATGGTGAACCCAGAACCATGTAAAGAATTGTGAAGGCGGATATCCGCACCCATTTATGGTTGGGAGTGTCCCT